TGGCCGAGATGTGCGTCATGCAATAATTGGCGGCGGCATACCGATGTTTCCACAACGTGACCAAATTTTATTTGCCGGTGTGCTTTATATCCTTGCTACAGGTTATTATTTTGTTTCTTTCTTTTTTTAGCGGCACGGTATACCTCTTTTCCAAGAAATAAATGGCATGTGATATACTACAGCAATCATGTCCCGGCTGTGCTTCCTCTGCCTCTCCTACATGACACCGTGCCAAATTTGCAGACAGTGCATCACTTGATGGCGACTTGGAATCTATCTTGTTTATTTATTCTGATATCTGAAAAGGAAAAGGCCAGGATACGGGACTTTTGAACTATGTTGGGCTAAAAGGCGACACCTGGGCTGGGCAGCATCGAATATCGTCTCTGATCTTAGAAAGACCTCGTCTACACCGGCGGAACCGCATCCTCTCATAATTTATTCACTTTGAATAGGAGGGCCGCTCAAAATCTCACTAAGTTGTCATGATGGGTCACCAACTATTGTCTCTCGCCATCTACTTCCTTCCACTCATTGTCCAATGTCTTGCCCACTCTCTTTCACTAGAATTTGAAATCCGAAGAGAAATAACCTCTCGCTTAGTAAACATTCATGTCTTACAGTCAGAATACGTATCTGGATTAATTTCTTTCACTTACGGAGCATGCGAGGCAAAATCTGAGCAAGACAGTCATCACATTATTGCTAGGATAGAATGCACCGCATCTGACTCGAGACTTGTATGCATCATCCCACAGAACACGACGACCGAGTGGTGTATTTCAGCCTGTAATAAGGATGATGCGTTGGCCGGCCGAAGCCCACCGCAGAATGTATATAGAGTGGTGAATAGAACGACCACTAGACGACGGGCCCGTCTGTATACGTTTCATGCCCTACCACACGAGTGAGCAAGAGTGCTCGGCTGACATTGCGTCACGAGTCACAGAGCCCATCGCCATGACAGGAGCCAGCGGCACTGATACGCCGCGACCCTGGTTTGACGGGGCGAAGCATCTGTCTCGAAAAGAGCCTGGTATGATTGATGTCAGCGCCGCCAAGAGCAAAAAGATTGCCATTGCGGGAGCTGACACGTTCGGTCTGATGACCCACCTGGTCTTACACCAGGCAGGCTTTACAAAAATAATCATGCTCGAGGGGAGCAACCGTATCGGTGGTCGAGTTCATAGAGCCTACTTATCTGGCGGGCTGTTAGACTATTCTTAGCAGGAAAGAGAGGCGATGAGAGTACCGGCAGACTAACTCATCACTTTCCGTGCCCTCTATACTGGACCCTGGAACAGAATCTATAAGCAAAAAGCTGCAAATAAATATACCCAGCAATAAATTCACCACTGAAGCGGCCAAAAACATGTACAGACCTCACAGGGAGTAGAATGACGGTGGCATCAACGGGCAGCAAGGAGACCGCCGGTCTGAGTTTGCCTACATATCACAATATCTAAAGGGAAGCCTCAACAGCACCGACTCTTTGGCTTCCGGCAAGATGACTAGGTCAGCTTCTGGGATTGGGCCCATCGCATCTGCGGCTGCGAGGCAATTTCAAGGCGTGGTATGCGAGGGGAGAATAGTTGACTCACTATTGTTTCCCATACATCAGTCTCGATAGATAGCTGCCATGGTGCTTCCAATTTGTACAACTTGTAATGTTTGGCTGGCGTTGAGCCGCTTCCGATAGCGACTGTCCAGGTGTCGATGCCTCATGCTCTGGGGCATGCTTTTTCTGCTTAAAAAAGTTCATTATGAAGCAAAGAGGTAATAATCTTTGTTAGATGCTAGCTTACTAAGGAAAAAAAAACCTAGCTGTGTCCGTGCTGTATCCTGGCAATGGATGCTCCTCGGACGTAGTTGTATGCGGGAGTCTCTGAGCACAAGTCGCGTCACACAAGCACAATTGTACACAAGGAGTGCATGCTGAGCAGTATAATGCAAGGGCCTCTTTGAGGTGGTACGGGCCTTCAGTATGGACAATGAATACATGTGTACTCGCATGATCAACGGGCTTGATGAGTCCTTTGTGCTTCCAATGGTTTCTTTGTTGCGCGGTGCAGATTGATGCGGAGAAGACCTCCGTGGTACAGTTTCAGCGCCTTTGCGTAGATCAAAGGAAAAGTTCGGCTTTACACATTCAAGCCACGGGCTTAACTGGGCTTAAAAGATAACTCAGCCCATCCGACGGCAGACACAGAGCATGCCCGTGTGTCTAGGACAAAGGAACACAAAGAAGCCCTGGATCATGAGAAAGAAAGGAGGAAAGCAGGGGCCGGGCTCCCACTCAATGCGTTCTTTCATCATGGCCAGACGGTGTGCCAGCCCAGAAAGTCTCGGTACTGGGTGTGCTCGGCTTCAGAAAGCAAACATGATATCCTGCAGACCGCGTGGAAACGTTACTGGCTTACAAAACCGTGTCCAGCACAAAAGTTGAACATGGCTCCCTTCTGATATGTCAGTTTGCTCCTAGCCGCTCCAAGAGGCGTGCATCCTAAGCCACACTTCGACAAAGGACCTGGCCTTGCATTCATATCGTCAAGATGCATGTTCATGCCTCGTATACCGAACAGAGCATGTGTGTGAATTCGAGTCCCAAGAGACCTTCACTCTGTCCCTTGAAGGAGTCGGACTACAAGATAATAGTAATCAGGCGCTGTTCGCGCATCTGACAACTCCCATTCAGCGATGGGTTGTCGAAACATGGCCTTTCAGTGAACCCATGTGGCCATCAACAGCTGCAGGCATTGTAGTCCAGATGAACACCACACATGTCTTGAACACTCGTCGTGCAGCGTCTTTTCAACGAGACGAACCCGACAAGCTGACCAAGACTGTATCGACAAACGCCAGAGTCCCCCAGGGCATTAAATACTGCGACACTCGGCGCTCCATCGTGGTTCCTGGCATACTCCGCAACGACAACCAACCTTTCCACCACTTCCCCAGATAGAACAACAGCTCCGATTCTGAAAGCTCGCCATGGCCCCAGGAGGACATCGAGACTCTCCCCCAAACCCTCCCCCAAACTCTCCCCAAGGCCCCTACCAAGACCTGGTCCAACCCTTGAGTCGACCCCGCTATGAAGAGACGGTGGCCGACATGGATGAACAGTTCAGGCGCGAACCTCGGGCGTACTCGTTCCAGGGCTCGAACTTCGCAGACGACGGCAGGGACATGGACCAAGGCTCTGACTACACGCGAGGATCGTCCCAAACAGCCTCCCAGCCCCACCAAGTCTTCAACAACTGCCACGTCTATATAGGCTCGAATCAATATGCCAAAGGCTGTGGCCGAAATTCATCGAGACAAACAGGCTCCCAGCCCCCCCGAGTCTGCGAAAACCGCAATGCCAATATCGGCCCCGGTGAAGATTCCTACTCCCCGTCGAGGTCTTGGCGCACTATCGACGATGGAAGAAGCCCCGTCAATCAGAACATGTATGTCCCCGCGTACCGCCCTGGAGAATCCTCGTTTGACGGGCCCGGTGATCTTTCTCCGGCCGGGCGCGTGGTTACACGCGAGCAGCCATTCGAGGACACTGGCCGCACATGCTGTAACCACCACCACCACTGCTGCTGCTGCTGCTGCCACGGGTTTACGCTTGTAAGAAAGAGCCATTCTGCCGAAATTAGGGGATTTCGAGGTATCATTTGGTCTTGAGATCTTCCGTATTTCCTTTCAACAACGCCAAAGACGTCAGCAGGTCATGCGCGGTCATTCATCCTACAACCATGACGATGAGACGCACCTTAAGTCGACCATGGCCGTGCTATCCGGCCTGCAAGCAGAGGTGTACTGGCTGTCAAATCCATGCAGAATCAGGAACTCTGCAGTCTGGTAGTTTCTGAATAAAACTCTTCACATCACCAGCTGGCTCCTCCCAAAGCAATGAATGCTCCTTCTCAGAGCGGCGTGAAGTGAATGTGACATGAAAGACAATCTGCCCAACATGGTGCCTCGGCACTCCCGTAGAAATGGTGGCGCATGCACGGACGTGCTACCCCATCCATCCATCGGCCCATCTGGCCCTCTGGAATGTAGAGATTCCTTGTACTTGATATCGTGGACATGATGTGCTGGTTCGAAATGATCGGGTGCAGACCGTACCTCGACGCAGATAGATGCGCCTACTGGACATGCCAAGTACACCGTATGCCCGGCGTCCGATGTATATACCTATCGCTATAACTGCCGAAAACACATCATCAGTCTAAATTTTAGAAAAAAAAGAAGAAAAGAAGGAGGAAAAGCGGCGGTCAGAGCTATGTCTATGACGAGGGATCGTCTGCTCGTTGCCACCGACGCTATATGATTCAGTAGCCAATGTCATTGCATGAAACGTATCGGCAGTGCTCAAGTCATGCCCGCAGGCTCTCGGTGCTGGGAGCCAGACGGTAGATATATTCACAGAGATGTATATTCCTCACTCGATTGCAGGTACAACTCAAGTTGCAGATAGAAACCCCAAATCGTTTCGAGACAGGCAACAAGTCAAGATTTCACAGCGCATATCTCGACTTGACAAAGGCTTTGTATATTACAGCGCGACTGCGCAGACCTAGTCTTCTATCTCGTCAGGAACTGCTCTTTCTCTAGCAAAGACAACTGCCGCGCAGTTCATAGGGCTTCTCGTACATTAATCAAGATTGACTTCCAGCACCGTAAACAGATTAGTCGTAAAGGTCCCAGACGCCGTTCTCATCTTCCATGGCTTGCGTTCCAGATATCAAATCAACGCCATTGACCATGTCGGGAAAATGTGTAGTGCCGTCTGCGCAAATGACTGCTTCCAGTGCTTCTTTTAGCCTGCCAGCCATGGACAGGGTTGTTGTTACAGCAGTGACGCTAAATGGGTTAATTCTTCCTCTGACGATGAACCAGCTTGCTCCAGCGTACATCCGAATCGCTCTGCTCGGCTTGCCCTTGCCCTTATTGATTGCGACTCCGTGATTCGTAGTCCATGCCACCAAGACAGCCTTATTTCAGGATCATTTCAACTCTCCCAAAAGCATGGTCCTATCCGATGAGGCGGAGAGCACTACCAAAGGTTAGCGAGCGCGTCAAAAGAATGGTCTTGACACAACTTACATATCGGCTCCTTTCCTGGCGTAAACTCGGCAGAGTTGACGGTCCCCTTATGCCCAGGCAACTTGTACAACAACTTGCCATTCTGACTCGACCACACCACCACAGTTCCATCCGCCGACGCCGCGGCAATCTTCTTGCCGTCGGCGTCCCAGCTCACGCCCATCAGGTTCTTCTCCACGCCGGCATTCGCGCCGTCAAATGTGCGGATATGTCTCTCCGTAGGTGCAAACGGACGAATATCCCATGTCCTGACCGTCGAGTCCATGGCGTACGAGACCAGGGATTGCGAATCGGGCGACACTTTGAGCGACATGATGGAGTCCGAGTGCCCCAGCAAAGAATACACAACCGACTTCTTGCGCAGGTCCCACACGCGAATGTCATTGTCAATGCCGCCCGCGAAGATCTCATTTCCGGCAGAAGACATGGCCACCGCTGTGACGGGGAAGTCGGTCTGGATATAGTCGATGGCGTGTTTACTGCGCGGGTCCCAGATGCCAATGGTGGAATCGTCGCTGCCGCTAATGATCAGGTCCTCGCCGCGTCGGGTGATATCTACAGCGTTGACGATTTCCTCGTGCCCGACGTATCTGCGTATTCTCGTGCCCGATGTCAGGTCCCAGCTGGCAAGGTGCATGTCCGCCGATGCAGTGTACAATATTTCCGAGTCCCGCGACCACTGGAGGTCGAGAATGGCGCCCTTGTGCCCGTTTAATAGACCGTAGTTCTCGCAGTCGCCATACGTCCTCCAGAGCACTAAGGCATCTTATTAGCATATTCTCGGGCTCAGACCGCGCCGCCCCTTCAATTTACTTACTTATACTTCTGTCCATGGATCCCGATGCGATCAAGTTGCCCGTCGGATCAAATTTGGCTGTGAAAACCTCCCCCGTGTGCCCCGACAGCTCCATCACCGGCGCTTGCAGTGCGCTTGTTCGTGCATTCTAAATATACATTAGCCGAATTCGCGTCTGTTCGGGTGAGCCTTTACACACCGCTTGAACCAATGCATTGCTGGACGCATTCAGGCGCGCCAGAGCACCCTCTGACGTGCTAACATTCTGCCTCTTGACAAGCATTTGTGACGAGCTGGGGTCGTCCTCTGCGGGACGTTTTTCGGCAGACATTTTGGTGGTGCTGGGAGGAGTAAAAGCTAATTCTGAGATATTCGATTATCCAGTATCTCGAAGTGCAACAAGTCGGTGCGTCTGCAAACTGCCAAAAATCGAATTTATCGCGTCACTATGTACGTGTTGCGGCCGTGGTGATCGCGGCTAGGGAACTTTTTCCATGTCGAAAAACTGGGGTTGAGCTCCAACTCCCACTGCGGGTCTACGATTGGCGGTCGGGCCGGTGATTGTTCCCTCTGTTGCTGTACGTACGTCTGTGACCACCTCCATCCCCGCCACTGAGCTTCGAGCACAACGGGTTAGTTGTACTCGCGACGAAGCTCTTCTAATTGGGGTAGTTTACGACAGTCTACCTGTTGTCAAGCTTCTCCGGGTACCGGCTCTTCTTACCAATCTGTCACTGATTCCGCATTGCAAGCAGTCGAGCCACCTCCTACACCACACCTCGCCCCGCCTTCATCATGGCGGCGAGCAAAGCCTCCCGCGTAGGCGAAGAGTACGTCCAGTCACTCCCCTCGCATGACCAAGTGCCCAACTAACATGTCCAGAATATGGAAGTGAGCGCCTCCGTCTCCCCCTCCTACCCGCCGGTCATCTAACAGCTCAGGACGCGCATCGACAAAGTCAACGCCGAACTCGTAACCCTCACGTACGGCACCATCGTAGCCCAGCTCTGCAAGGACTTTGACAATGACTACGCCGAGGTGAATAAGCAACTGGACAAGATGGGCTACAACATTGGCCTACGCCTAATAGAAGACTACCTCGCCAAGTCGAACACCATGAAGCGGTGTGCAAACTTTAGGGAAACTGCCGACATGATTGCAAGAGTATGTCTCTCGGCCGCATCCCTCGTCCAGTTCACTGACGAAAACCAGGTCGGCTTCAAAATATTCCTCAACATCACACCCCAAATAACCAACTGGACCTCCGACAATAACCAGTTCTCGCTGCTATTCGACGAGAATCCCTTTGCCGACTTTGTCGAGCTCCCGGATGACGGGCGAGCCCAGGACGAACTTTGGTACTCGAATATCCTGTGCGGCGTGCTGAGGGGTGCTTTGGAAATGGTACAGATGCAGGTGGAAGCGCATTTTATCAGCGATGTGCTGCGGGGAAATGACACTACTGAAATGAGGGTTTCGTTGGTGCGCTATATTGATGACGAACTGCCCCCTGAAGATGATTGATTCGCTCTGGGGACAGAATCCTCATTAGTCCTAGCTTGATGGGTTCATAATGGAGTGTGGCGTTTAGGTGTCATTCATCTAGGTTTGCTGAGTTGGAATCGCATACAAATCCATGTCAATATAATGGTCATACATCAAATGTTCCAAGGTGAAACCAAAGTCTCCTCTAGATATACCAAGAGTCCTCAAAACATTCATCCCAAGTCGGCAAACAAGTAGGCGTCGAAGCACGGTAATCACTGTGATTGATCGGCATGCAGGACGTGGTATGATATATTCGAAGACCGCTTTCGACGTAGACCAAACATAAACACTCGGGAGACGGTAACGACAACTCCTCGATTTCCTTGCACCTGCCTGAAACCCAGCCATTCCCCGCAGCAAGTCAAAGTGACACGTCAAAATAAAAACACTCTCAAAGAGCCAAACCACACACAGAGGGGGGGACGGAGGGGAAATAACACAAGAATCAAAAGGAAGACAGAGAGATGACAGTCAACAAACAACGGCTCTTTTTTCCCATCTGTAATCCGTAACCTCTCTCTCCCGAGAGCCTGGATCGCCGCATAAAAACAAAAAAGAAGGAAATTCCATGATATAGTAAAAGCCCCCTGAAACGCCGTGTCGAATGATGCCAGATTAGAGTTGAGCCACAATGACACACAGAGTAAATAGAAGAAACACTGGTCAGAGCCATAAGAAATTCACAAACTTGTCTTCGTCTTTTCATCCTTCCATATATGCATGTTGGATTTGTCCCCGTATCGCTAACCTTTAGTCGGCTCCAATCGGGTCGCCTCCTTCCATGCTGGAAAAGCCGTTGAAGTCGAATGGCTCAGTGTTGTCTTCATGAAGGAACGAGTCGAAATCAAAGTCGTTGAGAACATCGCCGGATTGCAGGGGGTTGGCAAGCTCCATAGATCCAAACTCCATCTAAGAAGGCAATTAGTGGGACGCCAGATGTATGCAATACTCCTTTGCAAACTTACAATACTGCCAAAATTGTCCATCATTCCGTTTTGGCTTGGATCGCCATGGGCCTGAGGCGGCACAGGTGCTGCTTGAGGAGCCGGCGCAGCAGCTGGAGCAGTGGGAGCAGTCGCGGCTGTGGTAGCCTGCGCATTGGCGCCAGCAGCTCCGTTGGGCGCATTCTTGTTGAATCCCGAGTTGGTCGAAGTAATAGGCGTCGCTGGCGTAGCCTCTGTCTCGGCCGAGTTCTCACCTGCTGTAGCAGCTCCTGCAGCGTTGGCATTTTGACTGGCCTTCTTTGCGGCAGCGGCACGCTGTATATATGTTAGTTCCGGAACAAAAAAGAAGAACAATGAAAAATCTGTTGAGCGAGGGGCAGGTATTTCCTTACCTTCTCTTTGGCAGCCTTCGTCTCCTTCTTCTTGGGCGCAGGCTTGTTTCCTTGGCTCGGCGTCGGAGGGGCGGCCGCAGCTTGCTGGGGTGATGCAGTCGTTCGGCTATTTGCATTTGCAGTCCCGGCAGGAGCTGAAGGCGGGCCCATCGATCGCGGTTGCGGCGTTCCTTGCACCTGCTGGTTCTGTTGCATACCCTGCGGCGGTTGGCCATTGGGACCCTGTTGCCATTGTCCCGGTGCGCCCTGGCCGGCTTGCTGTCCCTGTTGCCCTTGCATTTGGCGGGCGGCCATCATCTGCTGCGGATTCATCTGGCTATTGAATGGCTGGCCCGGGTGTGAGCTTGGTGGTCTCATGCCGTTCATCTGGGCCTGACTCATGTCGGTACCGGGTTTGAAGAAGTGAGGTGCCATGTTGGGGTCGACTTGGTTACCCATGAAGTTCATGGCAGGGTTAGGGGAGTCGCGCGATTGGCCACCTTCAGGAACCGGTGATGGTATGCCCGAATTGTTCATCTGAGGGGTGCCACGCTTCATCTGGTCGGCAGGGTTTGGTGACGCTCCAGATCGCATCGCTTGAGGAGAAGCCTCGGGGAAGGGCTGGCCGTTGGGTCCTTGACCTGGCTGGCCTGGAGCACCGGGAGCAGCTCCGTCTCTTGCGGGCATACCAGTGATGGTATCCTGCTCCTGCCGAGCCATCATTAGACGCTTCTTGTTTTGCTGCTCCAGTAACATCAACTGCATCTGATAGTCCTGCAATGCGTGATTGCTCCCAGCAGCGGCTTGGGCACCGCCAGGGCCCGGCCGGATCCCCCCTGGACCCCCCATTTCACCGGTGGGATTGTAGAAGGCATTAAGGGCAGTTCCATCCGGTCCTGGTCCCATCATGGGCGAGCCCTGGTTCTGAGGCCCCCCAGCGTTTGGCATCTGCTGCTTGTTGCCCATCTGGGAACCATGGTGCTGTTGCAGGTTCTGAGAGTACGTCGCAATCGATTTCTGCTGGGCGGCTGGCGGGGCGTTGATAAAGTTATGGAGCTGTTGCGGATTTAAGCTATTCGGGTTGATACCGTTGGCAGCCAACATCTGTTGAGCAGCGGCCATATTTTGGTTGTTCGTCATCTGCTGTCCGGGCATGCCTTGAGCGGGTCGACCATTAGCCACCATTCCTGGCTGGTTAGGGTTAAAGGGTGCTCCTCCATCAATACGTTGTCGCTTGGAAGGTGACGGCGCATTCTCTCCGGACGCGGGTGATGACGGGCGATCGCGGTTTTGATCCATGCCAGACGGATCACGTTGCATCTGGTTCTGCTTGGTTGGTTGCATCATCATCTGAGGACTAGAACGAGACAGGGCAATTAGCAACTGTGTCGTTTTACACAGTCATGGTTTGAATGAGAGCGTACTTATTCTGATTATTCGCAATGGCAGCACGGGCGAGGGCACCCTGCTTTATGCCCATATTCATGTTGCCATTCTGCATTCTCATCATCTGGGCTTGATATTGTTGTTGCGCAAATTCATTGGGGCGCATCTGACGCAAAAGCTCTTGTTGCTGGTTTTGTTTCAATCGAGACTGTTGCTGTAAAGGAACTCGACATTAGTTGATGCGGGACAAGACACATTGATTTCAAGATGTTACAGGCGTGGCAGGATGTGAGAGACAGCAGCTAAAGTCCAAACGTACCTGAGTGTGAGCGACATATTGGTTAACAGTGCCATTGCCACCTTTGACACGCTGAGCATTGTAAATATCCCAAAAGAGACAAAACCACTCGTACAGGAACGAAGAGTCGGACGCGGGCATGGGAAGTTTGGGAGGCGGTAGGCCATCGGGCAGTTTGTCCAAATCATCCTTGGAGTCTGTGTCCATGGGATCTTCGCCATTGGCCGCGTTGCCACCCTTTCCGTCCTTGTGGACATTTACCTGCTGATTGCTAGACAACAGCGAACGAGCACAGTCGAACATCTCATAGCGGAGGAAGTACTCGTAAATATAGGTGTTGAGAACGCCGCGCTGGCTGTCGAGCTGTGACTGTCTCGCGGCGGCGGCGGCGGCAGCAGCCTGCTGAGGATTCATGGCAACACCGTTGTTCATCATGGGCATTGGCGCACCGCCGACAGCACCGCCCATGGGGTTCATGTTGGCCATGCCCATATTCGGGTTCATGGCCATGATGACGGCGGGTATATGAGTAGCTGCGACGCGAACGAGCCGGTGGAGGGGGGGTTGTAAGGTGAGGATATCACGGTGACAGCGGACGCCCGGCGAGGACTGAGGTCAAGAGAAAAAAGACAATGTGCCTCAAGGACCCCACGAATCCGATGCCAGGCCGTGAGTAGCGGAGCAAAAGACGACGACGGCACAGAGCAAAACAGTCCAAGCAGCTCAAGCCGGTGTGGCCGTTTGGCGTGGCGCGGGTGAGAGGGGCGAAAGTCAGTCAGTCGACACCAGTCGCGGCAGACGACAGACGGCGGACGGCAGACGCAGAACGGCAGGGCAGGGGGGTGAGAGACTCGGTCGCGGCGGTCGAAGCAAATCGGAGGGCGGAGCAGCAGAGGTAATGCGCAAAGCTGCAGGCGACGGGGAGGATATATTCGCGGTGAGGAGCGATGTGCGCGATGGGGGCAAAGCAAGGAATGAAGGCGACAGAAAAAAAAAGAATGGATATGGATGAATGATGATGGGGGAAGAGATGGTGTGAAGGTGGACGGAGAGTTTCGCCTTTGCCTGGGCTGGGCTGGGCTGGGGGCTGGGCGAGAGAAAGAGAGAGAGAGAGAGAGAGCCTGGTCCGAGTTCACAGTAAGTCACTCACCCAAGGCTGGGTATGGAACGGCCAGAACTGTAACAGAGGAGAAATTTCACCAAGTCGAAGCCAACGTTGCGAGGCTGCCCTTTAGCAAAGTCAATACGCGCTCCGCAGCCTCGGTCGTGGCCGCGATGTCAGCTAGAGCGTCTCCCGTCCGCACTTGAGGTAGCCCGTGGAGACAATTGTCGCGATGGACATGGAACCAGATGTCAGGAAACGTCTATTCTGGCGGACAAGAGGCTGAGGTGCATGTCATGCCGCCTGGCTGGCTGTGTGGAGGCGGAAGCAGAGACTGGAGGCATCAATTTTAATGTCCAGGCCGGATGCGAGACAGCCAAAGTCCCGAGCCCGGAATCTGGCACCAGGTCCCTAGATGCAGATACAGTGTGCATGGCGATCAGAGATTTACGCGCACGGAGACGGTCTGCGCACGGTACATACACGAATTGCTCAGTCCTATAACGACAGTGCATAATACAGTGCTGATAAATTGGTCCTGCCAGTATGGGCTGAGAAATATGCCCGCATACAGTGCGGTGGTCCATCTAATGCCGGCAGAAACACTGTCTAGAAAAAAATTGAATGTTGCACATTGAACAAAAGAACAAAACTTGACCCCTGTTCCCCATGTCCCCAGGCATCACAGCGCCGTGCCAGCACTCTCACCAAAGACGTATTCCTCAGACCAGCCGCGTATTTCTCGGCCCGTCCACATCGGTACTTCTGCCTCAGGCACAATGAGGCACCCTGAGGCACCCTGCGGCACCATCGCGGTGCAAAATCATCCAATGGCAGCACAAGCCCGGCCATAGTGCAATTTACTCTGAGCAATCCATTACCACAAACCAATGAACGTGTCGCGTCGTGAGGCACTTGGGGTCAATCCATGATCCATCTCATGACCTGAACGAAGAGGGTTGAAGCATGAATGTGGTCTGGTAGCAAACATCTTGACTGGGCACGCTGGGTTTGATCGAACCACTTGCTGTTGCAGAAATTCTGCTGCCTGATCATTTTCCTTTCTATTCCAGTAATATTTGTGTACGGAGTACACCAGCGAGTCTCTCTCTCTCTGTCTCTCTCCTTTTTTTTTTTTTGTCTTGCTGTTCATCTGCTCTCTATTTTGCACCTCTTTTTGCCATTGTAGCTGAAAACTGTCTTGTCGCGAGCTATCAAGGGCGAAACGGGAATCAAAACTTGTAACGCGCGCCAATATCAGTACTATACGACAAAATCCATAAATCAATACAGCCCTCAAGGTCACGCATGAAACACACGTGTTCGTGGTGCGCTGTGAATATTTTCTCCCCCCAGTCATGGTGTGACTTGCATGCACTCTTGTGTCACTCAAGGTTTCTTGACTTGACAGTCCTACATCTTGCACGATTTATACCAACGCCGCTGTCAAATAACGACATGAGCAAAAATCGCCCGATGCAAAGCAAAACCAAAGGCAATGGAACATGAATAGCACATTCCGCAAACTATTATACCTTGATGCGCTGCAAGTTCTCTTCCGGTCGGAACCGATCGTACTCCGGGAAACGCTAAATCAACCTACCCTAGACAATCCCCAAACTCACCAAGTCGGACTTGACAGGAAAGGAGCACCACATGGCAGATACAGTAGTATACCCTAGTATACTACAGTAGTATATCATAATATGGAGCGCGACAGCCAGGTACCTGAATTATTTGCATCCCCTTAATGTTTTGCCTCCCACTACAAGTCTTGTGTCATAGCACCGAATTATATTGAGAAAATGCCTACAACCCCACCTTACTTTTTTGAAGTTTAAGCTAACAATAGTCATTTGATGTCTTGCATACTGATAGGAGCTCAAGTTTTAAATATACACAGTTTATAATTATACACAACAGGAATTAGCGACCAAAGTTTGGGCTAAAGAAGGGAAAAACACCCACTGCTGGAGCCAATCGTCGTGCGAATCGCGTTTGGAACTATACCCAAATTTTTCGGTTCTCATCGCACGCTGCTTGGGACCTCTTTTGACCTCATCAATCGCAAGTCCTCCCCACGAAGACGTTTTTACTATCCTGATGGCTGGCCATCCACTCAAGAGCATGACCAGCCACCCGTCTCGCCAGTGATTCAGAGCTCGCTGTTTTCCCAGGTAGTTTTGTCTCCAGAGACAACTTGCTGGCGGGCAGCAACTGAAGACAATGTAGCTTGAATTAAATTAGACGCCGTCGCCAATTCCCAATCACCCCATGTGCCTTATTGAGGCCCTATGAGCACGGTAGGTTGAAGCATTGATGCTTCAACCTAAGCAGAGATCTTGTCGTGAATCCCCTTGCCACGCGCTCTCCAGCAACACTCCATGGTTTGAACATCATGGTTCTCATGAGCTGGAATGATTTGCGACAGAGGTCCTGTGGGACAGGCTTCTGGGAGACATCAGAATGAACGCAAATAAATTAAATGAGGCGATATTCTAGGGCTTGCAGCGGCCAGAGTAGAAAGATTCTTTCTATGCACGGATAGGTTCAACATCTCTTTGGGCATCGCCAGACGCATCATGAAGCGTGCTGGTCTAGTTTAAGGCGATGCACAAATGCTATTGTGGAGCTTGCATGCAGAGTGCAACGTCGATTTCGACGGAATCGGGTCGTTTGCGTGCGAATTGATTGGGCGAAAAGCGTCAAAAAGCACTCATGATAGAGTAATGCATTTGCCAGGCCTGCTTGTCGCTTCAGATCTCTTCCAACACGTCTGTATTCAGGAGACCATGCAAATCGGCCACGCACCAATTTCGACTTTAACCGGATGACTTTTGCCCTTTCTTTTGCTACGAATACTAGAGTATCGAAGTACGGGGTCCGTCTGTACAATAAGCAACTGTCCGCTGGGGTTTCCCGCCAAGTATCATCAACATCAGACGCGGATCCTGGTATGGGCGGCGTGCGATTTAGCGACCGACACCATGTGGCCAAAGCATCGTGTTGATATTATTGACGAATGTCTTTCTATACTTTGTTGTCCGTCACCGAGACGAAATCCTGCGAATTACGTCGCTTGAGCATTCCCAGGGAGGGGGGGCTCTCGAAATTTGCCTACTCTCTAGTCAATCCAATGATAACGTTACAATGGTGCCAATACTTTTGACACTTTGTGCGTTGGAACGGTTCTGTTGCCAGGGCTGGTCGCATGGCTTTACACCTAGTCTTGGATGCCTTAGAAGGATAATGCCAAAAACCGTGAATCTGGCTCTCATCAGTCCTGATGGAGCAGCTATTTTCGGGATAGGGATGTGAACTTTTCCAACCTCCAGCAATCCTCATCTTATCACAAAAGTCGTCCTGGAGTCCCGACATGGTTCGGCAATGGATGTCCCACCCTGTCTGTGACGGCTTTTTCGTAAAGTTCGTAACTGGCACGAGGCTCATGTCCGTAGCCGATGGATCCGTTTCCAGAAATCGGACGAGCTTTCTCTTCATTTGGCCTTCGGAGATTCGAGACAGCAGGAAAGACGCATACGTTGTCTCATCCGTCTCGGTACCAAGATTTGACGCGGTTGCCTAAATCTGTAATCTCGTCTTCGCTATCAAGGGATGTAATTTTATCTGTTACTAGATATGAGGCGGCTATTTTGGCAAAGAAATCACGGATATCCTTTAATTTATATAAAGAAGAATCAAATAAGAAATAAAAATTCTTAAAATTCCTACTATAGTTGTTGTTCTTGTTATTATTCTTGTTATTATTCTTATTATTGTTCTTGTTATTATCGTCGTCGTCGTTGTCGTTGTTGTTGTTATTGTTACGCTAGACAAAATCAAACTCCAGGTAGCTTAGTGTAAATAGGTTAAATGTAGCGGTTGGGATAAATATGCTGATGATATGAAGGAGCAGGGACTTTGCTGATGCTTTCCGGACTAGGACATGATATCACAAAGCGCGTGCTAAGAAGTCAATACCCACCGCCCGATAAACCCGCGTAATATTTTCTTAAAAAAAAAGAGCCAACAAAAGACTAAAAAAATTCGTCGTCCACCTCCTCCTTGACCTTCTTCTTGTCCTCCTCCTCCTCCTCCTCCTCCTCGGCCTTCTTGGCCAATTCGGCCTTCTTGGCCAATTCGGCCTTCTTGGCCTTGGCCTTCTTCTTCTTCTTATTCTTCTTCACCCCCCCATTTGAATTGGCTGGGGGGCCACCAGGAGACATGGTGCCCGAAGGCCCCTAAATTCCCGTATTTCATTAGCAAGAGCTTAAATAAGAGTCTGGTGTGTCATGTCATATAGCTTACGTGAACAACAGCCGAGCCACTGAAAAAAAAATTATTAACCACGCCGGCGTACACTATTCATTAGTTAAAATACTTTATTACCCAGAGGGTACATAATACTCACGTGGCGCGGCGGCGGCGGCGGGGCGGCGGGGGAGCCGGCAGTCTCGGGCATAATGCCCCAATTGGCCACAATTGTGGCATGTAGACCTCTGCTGCTGCCGCTTCGCGGCATATTTCTTGCCCTTCTTCCGGGCGGCGGCAGCGGCAAGGGCCCCAGGGGCCGAGACTTGGTAATCTCCCATCTGAAAAACAGTTGGGTATCAGTATATATAATGGGATAAGAGAAGATGCAACGTACGCGGCCAGGGAGTTGAGACATCTTTTTGTTGTGATGGGTCAGTTGTCGGACTGAGTAAATGGCTTGGCGCGTGCTCTCACAAAATTTTCTTGGAGAGAAATTAGAGAGAATGAACAATTTTGCGTCAGAAGATTGGGAGATCGGGTTATGAGCAGGTACGGTGAAGCGGTGTTCGACAAGTCGGCCATCGTGGTGCAAGGCACTTACAAAATTAACTACCAGATACTAGGCAAGCAGGAAAGTTAGCGAAACAGAACCACGAAGGGTAGACGGACATACATGATAGAAGTAAAAACTTCTGCGGCCAGAAAAAATTGATAAGTATATGGGTCTCGGCAATCTTTGCGAATTGTATGGAACAGGTCACGACAGGACAAGATTTGGGCCATTGTCGGCAAATGACTTACGTACTTCAGAGAGGCTGCTGAGACTGGTCAACATGAATATATCAAAAATGCAGGTACGTGTTAAACTTACGTCCCGAAATAATGATTTCAACCTAGAGCGTAAAGGATCAATTGGTCAGTATAAATTGAAGAATTGGAGGTGGCAAGATGAGACTGATTGAATTTGGGTAGTAAAAAGCCTGAGTTGCGTCACGTTCAACGTACGAAAAACTGCGTTCCAATATTAGTGCTACCTAAACCCCAGAAATGACACCTGTATGGCTTACAAAAATTTATTCGACTGGCTTATGAGTACAGATTGTAAGTCGTTAGCGAAGAGGCCAAAATTCAGAGTGTCGGAGAAATGTCTGTTTCAGGCAGCGGCTCGAGCGGTAAGGGTCAACGTACACAACAAGGGTAAGTAAATCTGCAACCATGATGTTAGCATTACCGTACATTGATTGCATGACAAATGAACTTACGATTGAACTTGATCGGTTCTGTCGCATTCAATGGCTGTGTCAGTGTGCAATTCATGTACGGTCCTCTGAACGGAGGGAGTAATTGCTCACTTTTGGAGGATAACCTGGAAAGAAAAATAGTCAGTATAGCACAAACTTGGGGGAAAACGTGAAAAGGAGCCTACTACTCTTGGTAAAGATCTATCAAACGTAAAAGTTGGCAAAGTTGTTCCAGAAATACAGTTCAAATGTCAATTGGCCGCATGGGTGAGGCAGGATTGAGTGTGTGATGGAGATGGACAAAGGGGTTTCCATACTGGAAAAGAGATACTTGATCAATTGAAAAAACAGAAATCAAGGAATTCGATATTGATGGAAGTGTTTTTCATCATTCAACGAGGCAATCCACAAGGGAAAACGTGGCAACGTACTTACAGCTTTGTGGCTGGTCCTGCGGGAGAAGAAGAATAAAGAGGGAAAAGAGGAGAGAGGAGAGAGATGGAGCTGTTTTTACTAGATATCTGGGTAATTCTTGATCCTGTGTCCCGACCGGTCATCTCGTTACTAGGGCAGGATCCTGGGCAACTACCAAGAGAGTGTTACAGCTGGCAGGAATAAACACGACAGGTGCCAACTTTTCTGAAATCATAGGTCCAGCCAATAAATTCTCCTGAATACAAGAGCAAGGTGCAAAGTGGCTTGTAGGTAGTAACTGTAAAATAGAAGGAAATGGAATATGAAAGAAGCAGTGCTAGTGAGAAGCCGGCATCTCTTTTTTTTTTTATACGGGAAGTTACAAAGATGGCAGCGACAACAAAACGACGACGACGATAACCGCCCCACCGCCAATATTCTGTGTTTTTACGACTCTGCCAAGAGTCTTAATTTGGTAGATCTTCTGTTTTCCCTTACAAGACTAGGCTACAATGTCAACTCAGCTGCATCTACTATTGTGGACAACCAATTATTTTCAATTGGGCCAGGAATTCTTGGGGTAGTGCCATACTTGTCTTGCGCGTTAGACATGGCTTGGTTGGGCAGACAAGCCCTATTACATCAGGACCAGTATGTTTTTTATGCATTGGACATGAACCGTTATCCAAACGATTGGGAGCACATGTGTTGTGGCACTGCTGGCAGACTGTCTATAAAGGTGGTAGCTGTAACATTTGAAAGCTTATCGCGTTATTTTGGACTCCGAAGCAACGGAAGAAGCGATGAGAGGTCGACAGTATGCTCACGTCGGAAAGTATAAGCCTAAGACCTTCCAATGCTGTACATCCGTGCAGATCACAATCGTACTCTGATTGATATTCTGACAGAGAAACAATCTGGTAGAGTGTATTTATCTGGTAAGAGCTATATATTAATATATTTACTTATAAGGAGATATACCTAAAAATACTATAATATATTAACTTATTAATAAGTATATACTAATATACTATAATATATTTATTTATTAGTAAGTATATACTAATATATTATAATATATTTATTTATAAATAAGTATATACTAATATATTAGAATATATTAGAATATAAAAGCTAATAACTAGGTACCTTATCTGTTTATTACTCTTTACCTCGCTCTAATAGTACTGATTTATACTAGATTGGCGACATCATTCCCATCCTCAATTCAACTTTCGCAAACGCTTGGTAGGAGGACACCATGACGGGGATCACACACAGATGAGACACACGACATGACTATGAGACCCGACGAGGACAAAGACGCTGCTGCACTCATGCGAATGTTTATTTTATTCTTAATGTAACCTTATCCCAATGTCTCCACGCCAGATGTCCGCGCTTGGAGATGACCAGTGCCTTTTGGCTCACCAGCTGGACTTGATACTTACCAATGTCCACCGTATCGATTCGTGTAAGATGATCGGTTTCGACGGGAAAGTTTAAAAGAACATTGAAGTCATTTTCATTTTTTATGCATTATTTTGCGCGTGTGTCGGATACATGATCCGTGTGTCGGATACATGATCCGTGTGTCATGGTCCGCGCTTAACGAGTCAGTTATTGAGCATCGTGCTCCAGTGATTAGGAGCTCCTCAGAGTGAAAACAAGATTCTCCTTCCCCGACTTCAGTCCCGTGTTCTTTTCCATTCTAGACACCAGTGACTCTTTGGCTAATGAAAGGGCCATTTGATAAACTAGACACCATGCTCCCAGAAGACAAAGGTGCATGCGCCGTACCTCCCCCAGACGGTATCAAGATCAAGGTGGGGGGATCAACTGTTGCACAAAAAATGGGCGTGGCCACACCACAAGTAATTGTCTGTTAATACCCCCTATATCCTGCGACATCAACCACATGCAAGACGACAGATTCTTACACAAATCCCTACAAGACAAGCCACGAGCCTGCCTATTTTCCAGGGGATTCTGCTTGCGACAGGCAGGATAGTTCCAAGATCGCTCCAGCACCTAGGTCAAAGTAACGGTTGTGGCGTTCGCGGGCGTTCGCGGGCGTAGTCTGCGCAAGTCCTCGCGTCCTCCCGTACCTTTCGGAAAATCCAGACTGAAGAGACACGAATAACCCCCGTCAATCGGAGCCCCTGTAAGAGCTCTCTAAAAATCTCTGTAGACGCGGAAAGCAAGCTTCCGCCGCCGTGTTAGAAGGGGCTTCTAGCCCCTCTCCCCGTCAACCTGCAACAGTTTCTGGTCGCAGATCTGGCTGTTTCTGACCTCAGTCCTACGACCTAAAATCTCCGTGGGCTCATGGGTAGCGTTCTGGAAGCCGGGCCGGCCGGCAAGGAATAAAAGAGCCATCTAATCTTTTTGCATAGAGATCCCAACCAAGTTGGCGGTTTAAAATACGAGGCCCCGGCATCCTCCTCGTTGAAGCTAGTGCTCGCGGAATGCTCTTTACAACAATCCCTTTGGGGCCACAATATTGTAAACACACAATTCCTTTATTAACGTCCGATACATGCGCCCTTTGCGGACATAATTCAAATTTACAACAGCAATGCATACACGAACGATTCTACAGGCGGCCTGCGTAGTAGGATCGACCTATGTAAACCTGATACAAGCCCAGACGCTGGCTATCAACAATGTCGGTGTCATCGACATGGCGACGGGCCAAGTCCAGGAGTCGCAGAATATTCTAATCAATGGCAACACGATTGTGAGCATGCAAAGCGAAGCGATCAATCCGGGGGCCGAGAACAATTTCGATGCCACGGGCATGTTCGTCATGCCTGGACTCGCCGACATGCACGTCCACTTATACTTTAGCAACAACCCAGCGAGCTTCGCGACGACGGATAACTCGGTGCTCCCCGCGCTGCTAGCCAACGGCGTGACGACCGTCCAAGACCTCGGCAGCAACTGCGACGCCGTCAAAAACACAGTGCTAAGAATCGGGCAAAGCCAGCTGCTGGGCCCGCGCATATTCACAACGTGCGAGATGCTCGACGGCGCGGACTCGCAATTCGAAACGGTCAAGAGGCTGGAAGATCCCGAAGCAGTGGAAAGCGAGGTCCAGAACCTCATGGCGCAAGGCGTCAACAAGATCAAGGTCCACCTGCGCCCGAGCCGGCCCGTGTTTCAAGCCATAGCAGCAGCGTGCCAAAAGAACAACATCATGTTTGGGGGCCACGTCCCCGACTCGATCGACGCGCGAGAGGCCGTGGACCAGGGGATGAACTTCATCGAGCACATGAGTCGCATTCCGCCCGACGACGCAAACCTCACCCAGACGATAGGCGAGAAGCAGCTCTGGGTGACGGGTACGCTCATCCAAGGGCCGTCGCAGCGCCGCCTCGGCCTGGCCAACAACTTGCGAATAGCCGGCGCCCGGATGCTCGCCGGCACCGACACGCCGCAGGGGCGAGGCCTCTGTCCGAACGGCGCCACACACACGGAACTCAAGCTGATGGTCAAGGCGGGATTCACGCCGCTGCAGGCGCTTCAAACTGCGACAACTAATGCGTACGAGTCCTTGAATATGCTTTCCCAGCTGGGGGCGATTGAGCCGGGAAAGATGGCGGATATGGTCTTGCTGAGGGGGAATCCGGTCGAAAACATCGACAACATTGACGCGATTGCCGGAGTTGTTGTGAATGGCACACTTCACGACAATGAGGCGCTTGACAAGATGCTCAGTGATGCCGACGTCGTCAACCAGTTGCCATTTGCGTGTGGTAACAAGAACGCCACAAAGCCTAGGGCTGCTGCATGTTGCTCGGTCTAGGTCCGCGCGAACCTCCCTTGTCAGCGACAAGTCATGACTTGGCCTCGTGTTGGGCCTTTTTTGCTTTTGGTCGGAGCATCTTTTCAGCTTGGTTTTTCGTGTTTGGCGTTTTCTGGCCATGGCGGCGCGGGCCGAGTTGCGTTTCGTAGCGAATCGAGCACGAAGCGAAATTATTCCCCGTCTGGGATGGGATAGTACGTACGTGCTGTCGGATAACACGTTGCACGACGTGTACAACCATCCTTTGATGATAGCAAATGACGTTCTTGTCACCGCATCAGAAGCATGGGTCAATCGCCACCAGTGTCGGCGTGTACCGGCCATTCTTTGTGGATGAAGCAGCCAATGCAGAGGCGCAAGCAGGCCACAGCCGGTGCGGAAAGCCGGCAAGTATCTGAGATCAGGAATAGCACGCAAGATGCGGTGTTTTGATAGTATAATGTATAAGTTGATGTCGAATCCAACTAATTGAGCACTGGTTTCAACATCATGTCTGGGGATGTAAGCTTCGTACGACCCCTGTTCCGAGACAAGACGTGCACTGACGTTGCTACCGCAACGTCAGTGATTGCTTCAATGGCGACGGCCATCACTCGATACTTTGATCGATACTTGGTTCTGGTGTGTGTCCCGACGCAGCTCCCGGCGTTGAGGCACTGGTACTCCAAAGTGTGCCCTCCACGACAACACCACTCGGCCACTCCGCCTGTTGTCTTTGTTGAAGGATGGTGAGTTATTCGAGAAGATAGAGATGCTCTCCATGGATAAAGTGATGAAAAATTGTCGGTGCTCTTTGGGGGTAACCCAGGCGGCATCAGGGCGTATGTTCGATGGAGATCAGAAGTTCCTGGACCTATATCTAGAATGAGAACGTGGTGTCTAGCGTTTGCAAGCAGCTTTCAAGCTTACCACCTATTCGCGACTAGTTGGCTTAGCCGGTAGCTTCCCAAACTTATGTATAAAGTCATGTACCAACGAATGGATCGCAACTCGCCCTCTCGGCCGTCTCCAGAGTCCAGACCGGAGTGTACAGTGGCACTGCCACTGTACACTCACCTGAGTACTCTTTCCCTTGCCCGGCCGTGCCTTCACAATGGAAGCTTGGTATTTCGCTCGCTCGCTCCACTGACAATACCGTCCGTGATTGTGGTTCCAACATGCCGCGAGGTTGCACGTTGGCGGCATTGCTGTGGCAGCGGTCGTGAGCATTGGGAAAGCGCGAGTCACCAAAGGAGGAACCGCGAAAAATACTAGAAGCGGGGCGGGACGAGGTGGGGCGAGCCAGGTTGTGCGGGGTGGTGGTGTGGTGGGGCGTTTCCAGACTTGGATCATGGATGATGACGGTGTAACCACCATCTCCACCACGTCGAAAATGGCGCACAAACGCCCTCATATAATTAAATAACTCACCATCCTTCAACAAAGACAACAGGCGGAGTGGCCGAGTGGTTATGGCGATTGACTAGAAATCAATTGGGTTCGCCCGCGCAGGTTCGAGTCCTGTCTCCGTCGTCCTTTTCTTTTTGTGTTTCCCACTTACAAGAAGACTCGCGAGTTGGCCACATGTTTGTGGCTTGCTTCGACTTTTTTTGCAGACACACATTGGATTGGACATGGGTCCACTTTTAGCATTTGTCTCCGCGACCTGGGCCAACAAGAAGACCCTCAGCCCAGAGTGAACAAGCGAGGTGGTGCGAGATGGCGCAAATTTGAAGCCATCACCAACCTTGCAGGACACGGCACGCGGTACGTCGCCCACAACGCAAGAGTGGCACACAGTGATGCTAGGTCCTAGTGCCTGAGGGCTCTATTTTTGGGACAAGCAAGACGTGGCTCTAGAGAGCTCGCATAAATTGTTCAAATAATAGTAGGGTGAGATGCTCCGAGTAAAATGCCTTGAGACTCAGCGGTCGCTTCACGGCGACAAATGCGTTGCACAACGATCTGATCTGGATCAAAAATACGGAGTACTCGGTAAATATGTGACTGGTGTCAATACTGAACAATAGCAAGGGTCGTAGCCAATGGGGTATTGTCATCACAATCGTTCCGGGGCATGCTTTTTGTAACACTACCGCTGATTTTCCGAGCAGCAAGAAGGGAAAAAGCATACTGCGCGTTGAGCTCAGGTTATTGCAAAACTCATGGGGATACAGTCTGTGAACAACCCATGACAATAGTGTACGAGTGTGTTGAAGTGCTTGGCATGAGGCGTACAAATTCCGGCGTGTTGTTTGCTTCCTTGGCAAGTGTGCCATTTTACAAGGTTCACGTAATCCGCATTCAAAATTTGGTGATGACTCTACATGTCTTTCTGCGTAGGCTAAATGCCAACATTCGAGAAGCCACAAATTGCTCCAAGACCTAGATTTTTAGACTGGCTCTCCACGACGCAATGTCTTTTCTACTATTCCCGAGATTGACATTGCTTGGAATGGAAGACTTTGCACTGCGCGTTAGATTTGGCCGCTGTCCCTCCTCGACTCGTGCTATAGGGTATGGGAACACTGCTCCGGCTCAGCTTCCAACCACCATCGTGGGTGACCAGCGCTGGGTTTACCATCAGATATCGGCTGGTAACTTCCCCGTGATGACTCATGAGCAACCCATTTTTACCTTCTCATGAGCAACACACATACTGGGGAACCATTCATCGCCCGGAATATTTCACTACCCTTTGGGTGGCGGGCCGCGCGTGGTTCGTTTGTGTGTAAGCTTTTCAAGGCGGATTAAGAAGCCGGTTTCACAACGAACAACAAGGCGGAGTGGCCGAGTGGTTATGGCGATTGACTAGAAATCAATTGGGTTCGCCCGCGCAGGTTCGAGTCCTGTCTCCGTCGATTTCTTTTTGTTGTTGTGTTATTTTTCCATCATGTCATATTTTTTGGTGGTGTTTTCGGCTGTGCCGTTTGATGGGTTGCCAAAACGGGCTGCAGCCCCGAGTGGGCGGCCCGCCCCACTATTTACCCAGCCGGGCGGGAGACCCCACCCAAAAGCTTGGTGCTGGACCCCACTTGAGCGTCATACCCACCAGACAGAGAGAGGGTAAATTGGCAACTTGGCAACGATGGGAGATGGCACGATTTGGGTCGCTGCTAGCTGGCCTTCGCCCTCATGGCGACTAGGGATGAACCACAAATTTGGGTCCATCGTCGCAAATTCCGAAGCCATCGGACGACTCTGAAACCCATGTCTGCTGCTGTGGCCCAAGGCTGGGAACCGTTGACTATTGTCTTGGCCGCACTTGTTGCTCTTGTTGCCGACTCGCGTGACGGGAGTGACTTTTTGCCGGGAGGAGCTCTTGGAACTGGGCGGCCAAAAAGTGGACATGTTGCTTTGGGCGTTTATGGTGCTGCTACGCGCGCGTGTCGTTTCGTGACCGCCTGTAGCCATCACCGACTTTCACCGCAAATGTGCCGTGACGGATCATCCCAATTAAGCTCTATCCAGGGCCTTTGCTGTCGGGGTGAAGAATAATCAAGGTCAACTACATACTACTAGTACTAGTCTGTTTTGACCCCCGCGTTTCACATCCTCCGCGTTGCCCGATTGGACAACAAAACTACTCCGTATGGTATGGACTACGGAGTATGGAGTACTACTACATTGCTCCAACTCCATCGCGAAATAGACTATTGCGCTCTTTGACAGGTTGCTCTTGTGCTGCATTGCGCATAACAGCATGTCGACATTTTGTCGACGCGGTCGCCTCTGACGATGAGCGGCAACAGACACCGGCCAATGCACATGTGCCGTCACTCATGCTTTATAAACCCAAGTCAATCTCAATCCATGGAAATAACCGCGGGCCTTGCACCGAGACATGGCCACGTTTTTCGAGTCTCGACGACCAGATTGAGCGTCGTGCACGAACTGCGCAAGGGGGAGCGCTCACACGGCCCGGGATCGACGCCACCAAAACAAACGGCCCTGCCAAAACGCAAGCTTTTTCCATCCTGGTCATAACCAGTGGCCATTAACAAGCTCGCAAACCCAGCCGAATCCGAACAAGACGAACCAGCAAAGAGCCTGTCGCATTGGCCGCCGTGGCGCCTTGTGGGCAATATGGAGGCTAATGACTCTGCGGGGGTTGGCGCCTCCCGAGATGGTTCAAAAAGGGCATGACAAGTCGACATGGACACTCATTTCCGCCAGTGGACAAATGTATATTCTCAACTGCATACCGTCTTTTTTCACTGACGAAAAGCTCTGGGGGAAAGTTGTTGCCCCTGTCGAAGCGGAATGCCTCCCAGTTCCTGACGTCCGCTTTGTTGGCCCCAACACCGAGTGAGACACTGTGAAATCACCGCCTCGCCTCAAAAAAAAAAAAAACGGATTGCCTCCTCTCTCGTTTCTCTACAGACATGAATGTAACGATGGAGTGCGAGCTGGACCGAATCGACATGATGCATTCGGGAATACAATTCTCGTATGATGACATTGCGTTTGCGCCGGCATCCACCGCGCACGGGACCTACTACGACGGCGAGCAGGACGAGGTAGAGAATCTGGATGAGTACCAAGAAGGCGGCCATCACCCGGTACACATACACGACCGCCTGGGCGCGCAGAGATACCGCGTCATTCACAAACTCGGCCACGGCGCGTACGGCACCGTGTGGCTGTGTCGAGACCACCAGCTCCACCGCTATGTCGCCGTCAAGGTCATGACGGCGGACGTGTCGCTGGACCGGGTGCCCGAGATGTCCATCCTGAAGCGTCTCGACCAGACGAACCCCGGGGCGCGGCACATTGCCCTGCCGCTGGACAGCTTCGCGGTCTACGGGCCCAACGGCACGCACCAGTGCATCGTCTTCCCGCTGCTGGGCCAGTGTGTTTCCCCCGTCCTGTGGCAGCGACTCGAGCACCCGGGTCTGGTTCTCAGAAACCTGTGCCACCAGGCGGTGCTGGCCTTGAACTGCCTGCACGAAGGCGGCGTCGGCCACGGAGGTGAGGCCTTGACGGCTAAAAAGAAAAAAAAAGCTGTATAAGCTAACAACACGAGCAGATTTCCGGCCGTCCAACATCCTGCTCAAAGTTTCGGGGCTAGACGGCCTGAGCGAGGACGAGCTTCTCTCGCAGATAGGATACCCAGAGCCGGGCAACGTCGTCGCCGACCACGGCGGGCCGCTGCCGCCCTTTTCTCCGCGGTACCTCGTCCCGGCGGCCGACATGTCGCGCCTCGACTCCAAGTACCTGCGGGAGGAGGTGTGCCTGATCCGCCTCGGGCAGCTGTACCTCGAGTCCGCGCCGCCGCCGGACCTGGGCACGCCGGAGAACTACCTGCCGCCGGAGCGGCTGGTGGACGACCAAAAGGACCGGGTAGGGCTCAGCTGCGACATCTGGGCGCTGGGCTGCACCCTGTTCGAGATCCGGCTGCAGACGCCGCTGTTCCACATGCTGTACGGGCCGGACGAGGTGCTCGACGAGATGGTCAGCTTCTTCGGGAAGCTGCCGGAGCCGTGGTGGTCGCGGTGGGAGCAGCACGGGGACTACCGCGACGAGGAGGGCAACACGCTGCGCAGGAGGGTCGACGTGGACGGCGAGCCGTACGGCATCGACAGCGTGCTGCGGGGGGACAAGTCCAGCATGAGGACCGTCGACGGCGTCTTGCGGGTCGTCAAGACGATGGAGGTGCCGCGGGACGAGGTGGCCGCGCTGAAGGCGCTCCTGCTCGGGATTTGCGCGTACGCGCCCGAGAACCGCCTCTGCACGGGGGACATTTTGCGCGCCGAGTGGTTCAAGAGGTGCAGCTGGTCGTGAGGCCGGCGTGGCCGTGGCTCGCACGTGAAGAGGTGTATATACATATCCTGGGCTTTGTCGTCCTTCTAAAGCGATGCTCCTGCGCTGGACAGCCTTGTCATGTGAAGGCCAAAGCTGCCCAGTGGTGGCTGCTGCATGTATATAAAACGATTGAGCTGGCAACTTCTGCAAGATGCGTCGTGGCGCAGGACCACCAAGTCAACTGTTCTTCATCCACCCGTCGACACAACCTTTGCGTTGGGAGTCTTTGCCGCCTTTTTCCTCGCTGTCCTTTGAGTGGAAAAATTGGGGTGATGCCAGAGTAGACGAATGAGGAAACTTGCAGTATTGCTCCTTCCCTCTGGTGGTTTTTGCAAACATTTTGGATCCTTCTAGATGTTCGGTGCGGGGCGGGCCGAGTTCTATATTTAGTGCGCGCTGATCTCGTCGGCACTTGAGCGCCAGACCTGTTGGCATCCCTGTGGAGAAGGGCACATGGGTTGCGGCATGATGCTCGATGGTATGATTGAATCTTGCGTTGAAGCTTGAAGGCATGCTCTGGTGACATTTCGGAATCGCAGCGCTAGAAGGAGAGGAATGCTACAGTTACGGGCCTTGACGGGTCAAGTAAAGGATCCTTGAAAAGTCTACAAGTAACTAACCGAGGTTTTTCTTTATCAACCCATACCATTGTGCCGTTTATATTCTTTACACTGATAATCTGTTCACACCTATCATAAATGAATCCCAAAGCAGTCACCGGCCAGAGACGGCAGAGCCCTTTCCAAGCTCGCCGTTTCACGAATTCCGTTCGCCTTGCTCAACGCCTTCAACATATCTAGTTTACACTTTGCACAGTCCAGCTGGTCCTCGTGGCTACGACCCCCGGCCCCGCAGCCGTGTACCAAGTTCAGCAAGACGTCTAGGACCCCAGGCTGGATCGTTATGACCATGCAACCTGCATTGCCACATGGCATGAAAGGGCTCATTTCCCGCCCGCGCGTCTTACACCCTTGGACGTCATAGTTGCGATACACGGAAACGGAATATATCATGTTCTATTATAGTCAATTTGCTATGTCCATTAATGCTATTTCCCATCATCGTCGCCTCAAGTCCAACCCGACTGAGTATGCTATTAGATGCTGCCCCCACATACTTTGACTGCCTCCCGTTCAGCAGATGCCAGCAATATCGTCATTCATCATGAATAGCGTCCGTCCTCATCGCAACGCCTATGGAAGTCCCTGAGCCGGGTAGCTCTTGTCGGGCGAGACAACCTGGCCGTTCTCGACCTCCTTATCGCTGTAGGCGGGGTAGGCAATGATGCGGTGCTTGTTGTCGACGACGGCAAAGGTGGTGAAGCCGTTGCCCGGGCCGAACTGGCCGCTCCAGCCAGAGGTGATGGTGTAGTCGCCAAAGTTCTGGGCGCCGCCGTTGCTCTGGGCGGCGGGGGTGCTCCCGGCGTTCCTGACGACAAAGTCGACGGCCGTCTTGGAGTAGATCTTGGGGTTGATGGCGAACTTCCAGTGGCACTCGGTGTTGTCCTTGTTGCACCAGCGGTGGGCGCCCTCGATGGTCCACTCGGGGATGCCCTGGACCAGCATGGACTTTTCGGCCGGGGCGGGAGCCGCAGCCACGGAGGAGGCGGCGAAGAGGGCGGCCACGATGGTCTGGGTGAGTTGCATGTTGGCGGTGGTGGAAAGGGTGCAAGTGTCTTGTGTAAGTGGATGGATGGGCTTGGATGGGATGAGACTCGAGTCAGTAGATGGATGCTGAGGAGTGAATTGCAAGAGGATAGCTGGAATTTGGGACAGACACAGGGCGCCTTATATAATTTTCTCGTTTTGCGCAGTCTCCCGGACTCGTTGCGTTGTGCTCTTGTCGTCACGGCGGGCGAGACAGCAGCTCAGGCTGACATCACGAAGCTGCCGTCGGTCCAGCCTCCAGGTCGATACCCCATGTGGCAACAGGTCCAGCATGACAAGCATGCACGCCCGTAACACGACATGATCGGCAGACGGGTCGCTTGGCCCACCTCGTAAAACCACATCACTGCTGGAGGTTACTACCCCAGCCAACCACTCGTTGCCGCATGTCGGCCGTTTTGGCAGCGTCCTATTGCTATTGCCCCGGGCGAAACTTGTCTCCCTGCGATTGACTGCCAGCGACGGGTTTCTGGTTCCGGAAAATATGCCAGAACAAGGTGAGGTTGGGACGAACGGCCCTTCGCCCCAAGCCCACGGCCCAAGACACGGGCTCACTCGAGGCAAGACACTCGCAGGCTTCCTCACTCGCTCCTAGCCACTCGTAGGCCAAAGAGCTTGGCAGTGGCTCAGAAGGCACGAAAGAACCTACTGCGCCGTGTCCAACCCATGGTTCGTGCAGCGTCAGTCGTGGTATGATTTGAATCAACTGCCACCCCATTACCTAACGTGTCAACGTGTCCGACTTGCTACTGGCCGACTGGTTCGATTCGATCCGGGCTCTCTGCATCTCGGCAACTCTGCATCTCGGCTCTACGGAGCACAGGGAGCATCCGGCTGAAGCTGTCTGGGGCCTAGCTGCCGCAACCTCGTATTTGGCCATGAAGAACTCCATGTCAGCAAGCCTTGCCTCAACGGGGACAGAACTTTTCCCACGTCACCGTGACAGTCGGTGAAGGAGACGGCGCCACCGACGCAGCTAAACCCGGCAGGGCTTCGTTGCTGCCCATGACATAACCGGGCGGCGTATGTGTGTTGTTGCGCGGATACCTGCACTATCCGAGGCCGAGACCCTTTTCTTTGCCGCCGTTGCAACGGCCTCGAGAGGTTTCCGGATGCCTTTCCACTTGTCAACAGGGCTGTTCGTGTGCGACAACCCCGAGAAAACTTGGCCGGTCAATGGGTTCGAATAGGGCGGCTGAGGCTGCGGGTGGCTTCGTGCTCTCCAACAGCCTGGATGGGACAAAAAGAAACGCTGCCGCTACAGATGATCCACCAGGTTCGACAGCGTGGCAATGCCAAGAGGACATCGCAATGATGGAATACGACCGGGCCCTGGCAATTACAGGTTAGGACAATCGGCTCTTTGCCGACGCTTCTCCGCCACGATGACGATGGGTCGCAACTTTGCAAGACGTGATTACATATTTAGCCTTGGGTCGAGTCAAGTCAAGTCAAGTCGCAGAAATCGGCCCGGGATGCCGTTGCAGCAGCTATTTTGGTCACGGCCACAGACCGGGCGCAAAGTGGTTAAACCCGCAAGGCCAGCAAGGCAGCCTTGACTCTTGTCTAATACGCCGCTGTGCTCATGTCGCTTCATTGACGCCTGATTGCCGCGTCTGGTGCATGGAACTGCATGCCTCGCGCAACAGCGATACGTCACGTCATGTCGCTCTGCCGCCGTCCAAGGTTGTGCCACGTTGGGAACGGACAACTCTCGTTTTGTGTTTCCAACCCTGGCACCGATCAAAGCCGCGGACTGGGGAGCCATTCGGGGCGCCGACGCAAGAGTAGCACCGACGGAGCCTCTAAACCGCTTCGTTTTAGCAGCTTCGCGGTAGTACGGGCGCTCAACTGCGTATTTCGACGATACGACTGGGCGTGTGTCGACGATGTAACAGCACGCCGGGCCGCATGAGCCTTGTTCGTCTTGTTGCTGACGGCAGTGGCTGTGGTTACTCAACATCGGAATACGTCCCTTGCTGTCGAGTTGAAAACCACCGCCGCCATTTCCCCGCACAAGGCATACATGCAGAGGAGTACATTTACGTTCCTCTCGATTCGTGGCCAGTCATCGATGTGAACGTAGGGCGCGGTGTCTCGGCCGAATCTCGCGCTTTGAGTCAGCCAAGCCCGCTGCCATTGCTAATCGAGCGAGAGAACCGATAGTCTGCAGAGTCCATCGGAATCCGTATCGTCTGTTCACATCTCTCACAACGTACACTTGAGCCTTTCATTAACTATGTGTAAACACTAGGCTCTAGGTCATCCATCTCGCTTCTTCCATTTACCTGCCTCTAGCGCTGCAGCCTGCTAGTCACGCGCTACCGCTTCAACATTTACGGAGTACTTATGAGACAATCTTTGAGACATATTGAATCGAGCTTCAATGCGTGCAAGGTGTTCACATCAGCGAGTGAAAACTCTTGCACAAGAATGCTCTTTCGTAAAAGACGCACATGCCATTGCGGCTGCGACTTGTTGCCATTCAGGCGGTCAAGCTGTCAATAGTCGTTGGTTCCCTGTTTCAGTGCTTTATGCTGCCACATGACGCAAAGTAAGCCTGATGTGCGGCCCTAGCATAACCAGGGTGCATAATTGAAAGACATCTACAGCTTGGCATCGAAAGTACGTCCGTCTCGAAACTCTCCACCAAGAGGAGGTCAAGTGGCTGGAAGCTGAGATGGACAAAATAAACAATGTAAATATATTGTATCTGCGTCCTTGTAGGATAACTCCGCCCCCGAACTTGGCCATAAAAACGTGCCAAACGTCGCTTTCAAACCAGACACCTGTCATGCCATGCCATGCCATCCCACGTATATACAGTACTGTCTAGTTGATCAGATGTGTTTGTACCAAACTATAATCCATGATGCGAGTCATCCAACCCAATCAGTCCGTTCTCATGCATATGTTTCGCGACAGGATAAACGGCGCGGGCAAAATTGCTCCGGCCCTCGAGCACGTATCGCGGCGTGATATTATAATCGAAGCCCTTGATGATATATCCATGCCGGTCGGGCTGAAAAGCATGAAGGATATATGTACTGGACCAATCCCGCGCCCAAGGGGGGTTGCCACCCGGTCGACCTGAGCCCTCGTCGTGAAACTGTTGTCCTTCTACCTTTCCTCCAGTTTCCGGGGGTGTATCGTCATGGACCTCGAACAGCATGCTGCAGTCTTCCGCCTCCCAGCCTACCGGAGCCAGGGCTGCTTTGTCGAGAATCAACATCTCCCCCGGCTCTGCAACAAGTTGCTCGCCAACCCGGGTGAGCACGAGGTTGCTATGAGTGACCCATCCCCCATCATATACCTGATGCATCTCTTCGTGCCAAAGTGAAATCATCTTGGCGCCCTTTTTCGACATAAAGGTCCCGCTGTTTAATTGACCGCTGATTTCCCTTCCCCCGACGGCGTTAAATCCGCTCTTTAGTATGGGCCGAATATCTCGTAGGGCGTGGGCGTCAAAGTCGATGTATACGCCGCCAAAGTCTCGGATCGCCTGAACCCTGAGAAAATCTGACTTGTGCTCCATTCCTGTTATCTCCACACTGTTGTTTGCGTGACTGGGCACTGGCACGACGTTTATCCTCAAGTTGGGCATGCCAAAGATGAGTCTGTCCCATTTACCAGATGCCCCGTCTCGTGCGCGAGTTATGGAGTCGTCGTGGGCATTGGTGTGAAGATAGATGGTCTGCGGTTGCCAGTAATGCCAGGCCGCATACACAGAAAGATAGTGCTTGAACTGAAACGAAAAGTCGGCGTTGGCATCCTTCAGCACGTACACGAAGTGCACGTCATTGGGAATGCTTGGGTTGTTGCTGCCATGGCGGACGAGTTGACTTGTCCAAGGAGATTGGTAGCCGTAAAATAGTATGATAATAGTCGCCAGCACACTGAAAATGACCATCCAAGTCCGTCGGTCGGGAGACGTGCGCATCCTGTGCCTGCTGCCAATTATAGGCAGTTGATTCATAAAGTCGTTGAAAGTCAAGCCTCCTTCCGTAGTATAAAAACGCCGTGAGATATCCTACTGCGAGCAAAACATGAGCTCATTTTAATGAAATGCAAAGGGCTGCGGCTACTGTGTCTAGTATTTTCTTGGCACCTTCTTCGAAATACTTATAATCAATTCGAAAATTGGGATACAATGAGTGTTGCATTGATCATTACACGTGGCTTGTATGGGTTTGGAAGTCTTACTCGCGGACTTGTAGCCAAACGAGCATACAATAAAACAGGCTGGTAATTTGAAACTGTAATCGTACGAGTTACAGTGTGAAATTGAGTCTGTTCTACGGTATCCGTCTTGACTCGAGTTCGTTTTGCGTCATGAAATCCGACATCAAGGTGCACGCGCATGACAGTGTCATAGCACAACGAGTCATGTGTGACAAGGGCCTAGCTTGGAGCAATTACTCAATTCATCTAATAACAGTCTTTGGTATCAAAGGTCCTTGGTTTTCCTCAAGGCCTTGAGGGACCGAAGATGTCTATTTATACAAGAAGTCGGTGAGGACCTTCTGCCCTAATCCCGTGACCGTAGCCCTTGTGTAACCAGCCATTTCCGTGTAACATCATGAGGAGGGCTTTTGAGCTCCTAATCTCGATGCTAGTAACTTCGCTTGCTGAGCCGGGATGGACGCGAGAGTGCAAGCCGAGCAATTATATTACCCTTGAGACCATCCAGGTGTCTTGTTTATTTGGTAGTCGCGTCGACTAGGCCGTCCGAGGGCAGAAATCTGGCGTAAATAAGTGCGACATTCCGTGGCTTGTGCGTCTGGTTTGTTGTTCCCACACTGTTGATTTTTTGATGAGCATGAAACTACATATTTATATTGCAATGACCTATATGGGTTCAAGGAAGGCAGCAGTAATGTCACAGCAGGGGACTAGAGGAGCTTTTATATCGCGTTCTATAGTGATCTATTAGATATAGGGAGAGTATATATGATTCGCGGTTAGGCTTGGCTTTTAGGGAATAATAAGATAGAGGCGCTTAAGGCAAGTGTTTTCTTTCTTTTTTGACCTTATCCTTTAATTTTATATTATTCTTTACCCTTTATAAGTTACTTACTAATTATTATATAATTTACTACTTTTAATGCTATTTTTTTGGCAGTAAACTATCTGCCTATCTATTAATTATATATTGGTATAATAGTAAAGTTAACTTATATACTGCGATTTATAAACGCTACTTATATATTTAAATTAAAAGTAAAGCTTACTAGGTATTATAATAATTTTATCCCTTTAGCTTTATATAATAATAAAGCTTTTAAAGCTTTATAAACTTATATAAAAACTTAATATATTTATACTAAATAATCTCTTAAATTTAATTATATTCTTAGTAGTAAAAACTTTTACGCTTAAAGCAAGCTTTTTATTAATAGTTTTTATATTTTTTTAAATAAGAAAACCTAATAGCCTAGGTATCTTAACTTACTTATAGTATCCTTTAACTTAACTAATAAAAACCTTGTAAATAGTATTAGTTCTCCTGCCAAAAAAAGCTTATCTTATTATAAAAATATACCGCTTAAGATATCACCTAGTAAGCAGGTAAATATAAGAAGAGTACCTAATTTTATAACTCCGCCTAACTTATGCCTTGCTTTGTATAGTAGGAGTTCTGCTTTAACGCCTTATACTGTATCTGTCGGATAAAGCTGCCTCTGTTAGTTGAACAAGCAGACTTGACGTAATTGCTAGATATTATAAAATTATTAATATTAGTGGTTTAAAGGCTGGCCAGCTACCCTGATTTTATCAGGTAGCTAGGAAATCTTTTAAACTAAAGATAAAAAAATATAAACCCTTTTAAAGGATAAAAAAAAGAAGAAGAAGAATTTTTATTTAAGAAAATAAGCTTAGTTAATAATAAGTCTTATAACGTGACAAAAGTTGTTGTAAAACGGCTTGTTTTGTGCATCAACTTGGTCAACAAGACGAGGAAGATCAAAGATGCCGGCGGTTGTGATTTGCAGCTGGGAGCGGTATCTGGCGGGCATTAGTATTTGCTGTACCATTGTTGCCCGCCTGGCATGTCGGTGTCTCAAGTTCACGCCGTTGCCGGCCGTCTCTAGAGCTTAGGCGTTGCAAGGCAGCGTCTCCCATGACGAATTGCATGGCCAGCGACTTGCCCCATTTTAAAGTCCGGGTATCTGACATTGAGTGTCGCAAATATTGCATAATCTTTGATAAGCTACATGAAACAACAGATTTTATTATTAGTCTGCGTACTTGAAATACCTGCGAGAAGAATCCTGCACCCTGCAACCAGGCCACCAAGAATATAACATAACCTTTTCTCAGCTATTTGTCACACGTAAATTTGCGACGGGTTTGCCCCTCTTATTTTAAATATCCGACAATGTGCTACGCTGAACTCCCGCCTGGAATTTAAAGCCAGGTATCAGGTATTCGGCGTTGATCAAACCTTGTTGCAACATAATAAGTATCACTAATAACTTCAAGTATCAAGTTTATATCATACAAGTTTCTTATTACGATTATACTACTTTGGTAAAACGCGGTAAAGTTACTTATAAGCCAAATATTATATTTATTTCTGTCTAGTTTATTCTTTTCTTACTTATTCTTTGAGTAGTTCTGACTTCAATCATCTTATCTCCCTCAATACTAATAATATGTATACTTTACTAACTAAAGCTAAAAATTTTCTTGAGGCCACTATTAACGCTGGTCAGAGAAAAGTTCTGGGTGCTCTCCGCAAGCTATCCCAAGCGCTGGAATCCCCTCAGGATTCCGCGCAGAGAATTATGTACCTAGTAAGAATTTTTCTAATCCGCCAAATTTGCCCTGCTAATACTCCGCTAGCAAATCCAGATTGCATTAGTTCGAATCGGTTGCGATCTGAGGCTCTTTGACATTCTTGCTGAAAGCCCAACACCTCTGTCTGTCGATGTCTTGTCGCAAAAGACTGGCGCGGCACCGACGCTTCTGGGTACGTTACGTCAAGACCTATCTGGAGCGGCTACTAATTTGAGGCTTTAGGGCGCGTCCTGCGGTACCTATCATCTCATGGAGTAATTAAGGAGATCGGGAAGAATACCTTCACCAACAATAAAATCACAAAGACATTCACTTATCCTGGCTTCCGGGGTGGCATTTACCATTAGTTAGTACTGCGTACCTGTTTTAACTACATATTGCCTTCTTGCAATCTAATTATAGAATATAGTCACGATAATGTTGGCCCTGCTATCCAGGCTCTTCCTGATTTTCTCAAAGAAAATAAATACCAGGATATTACTAGTGCTGTTGACACGCCTCTCCAGAAGGCATGGAACACCGATCTTCCTGCTTTTATCTGGGTCCAATCCAAGCCGGAAAACTTCACGCACTTCAACCAATTTATGGCTGGTGGCCGCCTAGGCATGCCTACCTGGCTAGACGCTTACCCATACAAGGAGAAGACCAAGGGGCTTAAAACAGAACAGCCATTCTTTATCGACGTTGGAGGCGGAATTGGACATCAGGCTGTTGCTCTTCGAGAGAAACTGCCCGAGTTACCAAATAAGATTATCCTACAAGATATTCCTGCAACGCTAGAGCATGCTATTAAGCACCCAGGCATTGAAATTGTGGCACAAGACTTATTCGAGCCGCAGACTATTACCAACGCCCGGATCTACTACATGCGTAATATTATTCACGACTACCCCGACGATAAGGCTATAGTTATCCTTAAGAATACTATTACTGCTATGGCCCCCGACTCGGTTATTCTGATTGACGATATGGTACTGCCTGATTGTGGCGTCCCCTGGCAGGCTACCCAGATCGACCTTGTGATGATGAGCACCCTAGCGTCCCAGGAGCGCACACACGAGCAATGGTTTTCCCTTCTCAGCAAAGCCGGGTTGAAGATAAATAAGATATACACGTACACGGCTAGTCTGCAGGATGGCATTATCGAGGCTGTGCCTGCTTTAATGTGACAAAAAGAGCTATAATATCACTTACCTAAACGGTACCTCCTGAAAAACTGGGGCACAACCCGAAACTACTAAAGGGTTTCTTTTGTGTATAAATAGCTACGCAGGAAATGCAACTCTTATTGCGGTGTAGCCCTTATAGAGTTCTTGCTCCTCAGATAAATCTTTGTTAGGGTCTGGGCTAGAGCCCGACCTAGTTGTTGAAGATACCTGTGGACGTGGCCGTATAGTGTCAATTGAGCTAGCTTGGGGCAGCTAGTTCAATTCGTACTTGACCCTTTTGGCTCAATCGTCAATTGGGTTGGGCGACCACTTAGATGTCTGTGCTGACACTCACCATGTCTTGTTGGGCTAGACTATTACCATCTTAATACAATTAGCTTATAGCACTATTATAGACAACCTTTGGTGATGAGAAAGAAAGAAGGTAGTTTTGTGAGTTTAACTTAGGCTATAGCCTAAACCTTTAATAGCTCCTAGATATGCCATAGTAAGTGTTGACTTGCTATATATGTAGGGTAGAGCACACCCAAATCCTTACTCGTGGGACACTACATTGACACTTATTTGTGTTGCGTGCCCAATTAAGTGGGGTGGTGCATAAGCAGTCTGGTAGTACTAGCAGTGGGGCCTACAATAGCCCAACTAAAAGCCCAGGCCTTTACGCAAAAAATGTTCACCGCATTACTAGATGGAACGTTAAACTACTACAGATCGGCATTTTAGGGATGAACCCACAAATTACCGAACTTCGGTAACCCCTGAAACTTCAAAGTACGGCTACTCTGTAGCCGACTTGGCGAATCTGTCGGCATAATTAATATCGACTACTACTGTCGGATAATGCCTCTGTAGACTGAAGTCGCAGACCCTGCGGCCCATAGCTTGTGCCCCAGATATGCCGGTAATTATAACCAGAGGAAACATAACGTATTATATTACTTAGCCTGTACTTAAATTAACCAGATCCAGCTATTATTTATATACTAATATCTACTATAGCTATCTATAAACTATTATACATAAAGTACAAACCAATAATAACATGTTACCTTAATATATAATAATATTATTAATTTTATTAAATTTCATTATAATTTATAAGTTATTATTATTAATATTAAGAAGAACCCTTTATATTTTAACTTTTTAACCCTTAAATAGTACTTTATAAATGAAAATATAATTAAAGCTAAAATTATTAAATTATAATAAAAAAATAAAAAAAAAGCTAGTTAGTTACCAGGACCTATTAATAATATAATTAATAGTTATATTTAGCTAATTTAATAATAATATATAATTTAAAAAACACTATATATATGTATTATAATACGTTAAATTTACTAGCTTAAAAGGTAATTTATAACCTTATATACTAGTAAAAGCCTATAACTTTACGCGTTAAAAATACATATAATAATAATAATAACTCACAACCACGTGAGTTATACCCTAAAAAACTCAGAGCAATCTGACATAACATAAATCAACGAAGTCTACGCCCAACTTTCGCGAAGCCCATCATCTTCCCTGCAATCACCGTACCAATTTAAACAAATCGCTCTGCAAAGCAGCTACTCGTGGGTCTCCGGCTTTACATTGCTCCCTGAAGCACTATAGCTTCTCACTTACTAATGTCAGACTCGGTCGGCAATCAATAACCTAGAAAAGAAACCACAACCATGACTAGTGCCAAAAAAGGTAATAAGCCCAACACAAGTAAATTACCTATTATAACTTTAGGGATTAAAGCTAATAAGCCTAAAAGGGTAATAAAAAGGCTATTATTATAAAGGATATTAATAAGAAAAGGGATATATTATTAAAGGCTAAGAATACTAAAAAAGTTAAAAAACTTAATAAAATAACTAAAAAAATAAAAAAAAAATAAAAAATAAAGGGGAAAATTAAGAAGAATACCATGGAGCTAGTTAATAAAAAGTAGCTCTGTGTTATAGTTTTCCCCCTCATTACGGAGGGTACCAAAGCTAAGATTATATATTAGCTTTAACTAAAAGCAATAACCCGAGTTATCGACCTCGGAAAGTTCCAGTATACACCCTCTTCGGCAAAACTCTTCCGGCGACACCTATTATCCTCAGCCTGGAGCCTGCTCTTGCACGCTCACGGAACAAGCCAGAAAGTGGCGGTGGCGGTAGTGGTCAAGCCGGTGGCTGCAGCCCAGAGTCTTGTATGGTCCCGTTGACATGATGTATCCAGAAATAGAACCGGGGGATGAGAAGAGTAAGGAAGAGTAAAAGGTAATATGGGCGATCGGGGCCTCAAATATCCACGCTTCACAATCCAAGACAACGTTGACTTGCGTCGAACCGAAGCAATAGAATCTTGTTGGCTTATTTGATGCAGCCAGTTCCTAAATTGAGTGTTGCCTATTTTCTTGCAGTTGGCGCCACCAACTAGTTTCGTTCGTGGCATGAAAAGGCGTATATAATGCAACACGATCGTTAAACGCCCTCTTCGCCAAGGCAGAATCTGGTAATGGAAGGGTAGTTTTGCCCATCTCGCCAAATTTCCAAAGTAAATAAATTGAGCTTTCACACCCAAACCATGAGAGCACTCGGGTCTGATTTCTTTCACATATTTGGCACTTGTATCCCCTTGCACCATGTCCTTCACCAGCCATCAAGATATTCACCTCCATGCTAGCAGCATCGAGGACGCCCAACGATTCTACAAGCCAGCAAAGATCAAGCGCAAACCGCTAGCTTCTCAACTCGCTCTACCCGTCGTCATACCACGCGTGTGCGGAGACCCGTCGCGGTACAAATGTGTCGGCAAGCCCTTCACACGATGCTACGCGCCGGCCCTGGGAGCGTTTGGCATCCCCCAAGCCCAATTCATCGCCTTCATCGACGCGCTCAACGTCCACAAGCGAGGCAGCAAGGCCTTCACGTACATTTCCCAGGCCGGGAGCGCCATCAAGCTCGTGGGACACTTGGATCCCTCGGGCTTCACCAGACTTGCCGGCGCACTGGTCCAACTAGCTGGCACGGCGGCCTTCTGGGGTTCCGTCTCTGGCCCGACCTCGCGCAAGGTCGGCTACCTCAAGAAGATGAACGAAACGCTCTTCAACCCCGTGGGCTTGACCGCCAGAATCGTCAACTCGAAAGAGCTGCGGCGTCTGCTGAGCCTCGGCCCCGATGCGGATCTGCTGGCTCCGCTGCACCCCATGTTTGCCGTCCCGACGAGGGATGACTTGAGGGGAGGCAAGCGTTCCGCCTACACGGTTCCCGAGCGTCAGCTTCTGGCCCTATCCGGCAGGGTGAGCCCCGTCGAGCAGTGCGGTGTGCGGCACAAACATGCCAAGGATATCAAAGACTGCAGGGAGCGGGCCATCTGGAAGTGGCACGTAGGATCGGAAGTCTTGATGGAGGAGGCTCGTGGCAAGGCACTGCACAAACTCTACCAGGTGCCTGGTGCGACGACGCGGAAGAAGAGAGAATCTCTCATGAGATCTGTGCACAAGACTGATAAGGAGGTCGCCGCTACTGAGAAGCTCGTGTGGTTGGTGGTGCAGAACACGCGTGAAGTGCAAAAAGTATCCAGGCCTTCCGACTAGTTCTGACCACTTGGATGCCAAGTTCTGGGCAATGGATATGAACTGTGGTTATGGTTCATCATGGTTGACCACGACTAGGTTTCAGGTGCATCGTCAATTGTGAAAGTCCAATGTTGCATATTCAGATACCATCACTTTATTCGTCATCTCGCCAACTATCGCGAGAAGCATACCAAATTCGTGTCAACTGCGAAATATAAAAGTCTCGACTTGTCGCGTATGAGATGTTATAAGACGCCATCCAAGAAAGCCTGGCATTTCGACACCCAGATATAGTAAAACCTCGCAAGTTTTGCTCAAGCTTTTCACCAACTTTGTGGTATTTATAACACATTCGGCATGAACCCTTCTGTCATCATTCAAGTTCAAACTGGGTGTGAAATGAATCCAAGTGTCGACGGTATTTAGCTCTCCCTTGGGGGTATTTTCTGCCCAACCCCTGCATATCTGCAAACAGACGTATCTAACAAGCAAGTCAACACCAAGGCAACATTATCCTACACGCTATGTAAAGGTTGAATAGTGGACAGCTGACGGTGTAACCGCACAGCACAGCAAGTCTGCAAGCAAAAGCAGAAATTAAATGATTCCCTAGGCATTCATAACTCATCACAGTTGGTAAAGGCTTGGTCATGTTTCCTATCCAGTTTCTTTTCTTTAACACCATCGGCTGTTTCATCTAATCGTTTCCCTTGTTGTATCTGCCAAGGTTTACAAGTGCTCACGTAGTAAAGCAGCGCTAGTAAATGAAACGCAAGTGCTCGAGTGCGGCGTTTCTCCCTTGCCATGCTCCGCCAGTACATACAGTCCTTTCTTTGACCCCAAGTGGCTGCTTAGCGTTCGTTACCCAAGGCTTTCGTGCTAGCAGACATATTCACCAACTTCCATGACTAGGGCCTTGTCCCTGTCAGCCTACTGTATGACTCCCTGCTTGTCCGTCACGTACATATTTGGCGGCTCTATTCAAGATGTGCAAATGTCCAAGTAGTCAAACTCAAGCGTAAAACGCCTTTACATTTGGTCAACATCTAGGGAAAACCACCAAGTCGAGCTACCAGGTGACCTATTTCGCTGTTGAACAGTTCTTCGTCAGGGGCTTGACGCGCTCCCTTATGCTCTGCGTGTACTCGGTCGCAGGCGCATCATAATCAGTAATGTACACCGACACAGAAACCCTCCCACTCTCCACAACATACGTCTCGCCAGGAAGCCGACAGTCACCATTCACACACGCATTCAGACCCGCCGAGTACGGCTTGATATTGGCCCAATGAAAGACGCCCGTGGCTGGATCCCAAACGGCCTCATTGATGTGCGCGTTTCCCGTCATGCGTGTCTGGACAATCTCGGGATCCGTATTGTTCGCCGTGAGAAGGGGAATGTTGACGGTCAAGCCGTAGCCCAGAGGAAGCAGGGGGCCGCCGTCGGGAGCGCTGCGGATGATTTGCTCAATGACCTTTACCGAGACCCTGGCCGTCCATGTGGCCTCGTTGGTTTCGTTTTTGATGTCGAAATAGGCAATCTTTTTATTACTCCCCGCAATGGCGATGCTTGGCACGGATCGCTCCGTTGCGGCGTAGCTGAAGTGGAGGTGAGCAATGTGACACAGTGCCGTTGAAGAAACGACTTACGATGCGCCGGCGGTTCCTGACAGGGTCCAAACAAATGGACCGAGGTTGGCTCCGAAATTCGGTCCCGTCACGATGAGGTCGGGGACGTGGAAGGGCGCGTGTCGGGGAAGAACGTAGTCTAGCGCAACAAACGTACACGCGGCGGGTGTTCCGTTGTAGTACCAGATTTGGGAATCGTGAGGGTCGGTGCCGACCTGAGACGTCAGTGATGGGAAAAGGTAACCCCCAAGGGCTCGCATGACGTACTGAAGGGGCGCCCGCGGGAATAATGTCGTATTGTGACGGCCCAGTCAGGTTGCCGAGTTCTGTGAAGGATGAACGGCCGCCTTGGCTGCTCTGTTCGGTGGCCGGCGCAACAATCCAGACTGGCTTTTGTGAGCTACACATGCTAGTTGCGGGTGGCTTTGCCATACTGACCGTCGTGACCGGCCGTTTTCAACAAGCGGTACACCTCGCGCAGATTCCCTGATGCAAACCCGTCGTCATTGTTGAGGAGAATGTTGATTGCCTGCGACGAAGATGCAAAGCCCAGCGTCAAGCCCGCCAGCAAAGTTGAGAAGCGCATGACGAGGCCGGGCAGCGGATAGGAAGCCGAGTAAAGGGCAAGCCGTTCTGCTGGTTGAAGTCGTCTAGCAAGTCGAATGGTTCACGACAGCCATGGAACAGCAACTGGCGGGCTTATCATTGACGAATAGTCGGGAGCCTCGGCCACAAGCAAAGAGTTGGACTGCTCAGCCGGGAATGCACGAAGCTCTTTCTGGTCAACTGGCAAGCCATCTCTTCCAACAAGACTTTGCTTTGGAGCCCGAACCATGGAGCATCAGCCCGTCCCTGGCGCTGCGCATGGTCTACCTTGCAGACACGGCATGGCGGTACCAGCCGGGTCGTTGGCAGCGGGACACGGATATGAAGCTCCCATTGGATCAAGCACAATCTACAGATGACCAGCCGCATGCGAGATGGATCGGCGCCGGAGCTCACCGCGGGGTGGCGGATACTGGACCAAAAACGACAAGGAGTCGCGTGCCCGTGCACATCTCGGGAGGAAGAGCGATCATTGATGCGTGAAGCGATTGAGCAAGCTGTCGAATCTCGTTGACTGCGGAATGGCTTGTGGAGGTTCCTCTGCCTCATAATTCTCTTACATAAGCAAGTCTCCGCAAGCCGATCCACAGCCAAAGAGAAGGGGATGAGCATGCCGTCACGACACAAAATGCAGGCCACCAGCGTCACCAACAAAACGTCACAATTTGCAGATCAGTGGGCGATGTCGGCCATCAATCTTTTCCACAGCCCCACACGCTGCCCGTCATCGCCATGGATCGATCAAGAGTTGTTTAAATAGTTTCCGTCGACATCTGTTCCGCTCCAGGAGAACATACCCACCAACTACTCAACCCTCGCCATGAGTGAACGCGAGCCCGAATCGAGAGAGCTCAGCTTCGTCAGCCGCGAGCGTGGCCCGGCCCACGACCGCGACCACGACCGCGACCACGACGACATGCTGCAAAACGGCCGCTCGTTGCCGCCCACCGACCGCGGGCGAGGCGCCTACGTGAGCCTCGCGTGCTGCACCGTGGCCCAGGTTCCGATATGGGGTCAGCCTCGACCAAGCTTCCGTCGCGGGAATGGCGATTAACACTCGGCAGGGTATTCCGTGTCGTACGGCATTTTCCAGGAGTACTACAGCAGCTCCAAGAGCGGCATGGCCGGCTCGCCCGGGTCGTTTGCCACGATTGGCACGTCGCAAATGGGCATCATGTACCTGATGATGCCGGTGGCCTTCCTCCTCCTTCACCGGCACCCCCGTCTGCGCCGATGGTGCGGCCCGCTGGGCCTGCTCGTCACCGTCGCGTCGCTGGTGTCGTCGGCGTTTGTCGACTCGGTGGGCGGGCTCGTTGCCACGCAGGGCGTGCTCTACGCCGTTGGGTGCGGGCTGCTCTTCAGCCCCATCTCCATGTACATGGACGAGTGGTTTGTGCAGCGCAAGGGCATGGCGTACGGCGTCATGTGGAGCGGCAAGGCGGCCGTCGGTGTCGCCATGCCCTTTGTCTTCAGCGCGCTGCTGGACCGCTTCGGCCTGAGGGCGACGCTGCTCTCGTGGACGGTGGCGTCGGTGGTCTTGACGTGCCCGCTGCTGTTCTTCCTGAAGCCGCGTGTGCCGCTGCCGCCCTCGACCCAGGCCCGCCCTCTGTCCTTTGGGTTCCTGCGCCGTGCGCCCTTCTGGATGATGCAGCTCGGCATCGCTATCCAGGCTCTTGGCTACATCATGCCGAGCACCTACATGGCCACCTACGCCTCCAACATTGGACTGTCGTCGGTCAGCGGGCCGGTTCTCGTCGCCTTGTTCTCGTTTGCGTCCATCCCCGGCGCCGTGGTCCACGGCGTTCTCGGCGACAGAATGTCGGCCACGGCGGTCATTCTCATCTCGTCGTTTGGGAGTGCCGTGCCCGTCTTTCTGCTCTGGGGGCTCAGTCGTCACTTCGCCAACATGATTGTCTTTGTTTTAGTCTATGGCTTCTTTGCGGGGGGCTTCAGCAGCACGTGGTCTTCCATGATGAGGGAGATCAAGCGGGACGACTCGTCTTCGGATACGGCCGTCATTTTCGGCATGCTTCTTGGCGGAAGAGGTGTCGGTTTCGTGCTCGGGGGGCCTGTCAGTGGTGCCTTGACGACAGCACGAGGTGCCTTGTCCGAGGAATCCTTGGGCTATGCCACCATATACGGGCCTATGATCTTGTGCACGGGAATCACGGCGATTCTGGGTGCTTGGGGCTCGTACTGGAAATTGCTTAACAAGGCCACCTCCCAGGGCCTCTCAGAATGTCTGCCTATTCGACATCCCTGAGACTGAACTTGAGGCAGTGCAAGAAGCAAAGAGTTTTAGTTATGTTGGCGTATATACATAGAAGAAGACACTGGCTAGAGTTGTAGTGTTCTTGTGTCTACACTAGCCTGGCAAGAACGGTTGTGTGTCGGCCATTGCTTCACCTGATTGGGAAAAATACACGACGGATAGAGCATTACTTGGGGTCGAGTTGGCGGATCCATCTCATGCATGTCTGTAGCGCAGGTAAAAGGGATTTGCAAGGTTTTCCCGGCAACACAGAAAGACAGCAGAAAGCGGACATGGTTGCCGAGGCTGGTTGATAGCTCATCCGGCGATAATGAACCCGAATGCCCGTACGCCGCCCTCACTTATACCGAAAACTCAAGCGCCTACAAATCGGGCATGCAGTGCGCACCATCCTTGTTGTCCCTCGTCATGAAGCCTCCAGGACGGCGCAGTAATGCTCATCTACAAGATTGTGAAACACTCACATGCACTACGAGCAGGGGGTTGAACTTCTTTTATCCTCATGCCCAACCTGGCGCGGTCCTCGTTTATGACGCGAGCGATCGGCGCCGGACACAAACGGCAATACCCTCACTGCGATGTAATGTGTCTGACCGACTGTAGATTTCGCCAGATGACAAACAATCACCTACTGGGTAACCGCCAAGGAGTAAATCCAGTCAGGGTTCAACTCATATCCAGACAAGCAATGCTGCGGATTGACCGCATCTTGGGGACGATTCGGATCCGAACATTGAAATGTCTTGATGGCAGGCGGCTTGTTCTCCCGCAACGCCGTGGCTTGTCTCAGCGCTAACATCTGGTGCCGTGTAGGACGGCCACGGGCTACTTCTCCACCGGATAATTGTGGCATTGGCAACATTAGAATGAAACCGCAAATGTTCAGCTGCTTTGGACACGGCGCCATCTAGTTACCTCCCGCAAGCCGCCTAGTCTTGCCTATCCACCGTCGCTCAAGGTTGGCGGAACTTGCTCAGATCGAACGTAAATGTAACCCCCTCTTCCGCCCCGCTCTGAACTTCAACTCGAAAACCACCAAAAGTTACGCCAGCCGGTAAGATGGAGAGACAATCATCCGTCTGGTGTCCTCTTTGTCTGAGGGGGCTTGGGCGACAATAACCTGCCGATGGTTGGCGATTCAATTGTTTACCAGTGCCATATCCAACCCAATTGGACCCATCTCGACATTGGTGTAAATCTGCAGATGGCATGAGATGACAGTGGTTTTGATATCTTGTCGTTTTGAAGAATCCAAAGTGAATTCTTCTTGCTTTCATACATCGGCCATCATGGTTGATCAGGGTCCACGGAGCACCAGCGTTGCCACAACGGATCGCGGATCGCGGATCGCAGATCCCTTCCACTATGACGAAGAGGCTAAACAAAATTGGCGCCCTCCATGTTAGATTGTTTCTACTGTTTTCGCAGGGGATGTGCCTGCCGGCCATGCTGCCATCAGGCCAATTGAGCATCCCGGCAGGTGAGGCAGAAGCACACGGGGGTAAATCAAGCCGTCTCAGACGTCAAAGACACTTTTGACGCAGGTCATTCCCATTCTGTATCGCGCGGCATGCCAACTCTAATCCGCCGCCAAACTCCCCCTTGAAGGACCGCACAATTAGGCGGTAGAAACAGCTTGTCTGACGCCACAGAAAGCAAGTGGTTGGCTTCACCAGTTCCAAGCGTTCAAAGTATATAAGTTGCGAATGCTCTCCATTCAATGGCTTCACGTTGGCAAGCAGGTCAGATCCAGAGCCCTCCACCACCATGAAGTCAGTTGCGTTCTTCGCGGTCCTCGCCTCCATGGCCAACCTTGCCACGGCCACGGTTGCCGGCTTCGACATTTCCCACTACCAGCCCAACGTGGACTTTAAGAAGGCGTACGCCGACGGCGCCCGGTTCGTCATTATCAAGGTACGACGCTCACAGCCTCACGGCCCAACTATACCAGACCACGCAAACCCCGTCTAACACGACCAAATGGCAGGCCACCGAGGGCACAACGTACATCGACCCGTCCTTCAGCTCGCACTACACGGGCGCAACGCAGGCCGGCCTCATCCGCGGCGGCTACCACTTCGCGCACCCGGGATCGGGGTCGGGCGCCGCGCAGGCAACCTACTTCCTCGCCCATGGCGGTGGTTGGTCCCGGGACGGCATCACGCTGCCCGGCATGGTCGACCTCGAGTATAACCCAAGCGGGAGCACCTGCTACGGGCTCTCGGCCAGCGCCATGGTCAGCTGGATCTCCGACTTTGTCGAGACGTACCGCTCCAAGACGGGCGTCTACCCGCTCATCTACACGTCGACGAGTTGGTGGAACCAGTGCACCGGCAGCAGCACCGCCTTTGGCAGCAAGTGCCCTCTTGTGGTGGCTCGTTATGCTACCTCTGTCGGCACCTTGCCTGCCGGCTGGAGCTACCAGACCATCTGGCAGAATAGCGACAAGGCGCCTTGGGGCGGCGACAATGACATCTTCAACGGCAACCTCGACCAGCTGAAGCGCATTGCGAATGCTTCCTAGTTTCGGGGATGAGTTACCTTGTGTCACTGAGAATATGTTGCGTCGGCGAAAAGTCTTGCGAAATGATGTAAATCGTCTCTTGAGTTTGTGTAATGATTCAGCAAGGGGGGTTGCGTGTCAAGATGCCAATACTTCTGTTACACTCTGAATGTACTCGACGGTGTGATGGCTGAGACGGTGCGATTTGCAAGATGGTAAATATACTGTGAATACATGTATTTTTCTCATTCCGGTCCTATGGTAACTGCAACAATGCAAACGTGTTGAACCCCCAACCGCTTACACCTCTGCCGAATTGCCCATCGGCAACTCGCTCCATAACGCCAAGTATTTTCTACCCAACACCAAACTACAATTATATTTGAACCAAAATAAGTCTCATTCCTATTCTGAACCCATTCTTCAAGTCATCGTAACATATTGAACCTGCCGCACCACCTGCACCAACTCGGCAACTCGCTCCACCACACCCGGAATCTTATAACCGGCGGCACCAACCGTCAGCCATCGTCACAACTTCTCAACAACACAACTCACCAGCTCAATTCAGAACCAAATACACCCCAAACCAACTCCACAGACATATAACCCCCGAGAAAAACACGCCAAAATGCGCCCCTCCGCGCTCCGGCGCATCACGCCCTCCAAACGAGCATACACAACACCATCACCATCACCAACATCCGCATCCGCCGCCGCAGCCCGCCTCCTGGAAACCTTCCACGGCAAAACCCTCATCCAGCACCAGGTCCTCGACGCAAACCAGCTCCAAAAGCTCTCCCTAACACTCAACCGCCCGACAATCCACGCCCAAAACATCCTCACCTCCCCGCCAGCCCCGGGCACGCCCATCCCCCCCGGCCACCACCTCGTCTACTTCACACCAGGCGGCCTCGAAAGCGCCCTCGGCCCCGACGGCACAGACCGGACCTTCAACGCCCCCGCCCCCTTCACGCGGCGCATGTGGGCAGGCGGGCACATGTCCTGGACCGCCTCGCCCCTACGCGTAGGCGACCCCGTCTCCGAGCACACGCGGCTCCTCAGCGCCGCCGCCAAGACGAGCACGTCCAGCGGCCGCGAAATGGTCCTCGTCGAGGTGGAAAAGGAGCTCCGGGGCCCGCGCGGCGCCGGCCTCGTCGACACGCGCTCGTGGATCTTCAGAACCGACTTCCGCACCGGCTCGCCGCCGGAACCGCGCCCTCCCGCGCAGGCATCCCTCCCCACCGCGATAACCGACATCCCCGGCCAGAGAGGTGAGCACCCCCCCCTAAAACGACGTGCCGTTGCTAATGGACAGGCTTCCCCGCGCGGCAGCTCACCTGGTCGGCCGTTGGGCTGTTTCGCTTCTCGGCACTTACTTTCAACGGGCACAAGATCCACTACGACGCAGGATGGAGCCGCGGCGTCGAGGGCCACGCCGGCGTCGTGGTCCACGGGCCGCTGAACCTGATCAACATGCTCGACTACTGGGGCGACGTTCACGGCGGGGGCGCGGGCGCGTCGCCGGCGAGCGTTGCGTACCGTGCCGTGGCTCCCCTCTACGCGGGGGACACGTATACCATCCAGACGGGGGACGTGAGAGACGGCGTGTACGACGTGGTGGCCGACAAGGACGGGACGGTGTGTATGAAGGCGCAGATCGTGGCTACATCACATGGTCCATAGATAGCATGTATGAGCTCTCAAGTCATAATATTAAGCTTCGTGTGCAAACTTGTGGTGCCTCTATCAAACCAAAGGAAAGGAGGAAAAAAAAGAAGAACACATGCTGATCCATCCAGTTGCAAACCATTCCATCCATCTTTTATACAAGTAATTTTATCAATCCAAACGCGGCTCCTCACTCCGTCTTGGGCACGGCAGACGTGCTGGTGACCACGGAGAACTGGCCGCCCGCAGCAGCACCCACGAGCTTTCTGCCCTTGATGTCCTTGCCCCGAATGCGCTGGGCGGTATTTGAGTCATCCTCGTTGCCTAGGCCGAGCTGGCCGACGGATCCAAACCCGGTGGCATAGCCTACGCCCTCGTTGTTGATGAAAATGGTGTGGTCGGTCCCGCAGGCGACGTCGACGACATTGCCCAACTCGGGGACAACAGTAGGCCGCAGGCAAATGCGGGGCTTGTTGTACTCGTCGCGGCGGACGAGGTGCTCGTCGTCGAGCTGGCTTTGTGAGAAGTCAATGCCCAGCTGGCCGCCATCAAGACGCCCCCACATGTAGACCTTGCCGTCCTCGGTGACAGCTCCAGAGTGGTGGGTGCCGCCGGCCATGGATACAACGCCCTTGCCGCAGAGGTCGCGAATCTTCATGGGGTACGGCAGGATGGCTTCGTCGCCACCAGCTTCCTTGGCGTACCCGGCCTCGCCGAAACTGTTCAGACCCCATGCCCAAACGTTGTCCTTGCGATCGACAGCAAAGGAGTGGTACTCGCCAGAGGCAATGTACTTAATGGGGCGGGTGCACACTCGAACCTGGCGAGGCAGCAGAGTCTCCTGCTGGTATCGACCAAACGGCTGTCGGCCAAGCTGGTTCTGCTCGTATGATCCCCATCCCCAAACCTGGCCCGACTTGTCGAGGGCCAGCGCATGATTGGCACCGCAAGTAATTTGTATGACATTTTCAAGCTCTGGAATCAGAATGGGGTCGTTCTGAATCTCGACAACCTTGTCGTTCTGGGTCTTTGTGAATCGTCTGTCTCCTTTGTTATCCTAATGAGGGGTGTCAATAAGCTATGTCATTATATGCGGTTCAGAGGATGTCGGTGTCACCTACTCGGAATGATCCCCATCCGTAGACGCTTCCAGTCTGGGTCAGCACGAAGCTGCAGCTATCACCGGCGGCAACCTGGGTGAAGACTGTGCCCTTAGGGAAATTCTTGGAAGGAACCTCGGTTGGGGTACACTCGTGTGGATTCAATTCGCCGTCTTCGTCGCCGCTGTCGGATTCGGCGTCCATGTCCTTGAGGCCACCCTCCCAAGCAGTGTCTCTTCCCAGAGCCCCCTCATCGTTGACGCCCCAAGTCAGGATCTTGTTATCAGCGGTGAGAGCAATGGTGTGCATGCCGCCGCAAGCAAGCTGAACAATGTGATATTTGGAAGCCTCATTGGGGTCCAGGGCTGGGTTGAACTTGGGAACGAGTGCAGCTGTGCGCTTGGGACCGAGACCAAGCTCGCCACATTCGCCGCTGCCGAACGAAAAGACAGCAATAAGCTCAGTAGGTGCTTTGTTGAGAGCGGCCGGCTCTTCAATGATGGGCTTCTCCTTCTTGACGGGCTTCTTGGCCACAGGCTTGACATGTTTTCGTTCTTTGGGAGCTTCATTCTTTATAGTTTTTCTGCGGCGCGCAACATCGTCTTCATCTTCCTCTGCGACGCGCTTTCGCTTAGTCGGCTTGGGATCTGGTTCATTGTGTGTCTTTCCATTAACCACTTTTTATTAAAATGTTAGAATTTAAGTCGTGGAATGATTGTCTGATACGCTGGGGCGCGTCGAGATGGGCTCGAGGACTGACCTGGTTCGCTAGTGTTTTTCTTTGCGACAGTCGCCCGTTTGGCGGGCTTAGCTGGTTCTTTTTTTATGACGGTAGCCTTAGTAGGATTTTCCTTTCGAGAAGTGCTGGTAAGCTTTTTTGACGCCATGATGACGGCTTTTGCGGATTGTTTTGAGAAAACGTATGGTGTTTCGGGACTGGTCGCGTAGCAAGTGAATCAACCTTATGAGCTCGAAGCTGGAAAAAATTCGCCTTAGTCAGCAGGCATTCAATCTGCAAGGCTCAGGCACAAACGGCATAAACGCGGGCGAGCCAATTGAGTTGGATTGGCCCACAATGATTGGTGGACTGCGGATCAGGTTCGGTGTTGCCTGATCCTGGGCACGGCTGACCCACAACTGAAGATCTGACGATTCAACATTGACCGCGCAATCTTGTTCGTTGTTGATCAGGAGCTGCGGGTAGGACAGACCATAATGGCGCCATGTTGTCTCACAGGGGGCAATTTACATAATTACTTAGAATAGAGTGTCAGTTGAAAGAAAAAAGATAGAAGAAGAAAGGGGAAGGGTCGCAGAAACTCTCTAAACGCCGGATTTCTGGTCGAGATACGTGACGTGATGCGTCTCGGAGCGTAATATGCTTCATCACCGCAGACAGCATCCTTAAGTCCCAGCTGGGGGCGTTTACACTACACAGACGGCCATACAGTATCGAGGTATGTCTTTTTCAATCATTTCGACGTCAACGTCCTTTTGTGGCCGCTTCAACCCGTCCTCCCCACATATTCATCACATCAAACTCATGAGAGGAGGACGTATAAGGAGTTCCCGCCATATTTTACAGTCGGCAAAAAAAAAAAAACCCTGCGCAAATTAAACGTGCACATATGCCTATTCTTCAAGTGCATTCAAAGTAGCCACAGTTCAGCACCGCCAGCAATAGGATACGACTTACAAAAGCCTCGGCACCCGGTTATAAGCATCGCCAACTCCAGCTACCCCAGACCAAATTGGGTCATGATGCTCCACCCAAGTAGCCGATCTCCACAAAGCTGTGTAGAATGCTTTGAGTGCCTCATGATCTGTTCGTGCATCTCGCCCGACCAGAAATGGTGCATACTAGCGAAGCTATAACTTATAATTGGATAGTATTCTCACATCGATCATTTGCTCTCCGCGTCCACTTTGGAAGGCTTCCGTCTCGAGGCCCGGTCGGTCAGGAACGACGAAGCATGTCTAGCTCGAGATTCTCGCAGATCCTCTGGAAGGCCGCCCCAAGAGCAAGTCGTGTCACTCATTTGGTGTTTGTACTCGTACTGACTCTGCGTAGCTCACTTGCAAGGAGCAGGTTCGGCAGATAAGCTTGCACGAGTATCAGTCGCAAAACATTCTGAGACAGGTGGGAACTTCAATCTCGTAACTTCTCGTGAGTCTGAACTGACGGGAGCAGTATGGCGTCCCTGTTCCTCGCGGCCGAACCGTGAAAACGGCCAGTGAGGCCCGCATTGCAGCACAAGAGCTGGGTAACTGCACTTCCAGACTACGGATGCTCACTTCAAAGTGCTGACATCGCAGGCCCGGCATGCATCATCAAAGCCCAAGTCTTGGGTCGTGGACGAGCCGCCGGCAAGTTCGACAATGGCCTCAAAAGCGGCATCCAAGCCGTTTCCACCCCGGACCAAGCCGAGCACGTGGCATCCAAAATGCTCGACCAGAGACTTCTCACAAAGGACAATGGCACCGACGGCCATGTCGTGGAGAAGCTCTACGTTGCCGAGGCAGCAACCTACGATTCTCAATGGTACCTCGCCATGACGATTGATCGGGAAAACTACCAGCCCGCCATCATTGTCTCCAAAGAGGGCGGGGTTGAACTCGATGTTCTCATCAGCGAACGGCCTGACAGCCTGTTTACCTTTGGCTTTGGCATATCGGAGGGCATCACCAATGCCTTGGTGCAAGACATCCAGCAGCGTCTGGGCACGACGGACCAAGAAACGGCAAACTTGACCCATATCCTAACCCAACTGTACAGCATCTTCCGAGACCGAGAAGCCACTCATCTTGAAATAAATCCTCTGGGACGATCACTTGACGGTTCCTTCACCAGCTTAAACGCCAATTTCGCATTTGACAAGGCCGCCGAACACAGGCAGGAAGAAGTCTCTGCGCTACGCGACAAGGCGCAAGAAGTCCCCGACGAAGTGGAAGCCGAAAAACACGGCCTAGTGTACGTCAGAATGGACGGAAACATTGGCAACGTCGTCAACGGCGCGGGTTTAGCCATGGCCACCAACGACGCCATTGGGTTCCACGGCGGAGCGAGCGCCAACTTTCTAGACGCAGGTGGAAAGGCGACCAAAGATACCATGATCCAGGCGTTCCGGATCATTACGCGCGATGAGAGAGTCAAGGCCATTCTGGTCAACATTTACGGCGGTACGTACGTGATCGGATGGTGGTCAATGGATAAACTGACATGTGGGCGGGTAGGCATCACGCAATGTGACATGATTGCCGAGTCAATTATTGGCGCAACGAGCGAGTTGGACATCCAGGTGCCCATGGTTGTGCGGCTGCAGGGCACAAATTCCGAAAAGGGATTGAAGATGGTGAGTCTCTATGATGAGGTCAAGATTGAGGTTCGGACAAGCGCTGACATGGCCGTTAGCTCGAGGATGCAAATCTGGGGCTGGTCGTGGAGTCGGACTTTGGGCAGGCGGCGAAGCGGGCGGTTGAACTTGCAGTGTCGAGATAGAGTCTGATCAATAGATGTAGATGGTGACTCGGTGTATGTTGGGCTCTGGAGGACTGGGAAATCGGGCATGGGACGGTCAGGAACGGGCAGGTCCAATATGGGAAGTTGGAAAATTCTTGGCCAGCATCGCCAGCCAGGAGGATACATATGTATGGCGTCAATTGTACCAGATAGTCAAGTTGTTTCGTCAAAGCGCCTCCAGCCAACCAGAATCTTTGACAGCTTGTCGGTCCGGCGACCACGCTCACTAAGCGCTGCCACCCGTCGCCCCGCCTCGGCCATGCACCAGTTGACCCTTGCTGCAGGAGATGCGCCACGCTTAGCCCTGGAGCCCCGCTATTTCGGGGGAGCGCGGGCGGCGCACATTCAGCCAGTCGGTTGACTTCATATTGGGCATGGCTGTGCACGTTTGGAAGTTCCAATGTCCATGCCGACTTGACTCAATATATTTATTTGACTGCTCATCCGCATCTTCCACTGTTCACTCTAGACTCCCACGTTCCATTTCCTATTTCTGGTTCCGTCTTCACTCACCTGGTCTCTGTTCTCTCGCATTCATCGTTTCCTTCATAAAATGGCCAGCACCGAAAAAGACGCCGAAACCATCGCGTTTGCGCGAACGCTCTCCAACACCCCCTGGTGCGAAGACTACGAAAAAATGATATCAGGAGTCCTGTATGGCCAACACCACTCTATCTGCAGCCCCCTACCATATAAACCACAGCCTCACTAATACCGCCCAGGTACGATGCCCAGGCAAAAGAACTTGTAGACGGCCGCTTCCGCGCAAGACGCCTCATGCACAAGTACAACAACCACTTCCCCGACGACGCCACCCCAGACTCCCTCCTTGCAGACCGCGAGGCCATGCTGCAGTCAACCTTTGGGAAAGTCGGCAAGGGGGCTTTTATCGAGCCACCCATCAACATCGACTACGGCTGCAACATTACCATTGGAGAGAACTTTTACTCCAACTTCAAGTACCTCGCCTCTCGCCGGCACCCTTGGCTTCCTGGGCTAACTTTCTTGCAACAGTCTTGTCATTTTGGATTGTGGCATCGTCAAGATTGGCAACAGGGTGCAGTTTGGTCCCTTTGTATCTATTTTCGCTGCCACTCATGAGACGGGCGTGCAATCGCGCCGCGACGGCGTCGAGTATGCCAAGAGCGTCAGCATTGGCGATGACTGCTGGATCGGCGGGAACACAACCATCATGCCGGGCGTGACTATCGGCAAGGGCTGTACGATTGGCGCCGGGAGCGTCGTGACAAAGTCGATTCCAGATTTTTCGGTGGCAATCGGCACGCCGGCCCGGGTTGTGAAGACGGTTGACCCCGTGCCGGACTTGTGAGGTTGGCATCAAGCGTGGCATATAGACACCCTTCAAGGACTACCTACATAGGTAGGTATATATACACGACTCATATGAACATGTTCTCAAGCTTCTCATGATTTTCTCCGTTTTGTCAATTACCCAAGGACACTTTCCACTTGTACCAGCGCCATTGCAACCACAGCTACCCAACTATTCCCAAACTAAACCTTTTACGCCTCGTATATGCAATATCCATAAAAGTTTTTCAAAATATAAAACGCTCAATTTTAATTTATTTCATTCCCTTTTCGTCTCGACACGCGGAAAGAAGAGCCAGATCCCCAGCATGACGGCCAGCAATGCCAGCACAATCGGCTGCAGAACCATGGGACCCTTTGCCTGCGCAAGAATACCCGTCAGAAACGGCAACACGGCCGCACCGCAGCCTCCAAAAGCGGCGGCAAACCCGATGACCACGACATGATGCTGGCGTGGTAGCAGCTTTTGAGCCACGAGAACTGCGTTGGGGAACATTGGGCCCAGGAAGAAGCCTTGGAAAGCGACTGCCACTACAGATACGTAGAATTGCGGTACGAGCCAAAAGATGAGTTCGAGAGCGCCCGCGGCAACAATGTAGAGCTACCAATATGAGAGCATGTCCATACAAAACAGGGGGGACGCAGAAACTCACAGCAGTAGATAGCTTGACGCCAACCCGGGGCGTGACGAAGCCAAGAACGGCGCGGCCAGCAGTGATTCCCAGCCAGAAACCAACAGCAGACATGCCGCTGGCAAAAGCCTCGCCGTGGCGAACGCGGATCATAAAGATGACGATCCATCCACCAAGAGCGACTTCAACACCCACATAGCACAATAGGAAAGCCGCAGTCACCCACGTCACACGCGCAGATGGCGTGCAAAAAAGCGCCTCACTGAGGCCCATCCTGTTCGACTCACTGCTATGAATGCGGCGGTACTCTGCTCCCGAGGATGACCAAAAAGCAGAGGCTAGAACAACCATCTCCACGCCAGCCATGCCAATCTACACGACGCATTAGCCCGCCCCTTTCTCTCCGACGCCACCATCTCCAGGAACATACCATGATGTAGTAGAATGAGTACCACCCCAGATTCGCCTTGGTAATGAGCGTCGTGGCGATTGTCGGGCTCACGGCGCCGCCGACGCCGTAGCAGGCGTGCAGCAGGCCCAGCACCTCGCTCGAGTTGGCGAGATTGCCAACCCACGCGTTCCACGCAGCGTCCGCCACGCCGTTGCCGAACCCGGCGAGGATGAAGGCGAACACGAGCACAATGTACGGCGGGTGCAGCGCGATGATGGTGTACGCGGCCGCGTGGCAGGCGCCGCAGATGACGGCGATACCGCGCTGCCCGACCCTGTGGTGGAGGTAGTTGTTGAGGATGGCCGAGCAGACGTAGCCCACAAAGGGGGACAGGAAGACGAGCGACACCACAATATACGTGAGGTTGTAGTATTTCTCGAGCTGCAAGAGCGCGTCAGCTTGGCCCCGGCGCGGGTGAACAAAACGCCCAGGACACATACATAGGGAAGAAGAGGCTACACGCGGTCAGCAACAGAACCGTTGACGTCTTGCAGCAAGTATAGCAGACTTACGCCGTAGGCCGAGTCGTTGGCCCCCATGACCAGAAAGGAAAAGAAACACGCCGCCATGCGGTATACATGCGTCCGCGACTCGTTCCAGCGCTCCGTCGCAGGGACAGCCGGGTGCGGACACGGCTCGCTGCCCCCGTTGTCACCTACGAGACATGACGAGCCGGAGGCTGCGTCGGGGCGGACATTGGGCTGCTTTATGTCTTGTTTTGCGGGAGCCGGCTCAATGGGCATCGGCATTTGTTCCAGCTCGATGGCTGAAATAGTCGTCGTTGCGGACATGGCTGCGTCTTTGTTCTCTTGCTTATCCTGCGTGATGTCGTGCCGGCGGCGAAGGGAACCGATACAGACGGCCGTATTTAAACAGATGAAATTGAACCAGTCGGCGCCTTTGTAGCCGCCATGTGGCAGGTTCACGATCGGCGAGCGTGGTTTGTAATGATGTGGATCGGCGGGTGACTCAAGCACGACGTCGAAAGCGTGCCAAACTACTTTCTTGTTCCAGCTACGTTTGGATATTGCATCACTTTTGAGCTCCGTAGAAGGAGATCTACAGGCGTTCCAAGGGCCGGCATCTCGGACCGTCCACCCAGCCCTATGCTCGACCGCCTCGGCAGGCAGAGGAGCGTCGAAACCCACTGAACAAGGTGTCCGGACCCAAAATTTGAATACCGGACTAGAAGGAAAAGTTCCATGATCACCCGATACATGTTCCCCGCAATAAGGTAAAGGGGTGCGGAGGTTCCGCATTTGGGGCCCCGGGGAGCGTCGCAGATACCGTTCCTAGCTCGCCGAGCATAGCCACCGTGATTTTGCGGAGCGCACTGGGGTATTTATTAAAAATCAGGGCTGGTCGAGTGTTGTCTTTTCTGGGGAGGCATTGCGGGTGCTTGCTGCTCATAGGGCACGGAGAAAATATCAGGATAAATTGCCAGTCGTGTGATGTAATGCCGCTTGGCCATCGAGTTGTTTCGAGCTCGTATCCTTTCACTTTGCTCGGCCGTTGGCTAGAGCGGACCCTTGGCGCTTTATGCGCATAAGGCTCGAGCGGAAATTGCTGCTCTTGATGTCAAAATTTACGCGTAAAAGAGACTGGGTTGGAACGTGTCTTGACGCGCAGGTATGCTAAATGTAAAAGCAAACAGCAAACAGGCTGATGATAAATGAATCGCAGTAGAAGAATGATTTTATACGTTTGGGACATGATGTGTATATGCCCTCGTATATTTGGAAACTGCTTGTCCAAAGTTGAACTCCAACCACACGGTATTGTAGGTCAATGGCTACGTGGCATTGTCCGTGAACCCCATCTCGTAACTATTGACCAGACACAAACGGTCGGCCGTGGCCGTGTCTCGAGCCTAACGCAGATGGATTCTTTTCGGGGACGCCGAGTAACATCTCCGAGTCTTCATGTGTAACGCTTGAATATAGCACTTTCCTATAAGGCGGCAATATCCTGGATGGAGCGAGGACAGCTATTGGGCCTTGCTGTCAGTTCAAGCCAAGACGTCAACTATCAGCTACGTCTCAACAACGCCTGGAAAGGCAAGCTCGTGCTGGTTTATCTTGGCTTCAACCTACAATAGAAATCGGATAGAACTATTCCTTGCTAAGCCATAAAATCGTGCGCCTGGCGGGCCTGCCAAAGTGCAATGCCGAGCATGCAATTCCGGCTGAATCGTGTTCCGGAGTTAAGCCAAGGATCGCTTACTAGTTCCGAGGCTGTTGCGCGTTCTTTTTTTTAAAAATACACTCTGGGATCTCGCTTGCTAAGCTTCGTACTTGGAATACCAAGTCATTACGCATAAATGTACCTGAAGAGAATAGTAGACATCACCTGAAACCCATTCACCTAAACTCGCCTTCTCTAGTGAGAAACGGGTCACTAAGATAGGAAGCCGCACCGCTGCTGAGTCGGCCATTCGGGTTCATCGTGGCAGGAGACCACCTCCAATGTCGTATGCGTCCTTTACACCCGACTAGAAAGGAGGGGTATCGCCTAAAAGGGCTGTTATGTCTGCCATATGCTGAGCAGGAGACTACTGTAGTGAAAGGGCGAAGTTAGTAATATATCAATTGATGGTATCAAGTTCCGGGCAGCTTTTAGAGCCGGCCTAAAGTCATTGTGGCAGTGGTAAATAGCAAATCATTAACATGTTTGCGTGCCACGGGGTGGTTGCCATGGCCCTGGATGAAATTGTCGATGGTTGATTAGTCTTCTATTGCAATCATGATGTCGAGCTTCGGGTCTAGCCGGGTCAGCAGAATACGTTTCTGCAGCAGTGTTACACGGAAATGGCTGATTACACAAGGGCTACGGTCACGAGACCTAGGGCAAAGTCCCTCACCGACTTCTTGTATAAATAGACGTCTTCGGTCCCTCAAGGCCTTGAGGAAAACCAAGGACCTTTGATACCAAAGACTGTTATTAGTTGAATTGAGCTATTGCTCCAAGCCCTCTTCGAGCCCTTGTCTCAAGCAGCGAGCACAAACCAAGGTGTATTGCATGGGCTTGCATATGTACGTAGTCTAATCCTTGAAGCAGAATTCGAATATAGGTCTTAAAAGGGGCAGTGGCTTAAGGTAGTTTTGTCTTGCCAGGCAATTTGCTTTCTGAATAACCATAACGGCTGTCGCAAGGGTGTAACGTGTAACTGCAAGTGTAAGATGCCGACACGTCTCCCCGTGGCGAGCTAATCTTGGCGCTTATAGCTGTATCGAAGACACGACGCTCTTGATGCTTACTATTTGTTACAACTAAATAAATGTTCATATCCAACTTGTACGCTATATTCTCGTTCGTGGCATCGTGATTACAAATTTTCAAGGTAGCACACCGCTTCCGTCTCAGACACCTATGTCGAAAACAATATTAGCGATAAAAAATGTAAGCAGTTAGATGAGATGACAAATCTGAATAGAAAATACCTGCTAATATCCTGTGCCAACTACACTGTAAATGTTAATTCCCAGCCAATTTTTACATTTAGTTAATATTTTGAGGAGAATATCACCAGGGTTTACCGGATCATAATGCGTAAAATTACAGCCAGGCATTTTTTCCTCGTGAATAGGAGTTCCAGGGGGGAATATCTCGGGCGACGGAGTAGCTTGAGAGACGGAAGATCGACTCTAGCACATTCTAAAATCAGCTGACAAAAAGCATCCGGAATAAATGTTGTTACAGGTGCCGTGATAGTCAGACCAAGAAGGAATAGTATGGCTACTGCGCGAGCGGCATGGATATGTAATCAGCCGAGGCTTCTTGGTAGCTTTTGGCGCAGGTTCTGAGAGAAAACACGGAAGTAATAACGAGTAATGTTGTGACGTCGGTGCGGCGTTAACGTCAACGTGGCTGCCTTGGGCGCGGTTCGGAATTGCAACCAATAGAAATCTGGTCCGAATCCCGAGGTGCACAGGACCCGGTGTGGCTGAACAGCGGCCCTTGCCCGAATATCCCTAAATCCCGGCTTATGAGTGGTTCTTGACAGCTGGTGAATATTGACCGCTGACTCGTCAAATTTGTCCGGTCGTGAAAAGCGTAAAAAGTAAGAAACAAACACAGAAAATAGTACAAAGAAATATATCATAATTAATTAATAATTTCCCCTTCTGCCTGTTAGATTTACCTTTTTTATTTCTTGTCATGTGACTAGACCTGAAGAATGTCGTCAATAGTATTACCCCTACTGGTAATACTAATTAGCCAGTGTCTTTACACTGGCTGGGATCAAGTTTCTTTCGCAGCTAGTAGAAGAATTCTGTTACGCTAACATGCTTCCCAGGAAGGTTTTGCCTGCGTTTATGCTTGGGCAAATTTGTTTGTTCTAGAACACACCCTAGGCGCCACAGCTAAGCCGAATATGGCTCAAGTTAAAAGTAGACTTTTGTATTGAGATTCCCGTGCCACGGTCCCTCTTCTTTGATTGCATGCGAGCATCTCGAATTTACAAGGTATATATTTGGAGTGGAGACTACTACTACACAGGGAAATTGTAAAAATCTTCGTCCCCACCTAAATAACGCAATGCGGACATGGCGTCTTGTATAATACTGAATTTGTAATAAATTTAAGGGCTGATTAATACGAGTGGCGTTGTATTAACCTTTCACATATATGGAATCGATTAATACTCACATGAAGCAACGCGAGAGACACTAGATTACTTGTAGTTATTATATATATTACTCTCTCTATTGGACTTCTGTCTAATGCCTTGAACTTGAATGAAGTAAATTCTCCCCGAAATTAATTCATTTTATACCTACACAATTCACATTATGGCTCGAAGTCTCCTGTTGTTGACAATTCTGAGCCTCACGACAGGACTGTCGGTGGCGAGGAGATGTCAGAACATCACGATACCCATTTCAATCTCATCTCGCAACGGTGTCTTTAGTCTTGCCACTCCGGCTAATGACGTAGACGTCACCGACTTTGTGTTGAACAACTTTCGAGCCGGTGTTAACTACACGGACGATGTGCTACAAGGCGTAAGTAAACTATACAGTTGTTATCTATATTATACATTTACTAATACTAAGCTACAACAGTACAAAACGATCCAAGCCAACTATAATCTTGCAGCAACATACTGTACTCCAGAATCTGGACACGGCAAATCGCTTCAAGTGCTGACGCATGGCGTTGGTATTAATCGCTACTACTGGGACTTCTCGTACAACAATTACAACTACAGCTATGTCGACCGTGCCCTTGCGCAGGGCTATTCGACCCTTATATATGATCGTCTTGGTGTCGGCGAATCGTCCCGCGGTGACCCCATCCAGGAACTTCAGGCCTCGCTCGAGGTCTCGGCTCTGCACCAGTTGACCAAACTGCTTCGCCAGTCCAAAGTGCCCGGGATAAAGACTAAATTCGACAAAATCTTCCATGTTGGCCATAGTTTCGGCTCAATATTAACGTATGGTCTCACAACAAAGTACCCCGAGGATTCGGATGGGATCGTCCTCACAGGGTTCAGCATCGATGAAACCTTCTTCGCGTGGTTCGGCTACGCTTCCAATTGGGTCGTGGCAAACAGCAATCCGGCCTTGAAGCAGTTTCCTAATGGCTACGTCGCTCTAGGGACTGCCCAAGCCTTTCAAGCAGTGGCATTTGCCCCATCCAACTTCGACCTCGCCCTTCCGGCTGCAGCAAACTCGATCGCGCAGCCTATTCCCATTGGTGAAATTCTCACCATAGGTAGCCCACAAGAAGTCTCGAATCCTTTCAAGGGCCCGGTTCTTGTTATAGATGGGGGTAAGATGATCTTGGCAATGCTATTAGGGTCATTACTGACGTTTTTGTTAGATCGAGACCTGATATTTTGTGGAGGGAATTGTTCGTCTTCTACGCCATCGGCCGCAGAGCTAGTCCGGCCAAAGTTTACCAAAGTAACTGACTTTGAGGCTGTGATTGTTCCTCAGACAGGGCATCTGCTAAACTTTGTAAGTTGATACTGCGCTTTCTCGGGGGCAAAAGCTAACTCCGAACCAGGAATATAGCCATCCTGCTACATATAGTGCTATTATCAATTTTCTTAACAGACATGTCTAGGATAGCTCTATTCGTTGGAATCTAGTTGTGAAGCTACTGGGTTTTAACAGTTAGCGCAGCTTATTGCAAAAGGCTGAGCCCAATGTTATGGGATAAGCCTGCCTGTGTTAGTTGAACAAGCAGGCTTGGCGTAGTTGCTGGATGTCATAATTGCTAATATTAGTAGTTTGAGAGGCTGGCCAGGCTGGGGAGTTTCTCGAATTAAAGATAAATGACACCAACGCTGCTGTCAATATACTTAGCTTGGACTGTTACACTTGTAAATAAAACTGCCTTTGTTAGTGAAGAGCTTTCTCTGGAGAACCCTTGTTGCATCTTCTTTCCGAGCGCGCCCCTGTGGCGCCGTATCTTGTTGATGTTGATCCAGACATGGAGCGCTTATACTCGCCTCTCGCTGTCATGGGCTGCAAGTTTAGTGGGAGATTTCAGTCACTAACCTTATTGAAGGGGAAATTCGGACTGGCTTGATGTCTGGCCAAGTTGATCTAACCAGGGTTGGCCGAACACTCTCTGCTTGCGCATCCCGCAGAGCTAGACGGCAGGTTCTATTCCATCATTGCCACCTACAGCTATCCCTCCGAAAACTTGCCATGGCCAATACTCCTGCAAACGAGCATCAAGCTCGAGAGCCCCGATGCAAGCGCTTGGATAATCTTGGCGCTGAGAAACCTAGTAGCCCCGTCAATCCTAATAGACAGCTCTTCAAGCCGTGCCTTCAATACCGCAGCCGACAAGAAGCATTCTAGAGATGTAGCAGCTCAACGATAGCCACTGAGTGTAGTCGTGTCTAGCAGTGGCGTCGCTCAGTCGGTGGCCTAGGTTCAGCCAGCACTCCAAATAGACAGGGGCTAGAGAAATATAAGCTCCTTACGCTGGAGGTTTGGTAAGTTTTTTTCAGCCCTCTTCTCTAGAGTTAGGAGCTTAAAGTCCTATGAGCTGGTAAATTTGAACACTTCAATTCCTCTATTCCTGCCAATCGATTGGGGAATCGCACCCAGGTGACTCGTGGAGCCTGTGGCGCCTTGGTGTGGCCGAGAGCTGAATAGCAGTTCGCAGCTGAGCTCCAATAACATCAGCCTAGAAAAGTTTCAAACGAATCAACATAGAGATAATACATTTGACAGGAACGCCTTGGCAATATAGTTTCTCATTCTGGATTGGGCAGTCTGGGACTAACGGGTCGTCTTCACATTGCGCAGCGGCAGTAGCAACTGCATTCTATATATATCTGTTTCTTTTTCACTCAGCGTACCGCTCCGAGACATCTGCTACAGACGTATCCCTCCCCTAACAGCATGACAACCTCGTAAATACACAAATTGTTCTGAAATACCGCGGGTTACACACCTCTTTCCGTCGATTGCGTCGTGTTGCCGGAAAGTTCCGTTTCTCAGCGGAAGATACAGCTTGTTTGTGTGGCGTCAGGGTGTGATCCAGCAGGGTCGCGTTGTCTCGAACTACTCGATTGCCAGTGAATAAAAGAGGGTGCTCACCCTCTCTGGAGATTTTGATCAATTTTCAATCTGTCCTACTCCTTGGACACTTAAATCAGCTATGATGCTATTTATCTACCCCTTACAAAGAGATGGCACTACAATCTATGTCCCCAGACTACGATATTCCATTGCCTACCATACGGAAGGATGGGATAACAATACTATTTGACAATACTTCGACAGAAGCTTCCAACATCGAGTTTGTTTTTCGATTTCAATCAAGACTTCAATTTGCCAGCTAATTATTCAGTAGCATTGTGTTCATTCATGGCCTCACTGGCCATCCCAAGGACACATGGAGCCACGACGAGACGGGCTTCTTCTGGCCGTGGGAACTTCGGAAGGAACTCGAAACTGTTAGGGTCATGAAATTTGGGTACGATGCAAGCTTTGACAATGCTACAAAAAACTTTATACGAATAAAAGACATCGCTGCCGCATTCACCGATAGTCTCGTGAACAAGCGAAGAACTACAGAGGTTATAAAAAATAAACTCGTCACCAAAATAGACACCCTGCCACTCGCTGCCCCGCACGTCCTGTTAAAATAGCCGTTTCTAGGTTAGTCTTTTGGGGATAACCGTATTGCTAGTGGATCCTGATCCGGCAGACCGGGTAACAAGTTATTAATACACGTCCCCACAGCGCGGCACTGCCAGGCCAAGAACAAGCATCATGATTTCGTCAAGATCTGTAGTTAACAATGAGTCTCGTAATACAACCATTGCAAGTGAAAGGGCAGTTGCGCAGAGTCTAGAATGCCGTCTATACACAAACCAATCGTCTTCAAGGCTCTTGCCATTCAATATCATGTGTTATACGTAGTTGCCTCTGATTGATTGTGGAGAGGCACCGATGAGCATTGCATCCGAATGTACAACGCGCTGGTACGGGAGCGTCGCAATCACCATCGGCCCATTTTCCCATTTTTCCACAACAGCCACACTATAGTGCAACCAGACGTTATATCCTCCATGCAAATATTGGCACACGCTTGCTGGCAGTGCTCATAGGAGCAACTCCAGGAATAGACTCAGACCTGCCTCACCCCACGATAGCCTGGTAAGTGTATAAAGCCGTCACTGAGTACGGCCAGATAGCCTTTTGCCCTCCATCTCAATACATTTCATCCCATCCTTTTCCATCGTCCTACTTTCATTTTCGCACTATGCCTTCCAAGCTCATTCTCACTGCTCTTGTGGCTATAACCTCAGCCCAAGTCATCATCAACGGCAAGACCATGGGAGGAGGATCAAGCAGCGGCGTGACTTGTCCCGGTGTCCTTCACGCCACGGCCAATAGCCAAGGCAGCAATACGTACTGCTGTGTCGGGGGCACGCTCAACCTTAGCAACTGCCCCGGCTGGCCTGTCTGCACTGGCCCAACCCGTTTCGACCCCAAGTCGACAACGCTCAGCTGCGCGGCGACGGTCCCTCTTACTGCGAGTGACTACAATGCGCGGGTTTCCAGCGCAAGCGACAGCTACTACAACGGGATTGCCAGCCCAACAAAGCCTGCTCAAACCAGCGCCTCTCCCACTGGCCGCGGTGGCGGTGTCAATTTCTCAGGAAACGTGACAGTTAGTGGCGCCGACATGATGCGCCCCGCGTGGATTCCTGTCATCGGCGGTGTGGTAGCTCTCGTGGCCGTGGGCTACTAAGTGACAGGGTTGTGTTTCATGATCAGTCAGTTTGCGGATTCAATGTCTCTAGACGGGGAGTTCCCTACATGCCGTCTGCCTGTGACTGCAGATTAGCTGCGTCGACTTGTACTTTTTCTCTTCATTTTGTGCCCAACTAGTTTACCAATAAAGAATCTGACGAGGTGGCAGTTTGGCTTCTCTTGGACATTTTGAAAAACAGTCCCCGTCTTTATCGCTTCCAGGTGCAGGTGTACGCGCACCCGAGAGTATGGACACCTAGCTATTGCATTAGATAAAATATGCGGTATAGTAAAGACCCGCTTATGTATTCCCACATATCCGTGGCGGTGCCGCGTCCCAGCATGCAGCCCGGTGGTTGACCGAGGTGGAAATGCCGTAGTAGGAGGGTTACCGCCTTGGTTGTCCAGCTGAGACTGTTGTTGATGAGGTCAACCGAAGGGTGCCGCTTGCATGTGTGCACAAAATCACCGAGTGCACCGCCGGATCACCTTGTACGAAAAGCACTTGGGTAAACAAGCAAAAGCCAACATCACCGTCCTTTTTCCACAATCGTCTGTGGCAGCCAATCGTGGGCCTCTCGTGCATATGCGCTAAGCCCCTCTCGGATGCGGCCTAAGCCCTCTTAAGCCAAGTTTCAAACAGGTCTCGCGTGGCAAGGGGTTCTGAGGATTTAAAAAGAAAGCATATCCCGATTAGGGTCCAGTTCCGACTGCACGGGAAGAGAGTAGCATCTATGGAGCGCCCAACGCGGTCGAGAGCAGGATGTCGACGTTGCAGAAGGGTCAGCCGCAAGTGTGATGAACACAAACCTACATGTGGCCGCTGCCAACGGCTACGCTTCGAATGCAATTACCAAACTCGCCTTGTCTGGGTACATGCAAAAGGGACTTCGCAAGAGGCAGCATCGCCCAAATCTCGTCACAGGCTTCCGGACAGGGAGCGACTGAGTACGATGAATGGGAGCGGAGCGGGAATCCAGAAAAGGACTGCCCCTCTCCAACCTTTGCCCGTGACAATGAGGAATGGGAACCGCGGGCACCTGCGTGTGTTTCCATCACACCAACCGACGATTTTGATGCCGGATGTTCCCTACTGGGCTAACTCATTGGGCCTGGACCCGACTGATTTTGGTTTATTTCACGATTGTAAGTGGTCTCTTAGACAAGGCTTGCGTTTCCCTTGCTAACAAATCAACAGTTCTCCAGAATGGACAACGAATGCTTCATCATTCAAGCCTGTACTGTAATCCAATTATACATCATCTTCTTCCACGGTGCCAGAGGTCCATGGCCTTGACTGCAGCCGTTCTTTGCTTCCAGGCTTCGCAAGTAGGCGGCGTCGAGAGCTTTGCAAAGTTTGACAAAGCCATGGTCCTCTATCGCAGCATGCCATCGGCCGAGGACATTACTTATGTACTGGACACGGGACTGATTATTTGCAATGCATCGGTATGTTGTAGAGCCGCCGGTGAAAATATGGCGCTAACGAAGACAGATGCATTTAGGCTACAAGTGGACGACACTGCTCCATCGCCTTTGCTGCCTTGCCGAAGTTTCACTTTGTTCCAATGGCAGAGGCGCAGACACAGACTACGCAAAACAATTGGAAGTGCTGGCATCCATGGATTTCGATTTGTGGATCATGGGAAGGCGGACGCCATCCAGACATGTATGGGCCACGTGGTGCCTGGGAGGCAGTGGAATAGAACAAATTACTGGCTTGCCACGGTCATTGCTGGACCTGATGGCACTGTCTTGTTTGGGAACGGACATTTCTGCCGATATCCGACAGTGGATAACGACTCTGATGACGCAAGATACTGCTTCTGCAAGACGCCATATCTGGCAAGCTTGCGCTATTGCAACCCTGTTACACATGCACACCATGCATTTTGCCATTCTGAGTGACGTGGATGACCTCACAAGAGCGCTCAAGGCCCATATCGGGCAATTCAGAAGAGCCCTTCTGGTTGACAGAGACCTGAATGCAAGACAGGCCCTGTGGCCATTGTATGTTGTCGGCAAATCGGCAGTGGACGTAGATACCAGGCTGTACGTCAAAATGGAACTTGAAGGGCTAGGGTTATATGGTGACGCAGAGTCCAAGAATTGGATCCCCGCCATCCTGGAGGAGACATGGGCTCGAACCAATGCGGGCGAGCGTGTAACGACAGATTCTGTGGCAATTGAACATGGTATCGAGCTGGGAATTTGGTAAATGTTGGGATTGGCGTGGATTCATTTCGGTCAGGTTGTCGCGCGGCAACGTACGCGAGCGAGCGTACTCTCCTCTCTTTCTTAGCTTTACAAAGACAATTGGACTGCCACTTTGGCTTTCGTCAGAGGTCTTTCATACCCGCTGCCTGAGGCGCTGAGAGAGGACCAGAAAAGATTGACATTCTTTGAAGAATTTCCACTAATAGTACCCGATATCTTCTAGCTAGTCTGATACCTAGTCACGTTATACTATAATTTTCTAACCACAAGGTAATAATGAGATGCCAGGACTACGTGCAACCAAACCAATAATAGATAGTGGGGGACTTGATGTCGATTAATACACTAATCACGTTACCTCGTGAGCAATATTGTTATGGTCTAGGCTTAAGCTTGACCTACATAGTTGACCGCGATGGTCCGTTTGGCCAGTCCAGCACAAATATATATAAATAGACACTAGACACCCTAGCCTATGGTCTACTCGTTCTTGACCCATAAGCTGAGTTCCACGGCATTAATACGCCTCCCCAAATAGCTAACCGCTATATGCCCCAATCGAGGACTAGGTTTCCCTGCCAGGTTTCACCGCCACGCGCCACTATTATAGTCACACCCTTGACAGTTGTACCACGACGCCACCCGTGTCCTGTTAGCCTTGCCTTTTCTGGAATAATCAAGTTCGGATCTAGCTGACCCTGACGGCCATTCCAACACTACAAAAGCGTCTGGCGACTGGTACATGGCGCCAGTCGCCGCATCATGCCATCATGGTAAAGCACGCATTATACATGCATTAATCGAGTTATATTAGCACATGCCCTATTCTATATTTAGGGTCATTGGTGGTATAGTTTAGTCACGTAATTTACAAGTCACCTAGTGTCTTGTTATCCATGCACCTAATGACTATGATTAATTTTCAGGGCGCATCAAAACGCCCCAATCAAGAAGCCACACTCCGTTTTGCCCAAGCTGTACTATCCAATCGTGTTGAGCGATGCAGGAAAGAACAGGATTCGGTGTCAGCGCCATGTAAGTAATCAACCTTGCCGTTCAAAACTTTCTCTTTATGGGCTCGAAAGAGCCTGCTCAGGTCTCATGGAGCACATTGAGTGGTCTCCAGGGCTAGACAACGATACGCGTTGCAACTCATGATTTCTAATTCTAGGTTCTGCGCATCACAGCAAGGAGCACTGTTATGAGAGAAAATAGTATAAGAACTTGCAGGACGTCTACCTCACCCCCAGCGAGTAGGACATCCTGGGATACACGAACGCTGCCTTTCAGACGTGTTGGAAGATTCCAAAACCTACAATGGACCACTACGCCACTTGTGACCGCACCATGTTCACTATGGACCTTTTCCACGGGCGCTATACGCAGGCTTTCCAAAAGCGGCATCACCAAGAGTTTCTGGAGGCGGACGACAGGGGTGCAGCAACATGGCAAAACTCAGTCCCGGATCCTTGAATCCAGTACTCCATACATGGATAGACAGCGAGCGTCAGGTCTACCTCAAACAGCCCATATTGAAGAATCGTGAATAAATAAGCAGGGAGCAGATCGAAAAGGACAGGCAATGTTCCAAGGGCAGTGGATGGATCGATAGCAAGTGCGAGACGTTGTTTCGCTGTGACCAATATCTGGAGCGGCGGCGGGAGAAGGGCCTCAACCATCTCTCGGATGTTTACCTTGGGCTGGAAACTAAATTCTCCACAACCGACTTCTCTGGGTCCAACTAAAAGAGGAATTCACTGCCTTCCAAGCAGAGATAGACACTGTGAACCTGGCGGACAATGCTTCTGTGGTGCAATTTCTAGTTCCCGTAGCGTCGGCAATCATGACCGAGCACTAGGTAAATGTCAAGGTGATATGATATAATTCTCTATATAGTACAAGCAGAAGGAGCAAAACACGCCCACTGAGCCAAGTCATGTTACGGGGTTCTCGGCCTTGATTACGCCAAGATGAAGAGTGTGGAAAGCGATGACTCGTAACCGTTTCATGTCACCCGACGCAACGAATTCTCCATGAGGCAACTGGGATGTGGTTCTCTGATATTCAATCATCTGTTGAGTCTTTGAAGGGTAATATCTAGCGACCCGTGGCTACTTGTCAAGCACCACTCCACAAATAACATGGCATCGCCTTTCGTATTGCTGAACTGCAGCGTGGGGCATCAATACCGGCCGCCCAGGTACAGCCTTCTTTGACGCGTATGCGAAGAAAGCTGGTAGGGGTACCAGACCCATATTATGCCTCGGATATGATGGAGACAACATGGCGGACCGTCAGTAGTAACACTACCACAGCAATATATAATGAAGGAGCTTCGTCGTTGTTAAGATTAGCCCCAGCCACAACAACTGGTATAATCCAAGTCATTTGTTCACAATGCGCTGCATCAACATTCTTTCTGTAGTCATTGCTGGCGTAGCCAGATTGACGGCTGCCGATTCCTCTGTCATGACTCCGGGATCTTCGGCCACTACCAGTCTCGGCACGACGCCAACCTCAACGGCTACTTGCAATCCCTGCGCCAAGATTAGTGCACATTGGGCAGAGCACAATAGGCAGAACAAGACGAGTAAGTGGATTCTTACTAGTTGCACCCTTTTGCGTACAGATGCCAGAATATACAAGCCTAGAAGAGCTTGACTTGAAGTAGGCATATTAACGTGTGTCCTCTTCGTTATTTAGCTCTTCCCACGGTCAAGGCGTCACTTGCCCACGAATGCCTTAAATCCGTACCGCTAGGTCAACACGAAGCTGTGCAGCTGATTGATGCCATTGAACCTTATCTTGAGTGGCAGAGTGACGCGGCTTATAAGAAGGACCCTCCTGAATCGTACTTTTATCCAGGCTTTGATATTTTTGGCAACCTAGCCAAGGTTCGGTCAAATGTACAAGCTGGAAAATATTCAAACGAGTTCGACTTTCAGACCGACCTTTATAAGCAGGTCTGGGCCCCAGGCCATGATGGCCATTTTTACTTTAAGCCCGACTTGTTGCATAGAGCCTTTCGTTGGTATCGTAATGTTTCGATTGTTTCTATTAGCGAGAATGGAGAGGCCTTGCCTACTATTAAGCTTCAGAGTAGGTTCAGGTATCAAGGAGGGGATATCGGACGAGTTGGCTAACAGATGTTCAGCCGACGTTCTTGCCAACCCAAAAACTGCCCAGGCTCTTACCAAGATCAATGGTATTAATGCAACCAAGTATATCGAGGACACTGCCAATGCTGCCAGCCTTTTCCATGACGCCGACGCATCCTACAACTCCATGTTTTGGTCGAAACCAACTGCTGCTAAAGGCAACGTTGGTGACTTCTTCGGCGCCTACAGCTTTTTGTTCTACCCTGGTGATACTACAAATCTAACGTACGCCAACGGTACAACTATAGAGGTAGAAAATAAGGCCGTGATCGATGGGAATATGACAGGCGTCGTTGATGGACCTTCCATGTACAAAAGGTTTTGTTCCCCTCTTCCGCTTCAGCCTGCTGCAGCCTCCGCCAATACCAACACAACTATAAACACCATCACCAACGTTACTATTCCTGGCTATCCCACTCCTGTTATCATCTCCCCCGATCGCACTATCTCCGGCTACTATCTCAGCGGGCCGGGCCTTGATAATGTGGCCGTGATCTATTTACAGTCGTTCCCGGTGAGCAATTTCGCCGAGTTCCAGACTGCTATTAGCGACTTCTTACGAAAGGCCAAGGCCGCAGGCAAGACGAGGCTTATTATCGATTTGCAGGGTAATAAAGGCGGTGCTGTTTTACTTGCTTATGATTTCTTCCGACAACTATTCCCGTCTATTGAACAGGACGGTATCTCCCGCTGGAAGCTAAGCAAGACTTTTGAGCACTTGCCCCGGGTCGTGTCTGAGCTTATCAAGGATATTGATCCTGCGACGGAGACCAATTTGGAGTTGCGTTCGCTATACTATACCCCTTGGAGCTATCGACATAATCTAAACATCAGCAACCACAATTTTGAAAAGTTTGAGGAGAAATACTCTCCTCATACCTACAAAAATACCAATTACAGCAACCTTATACGAATAAACGTTGGCGATCCCTTGACTACTACTAAGCTCTTGGGCATTGACATTTCTGGCTACGGTACACGCACCAACCTAACTCAGCCATTCGAGGCCGAAAATATCGTTCTTCTCCATGACGGTCTCTGCGAATCGAGTTGCAGTACAGTCTCTACATTACTCCGCCACCAAGGCGGTGTTAAATCTATCGCCATGGGTGGACGTCCTAATCAGGGCCCCATGCAAGGCGTTGGCGGTGTCAAGGGAGCAGAAGGCCTTTATTTTAACCAGATCTATCAGTATATTAATTCTGTGTCCCGTTTTACCACCAACAGCACTGTCAAGTCTGGGCTACAACGGTTTAAAACTTTACCAATGGAGCGTTCTGTTGCTGCTGGTATCAACGCCCAGGACCAGATTCTACGCGATAACATCAATGATGGTATCCCTTCTCAGTATATTACTGAGAAGGCTGACTGTCGCTTATACTGGACTGCACCTATGATTTCTGACGTCACCGAGATCTGGAAGTCGGCTGCTAACTCTGCTTTTAACGGGGCTAAATGTGCCTATGGCGGTATTTCTACGTCCAAGGCAAAGCGCGGAAACAAAGCTCCTCCCGTACACGGTCTCAACTAAATAGCTTAATCTATAACCACTGATCGACAAATCCGACATTTAGGAGAACTTTGTCACCTGTCTCACGGCATCACAAAGCACGCCTCTCAATAAATGATGTATTTCAAGTAGCCCGATTCTTTGCTGAACCATTTTCACTAGCAATTTGTAACTATCTTGTCTATATTTGCGTATGTGCATATCTAACTGCCCGCCAAGTAATAAAATGAAACTGTCCGCGTTTAACCCCTTCCTTCTGCATTAAATGCCATCAAGCCTTTAAATAAAGAACGTAATACAACTTTAGACATGAAAGGAAGGCATAGATACCTAAGCAAAACATTCAGGCTACTTCAAAAGTCTATGGTGTCAGCCGTAGCTCACTCGGCCTTCGCCTGCATGAGACTGCTCCTCGGCGCGATGTCGTGACTTCCTTACAAAACTCAACAGATATAGTAGATTCAGTAGCTTTACAGTATTTCCCCGGCGTAGATTCTCCATCATTTCCTCCTCGACTTTGCGGCGAGGAAATTATGGCCAGTCATTGCTCACGGATCGCAACCGTTTCTCGTTTGACCTGTGATGCTAGCAGAATTATTATTAGCCAATTTCTTTTTTCGTTTTTACAAATCCATTCATGTTTTTCTCCTCCTCCCCTACTCAAAGTGCGGAGTGTTATAGTCGCCGTCAAAATTAGTGGTGTCGAAAACATACAACCCAAATGTAGGCATCTCTCCATCAGCGTTTCGCATTGGAACCAGGCCCAGAGGGGCAAATCATGTATCCTTCAAGTCAAATGGCCTCACGCGTTTCACGAGTCGATAAATTCGACGCCTATACCGTCGAATCCGATCGTAGAGGAGCCCAATCCGGCCCGTGACATTAGGAATCAGGTGTCGAACACTTGAATCACTCACACACCCTTATTCTTCGGATATTCTGCCGCGGTGCCTACTACCGCGCGGATTGGCGCATGCAGGGGCCCGAAGAGTCTTGTAGTCTTACAAGATGCTTGTTGTCATTGTCGACTAGCTAACCTAGCTGCAAGCTCTATGAAAAGGGGTCCTATCCAGTTGGCTAGCTTCCACACACTGCCGAAATCGTCCGCTCGGGTTCGTGACAGAACCTACATATGTATCAAAGGGCTAGATACAGACTCTGAACCAGGTCGTAACACCCTAGCCTATACTGGCCTCACCTGCGGACAGAATGTTACGCGTCTACAGCTCCGTAGCGAGAACCTTCCTATTATTAGTTAGTTTGGTAATGCATTCTAGGCTAGATATTTCGTCCGCGATGATACTTACCATTTCGCGCCTGATGCTTTGGCCTCCTCCTCTGTCTATAAATAAACGTCTTATTAGAAGTCTGCTTGGTGTAAGATTCTGAATTACTTATAGTAGCTCTTACAGGTTTTTGATGATTCTATTGGCTTATTAGAAAGTACTCTGTTTTTTGTAGTATACTTACTTACTCGGTGAAAATTACAGCGTAGGTGGTAGTCCTTCTCCTATATAATGATATTAGCTACCTATAAGCCAAATCCTTACAATATATAAGAGAATCGTACTCCGTAAGCCAGATTATATGTACATTCAGTGGCCCAAAGTTCGATTTTTCTTGCCAATTTCATAGGTTGGCCCATCTATATAGCTCGTTAATTTACTGCGCTACGAATAGGATCAGTGCTAATTGGCATTGCTTACAGAGGGCACTTCTGGACACATGCATGTCTGCGCTAGTACTCCCGAAAGAGTAGCAAAAGTAACAAGAAGAGAAGTAGCTGACAGCTTCATGATGATAGTTGGGTACAAATAGTAAGCAAGTATTTTAAGAAGACTTAGAAAGTATAGATTGTCAGTCAAGATATTGCGAGTAGTGTAATACTAATTGCAACTTGTAGGCTACTTAGACATGTTTATAAAAGTTCTTATAAAACAAGATATATTAGAAAGCATAGCATTACTAGGATCTTACGCATGCAATTATGGTCCTAGCTCGTTTTGCATCAGCGCATGACCAGCTGAATAACCTGGAATATCATGCTAATGTAGTACCTGACTAGATACAACCAGAGGTTTCTTCCTTGCCATGATGAATAAATAGTTTCAGAGTAGGTCGTGGCCATATTATATAGTGGAGACTTGATAAAGTTTAGGGACAATGCATAATAACTATACTACTTGCATAGATTTACCAGCTGCAAAAGCCTGGAAAATCATCATGCCAATCAGCATTAAAACCCACTTAGTTGAAACATATTGACTCGTAGAACTCGCAGCAGCAGAAGCTGGTGCCAGACACCAAAACAGTCACTTTTCGGAACGTCTAAACTAAAACCGCTTTAACCACTGTCTACCGTACTCGGAATCGCATACGTAGCCTCCTAGAAGCCCTCTATTTACGAGCCTTCTTTGCTGCCTTTTCAAACCGCTACGGACGTGGATTCACATCTTTGTCTTGTTAGAGTTCAGCCTCTCTTCAATCTACTAGCTACTTTGTCAATTTGTCAAAGAGTTGGGCATGTCTCGAATGGTAAAGAGTGTGAAGCTGGATTTAGAGGAAGGGTAAGTGTCTTTTCAAATAAAGGGCCCCCGGTATCTAGCTGAATTACTACCTCTGGATTGAACGGCTAGATTCTTGGTTTCCAGAACGCAAAACATATAGGACTTGGCTCAAAAGCTAGTAATCTTATTAGATGCAGGAGAGAAACTCAAGCTAGGTCATATTACCAAGGCTGTCTCAGACTCCAACATGTAGCGCTTTAGCATGGTAGTGCTTTAATAGTTGAAAACAACATCTAGAGGTCAACTGGAGTGCATGCCTAAGATTCAAACGCATGCCAAAAGGGACAATATTGTGTTTATCGCAACACTCAATAAACTGCCTTGCGTGATGTGAGCCGTGGCCATTAAGAATCAGAGGACACCTTGCACGTTTCAACGTCTTGATGCTGGAGCCACGTTGGCCAAGATGCCCAGCCCTCGCTTTGGCGAAGAACTGTTCCTTGACCGCCCCATCTTTAGCAACCAGACCTGCCGACGCACCCGAGAATACATTGACAGATATTCCTCAAATTAAACACCCAGCTCTCGAGTCAGTGTGCTCTGCATAGCGAAACGAGCAACCAATCCCTCTATATAACTCTATTCAACGCTACACCTACTCCATATCCAACAGACGTCATCACCGCCCCAGGAGGGCCTTCATGGTAGAGCCCATGACGCCGGGATGAGGCACCAACACGGCACCCGCGTCCTCCAAAGCCCTCGCCTTCTCGGCGGCCGTCACATCCCCCGGCTTCAAAACAGCACCCGCATGGCCCATGACCTTGCCCCTCGGCGCCGTCTGTCCCGCCACCATGGCCACCACCGGCTTCGGGTTGGGCGTCGACCTCCTATACTCCCTAATCATCTCGGCCGCGCGCAGCTCCTGCTCGCCGCCAATCTCGCCAATCACAATAACGCCCTCCGTCTCTTCATGCTCAAACAATACCCGAAGGGAATCGACAATGGTCGTGCCTGGACCACGTCAGGACCACGTCAGGGTGAACACAAGGCAAAACGACTGCGCAACATACCTGGCATGGGGTCGCCGCCCACGGCCACGACAAGACTCTGCCCCAGGCCGGCGGCGGTCGTGGCGCCCACCGCCTCGTAGCTCAGGGTGCCCGACTTGGACACGATGCCCACGCAGCCCCGGGCGTACTGCCGGAAGGGCATGATGCCGACGCGGCACTGGCCCGGGGCGATGACGCCGGGGCAGTTGGGCCCCACGAGGCGCGACCGGCTCTGCGTGCGAAGCACCTCCTGCACGCGGAGGAGGTCGTGGACGGGGATGTGCTCGGCGACGGACACGATGACGGGCACCTCGGCCTCGATGGCCTCGATGATGGCCCTGGCCGCGAAGGGGGCGGGCACAAAGACGGCGCTGACGTGCGGGTCGACCTGCTCCATGGCCTGTGGCTGGTCAATGAATGCCCTTGTTTGTTTGTTGGCGAGCGAGTTGGTGTGCTGGGAGTTAAGTACCTCTTTGACGGTTCCAAAGACGGGGAGGTCGAGGTGCGTCTGGCCGCCTTTGCCGGGCGAGACGCCGCCGACGACCTTTGTGCCGTAGCCAATCGTGTCTTTGGCGTTGGAAGTGGCCTGCCGCCAGTCAGCATCTCCCGCATGTGTAAATACATGGTGGTTCACCCCGTCGGTCGACATGCCGCTTGACCGGTGAAGCCTATGAGACATTAGCTTCGTGCTCGTATAGGCTTCCTCGAGACTCGCCTTGGTAGATGACGCGCGTGTTGGAATTGATGTGTCGCAAGCTGTCTATCGTGCTGTCGTAGTCTGCAAGTCGTCGATGAGATGTGCAAAATGTTCTAGCTATGGCGTGGTGTTTGCCGAGCCGCAACGAGCTCCGTGACAACATGGTGCCGGTGCCAGTCCTCCTGGCGTGCCCTTCTGAGTGCTGAGGCTGAGAGTTGAGGGCAACAGCAGACGATGGAAATCGGGAGTTGCACGTAGCACCAACCTACGCGCACTACTGTTAATAAATGCTAAATGCACTTGTACGTGGCCTCCAATCCCACATGGACGTGAATTTGAACTTTGAAGCCGTCGAGGCGCGGGCCGGCTATACGGCCTCGGCAATAAAGAACCCCGCCATCACCGGCCGGCTACTTGGCGGCTGCTCAGCTTCGCTCGCACCAACCCAGATGGAAGCGGCTCACAACCTCGGTGTGTCTTTTCCTGTTGAGCAACGAGTCACCGGTTCAGCGAGGTGCCCGATGCGGCAAGTCACAATGGCCCAATTGGTCCAATTGACGTCTTCAACCTGCCAGGTGTTGCATCCGCCGCTCTCAATGACAGCTTGGCACATCCACTCACACCAGGCACAAGTGCGACACCATGACATCTGGAGAATGCATGCTTCTATAAAAAACGCCAAGCACCAGATGTCTGGCATGTAGATGCAAAGCCCGTCCTCACTCTACTCTTTACTCTAAAAGAAGCGCCAGATGGAATCTGGCCCTTTGGTGCTCTTGAACCGACTATACGCTCTGCACACCGGCCACAACACCAGCATCGTGACGGCATAAAACCCAAAATACCCAAACAAATTATCAACCCCCCTCGTCTTCTCAGGATCCATCGGGTCGGCGACGCCCGTCTCGCGCCCCCATGCCGCCACGACGAGCGTCCCCGCCCCGAACAAAACCACCATGTGCACAATGTAAAAGAACAGCGCGCTCGTTCCGAAATCCAGCAGCATGCCGAAGCGCCTCGCCACCCGCGGCGGAACAGCAGTGAACAGCGCGAGAAGAAGCAGGTTCCCCGCCATGGTGAGCGCGAAAAAGGCCACGTCGGGCGGATACTTGACCACGTACAAGAAGGACGCGGCCGAGGCCAGGTACTGGTTCTGGCCGGGACGGCGCTGCTGGTCGGGCGTCTGCAGGCACCGCTCGGACAGGTTGCCCAGATGGAGGACGCGCGTGAGCACGAAGAGGATGGAGAAGCACACGACCCCAAGAACGTGCCCGAGGACAAGGGCCCGGCGCGTCCACGGGCGTGCCGTCGTGACGCGCGCGTAGAGCATGCCGAGCAGCGCAAACGAGAGCCACGCCAGCGGCGGAAAGCCCGACACCACGCGCGACTGCACGTCCATCATGACCCAGAACCAGACGCGAAGCAATGGGCTCGACGGACTGGAGCGTGTCGAAACGTCCTCTCTGCTGGGGGCGCAGACGCCGCCGTCGTCGCTGAGCCAGATGTTCCAGAAGATGGTGACCAGGCTCAATACCGCCAACAAGACGTTGTGAATACTCCACGATAGATGGGCGCACCTCTCCGCAGTCGCCCGTGTATCGTCCCGCGCCCGGAGCAAGGGCCGTGTGACGCCGTCATCATCCGCCGCCAACTCGTCGTCGTCTGTCCAGCCTTTTCCCACCCGTGCCATCGCCAGCGTCAGCCAACCCTCGGTCCTGTCCATGGCCAGCCACAGCAGCCCAGCGAGCAAGTAGTCCACGGCCAGCGAGAACAGCACCCCGTTCAGAAACCACACCCGGCCGCCCGTCATGACGAGCCCAAAGACGGCCGTAACGGCGGTCAGAACCGCGCACCGCACCGCAAAGTAGCGCGCCAGCCGCGCTGCCGACCATCCCAGCCTCGTGCGTGACCTGCCCAGGTACACGACGCCCATACCGAGGAGGAACGTGAATCCCGCGCCGCACAGGTGCGTCAGGGTGCGCACCGCGTACGCCGCCGTCGTGTTCCAACGCAGCACCGCTTGCCCGTCTGCCTCGGCGACTCGACCCGTCCCATGCTCCCACGTGTGTAGCGCGAGGGCCGCGTGGTCCAGGGCCATGACCATCATGAGCAGCCCGCGCAGCAGGTCCGGTGCCAGGACGCGGGCGCCGGCCGGTTTCGTCGGCGGTCTTGTGTCTGACGCTCGCGACGAGGCTGTATTGTATCCAGGGAACGAGTTGTACCCGTGGTCATTTCCGCTGCCGTCTCTCTTCGGGGTTACATTGCAAGGGGTGCGCGGTCGATCCGGCGGCTCCCGAGAACCGTCTTGGCCTGCCATGGGTGCTGCGGCACCGCTCAAGTTTATGCAAACTTCCGACGGGGATTAGGGTTGTAGGCGTAGAGAAGTTGACAAACCCATCCGGACAGGGTCGTATATAGACGTAGAGACGCTTTGCACACAAACGACGAGTGTTTCCGCCATTGTTTCTACACGGGACGTCTGCCGCTTTAAGCGTCTTTAGCCCGCGGATGAATGCAATTACTAGTTGCATGGCGGGAATTCCGCCCAAACTCCGCAAGGTGTTGACGGCTTGAACAACCAACCAAACAAGCTGGACATGGAACCACTTAGCGACGCCTCCGCCAGGCTTTGATGCCCGCTAACGTTGGGGTGGCCGGGCTGTCGGGTCGTCGGCAAGAACAACGTGGTTTACGCTTGGTAATCTGTTCAAATCTGACGGGCCCGAAGTCTCCGGCGGTCTTTGATGTCCCGTCCACGGGTGGTTGTGATGCGGCGGAGTTTACCTAGCCTGGGCTAATTGCTTCCATGTTTCTTACCGTCGCAAGCCGTACGTGTGCCGTCCCAGATTCACATGTAGCGTCACATTCTTTCGTTACCACGACGAAGGTGCGTCCAGATATGAACCAGGACACCATACTGAACAATGCATCATGAATAGCCGTGACCATTGCGCATGACTCGCGTCTCCCCTCTTGTACATCGTGATGCAGCGTGCATCCTGTCCCTCCACGACTTCTTAGCCCTCTCCAACAACTCCTTGGAGCTCAAAACGTCCACCGCCACGCCGGCCAACCCCTTGCCAACCCTCACGGCATTCTCATAGGCATCTCTGGTTCTCGCCGCCTCGGCAAACTCGGGATTGTGTGGCCCTTGCCCTCCCGGGCCGGGTGTTATGAAAAACGCAGCACTCAAGCTGGGCATCGCGTAGCTCACGTCGCCCTGATCCGTGCTCGCCAACGTCGTGCCCCTAGCTTCGTCCAATTCTGCGTTTTCCAAAATCTTGTGCTCCGGGCGCAACGCGTTGAAATACCGCGTGAATGACTGCGCCAGCTCCTCGTTCGGGACGTGGTCTTTGTACGCGCCGCCCCTTGTGAGAACCATTCTCGCACCGGTTGCCGTGGCCCCTGCTTCGAAACAAGCATACACTTTCGCCCTGAGCTCCTCAAGGCGGGCCTGTGAACTGGCCCTCACGGCGAAATGTCCACAGGCGTACGCGGGAATAATGTTGGTTGCCACGCCGCCGTGAGCAATGTACCCTTGAATAATGTCCCCAGGCATGTTTTGCTGACGGAGCATCGATACGTTATTGTATGCGGATACGAGTGCGTCTAGGGCGTTGATGCCAAGCCACGGATTGGCAGCGGCATGTGCTTCTCGGCCGTAGTATTCCACTTTGAACCGCTCAATGGCCGTGGTGCGCATGCGCGCAGCGTCAGGCACAATGCCAGGGTGCGATATGAGACTGATGTCGACCCCATGGTCCGAGTATGCGCCCGCCTCCAGGAGACGAATCTTGCCGCCTTCGCCTACATGAGAAATATGTGAGGAGGCATGTCCGGCCTTGTTCACCGAGGGATATGCGTACCTTCTTCTGCGGGAGTTCCAAAGAGAACAATCTTGCCTGGTATTCCCTCGTCCTTGATTACTTGCGCGGCTGCAACTGCGCCGATTACCGAGGCGGTGGCAATTAGGTTGTGCCCGCATGCGTGCCCGATTCCAGGTAGGGAGTCTGAATCTCAGGGTCAGCAAGCACACGACCAAGATTGCGAGATGAACGTGCCCATTTCTGCGTTGAACGACACAACGGCGCCCTTGGCACCGCTGTCAAATACCGCAACCCATGCTGTCTTCAGCCCGTATGCTGAAGGTGTTACTTTCCACCCTGGCTGTCGCCTCATAAACGACGTTAGAGCTTCATGGGCAATGTATTCCTTGTATCCCAGTTCGGGGTTGTCATGAATCTTGATGTTGATGGGCCAAAATTCTTTGCCGACTTCAGCAGCGGCTTCACTGATGGCTTTCAGGAGCTTTGGTTCCGTCGCCGGACAAATGCATTGGTCTGCGTCGGTAGAAATGACGACGAACCCGTCAACTTCATGCTCGGCAAAGCTGGCCATGTTGCTCACCGGGGTGGATTTGGCCAACCAGACTATTCTGTATTCTGTGTGAGATGCTCCGTGGACCATGGGGAGAAAAGTAGTTGGTCTGGTATCAATGTCTCACCTGGCGGCGCTATCCTCGGACGGATAAATCTCCGCCCGGATGTGCGTTCATACTTTGCGGCTGATTGATGGTGCGAGATAAGAGGGCACTGGACGACGAGTGGCAGAGTTGAGGCGGTTGCCGCAAAGGCCTTGGCACATGTATCAGTACCTCGGTACATAGACAAGGTCTGGTAGATGCGCAAGGCTGTCAATTGTCACCATGCAGCCGCTTCCCTGTTGGCTTCAGGCTGAGCCAGCACTTGGCATTGCCCCATGGCGTCGAGTCATGCACAGATTGACAGGCTAGCTGCAGTTAGGGCTGCAGCACGATGCAGCCAAATATCGGGGTCGTACTCTATCTGCGACGCCTGGACTCGGCAGTTGAGCGCCATTGTCGTGCAACCGATAATCGATTTCGAGAAGCCGTTCAGCCGTGAATCAAGGCACCGGGTGTGGAACTCAATTGGCGAAACTGCACATCCCCGCCTGCAAAATGCGCACACGTGATGTAGCCAAATCGGTAGTGGTGCATATAGGCGACGACGGCCAGATGGAAGGAGCGGCTGGGGCGACGGCAAGGAAACCAGCAGGCGCCAAAGGGCGTTGTTGACCCTCAATTCGATGTCTGTGCTGCCCAGGTCCCTACTCCCTTCAATGTTGAGCCACCAGACACATGCAGCCAGCGGCTCCACAGGTCAGCGGCAGATTCAATGTTCCTCGGACGTGCGACCGCCGACCACAAGATCTGGTTCGGCACCCTAAGCCGCTGCTCCTCATCGACCCTCTCCGATTGCATCGAGATTGTGCCGTGGCAGTTGTCGTTGAATGAAGCTGTCTGCTTCGCGCGCCAGCCAGGGCGCCGACGGCCATTGATTCAACCCCGATCTTGACGTCGGCCTGGGGTTATTAGACCACGAACCAAGGAATTCGCATCCACAGCTTCATCATGGTTCAAAAAGCCATCACGCCTCCGGACAGCTCGTCCAGCGAGTGTCACGGATCGTCGCCCGAGGCAAAAAACGCCGTCAAAGCAGCCGCGCCATCGAGTCGTCGCGGCCATTTCAAGTCGCGATTGGGCTGTTTCAGTTGTAAGCGAAGGAGGGTCAAATGCAACGAGCTTCGCCCAGAATGTTCGCCATGTCGTCGACTGGGCTTGATATGCGAATATCCCGCTCCTCAATCATCATCTACGCCGCGGACAGCGGTCCGACCCAACCCTTCGGCCCTGAATCTTGAAGACCTGCGCTTCTACCACCAATTCCTTACCGCCGGATTTCCAACGCTGCCTCTGAGGGGAGGGGAGGTCTGGGCGGAATGCGCTGCCATGTCATACAGCGTAAGTGGTGGCCAACCGTGACACATTTGTTATTCATCAAACAGGCTCTTTCCCTTTTGCTGGTGAACCGCATTCTAATTCTTCCCTGTTAGTCCGAATGCCTTGCACATGCCATCCTCGGACTCGGAGCATCGCATCTGTCAAGGAACTGCAACGTCAACTACGAGGCGCAAGCCTTGCAGCATCGCGTCGCGGCCATCAAATTGGTCAATGAGCAATTAGACAAGCCGCCCCAAAAGCCAATTGATGCCGATATCCTGTTCGCCACTCTCATTTGCCTCCTCACCCAGTCCTCCTTGATGTCAGACAACATGGTCGACTACTTGACCATGACGAGGGGAGGCAACCTCGTTGCCACCACCATCATTCCTGACTTTAATGCGTCTATTTTCAAGAAATTCAGCCCCGAGGGCCACGTCATGTCGTTGGGCGAGATGGTGGAAGAGCAGCCAAAAGACTTGGCCTTGATTGAAGCTTTCAGGGCTTCTGTTTTAGGCATGGAGCCTATTTGCCAAACCAAGAACGAAACAAAATACCTCGAGGCTTTGGTCGCCTGTATAGATGCTCTGAAAACCTCGTCACACTCTGGTAAAGAATTTGCTCCATCCAAGTCTCCCCGGGGATGCTAATACGTATTTAGCTTGGTTGCATTTTGTCCCCCTCTTCATGATGCCATCGACATTCGACAACCAAGAGTTTCTCGCCTTTGTGAATCCAGAAAACTATACCGGAAAATTGTTGCTCATCCACATGTTTCTGCTTGACTATGTGCTCGGTCGATTTTGTCTTTCACTCAAGGAGGAGCCCAAATGCCCGGGTCGAAAGCTGACCATTCTTTCGTGGACGAGGGGCCTGGCAAAATCGCTCCCGGAACAGTACCGACGCCATATTGAATGGCCACTGCAGTACTGTGGGGAATTGGAGAGCCAAGATTCGCGCTATCTGCTGAGTCCGTGATGCGCCGTGTTCAACCGCAGCGTCAATGCTGCGCCTCGGGAAGCCGCCATATCCAGCTAGACGGGGCTCTTCCTATCGAACCAGTTGGTCGATAGGTCTAGTTGCGAAGGACAAGGGACTTGACTATGTGATATGCCTGATCCTGGTGTTCATGGGCACGCCTGCCTACTTCCTCAGCAAGCTGTCATGGGGGCAACACACGTGTCGACTGTAGTCCTTTACCAAGAAGCAGCTATAGCAGCCGCAAATACTGCCGATAAGTCTGGGGAGTTTGCGCTTCCTGATTCGCAAAGCTTGCGAAGTCTGGCCACGGAAGAAAGGGAAAACTCGGAGTGGTGGGGCTTTGCTGGGTGGTCCCTCAGTAACGCGTGGTCGCAAAGATTTGACGCGTCAAGATGGCGCAACTTTGATGACCAAGCAGTTTCAGTGTAACAATTAAAAGATATGTCTAGTTATATACTAGTTCATAGCTCTGGTTGATTATAGTGTGTTTTCCTCGTGTTGGCGCTGTTGGTACTAAATTTATGTTGGTCATTGGTCGTTGGACTACCGCAGACATGACTGCTACGTGCGCCGGGCGCATGATAAGATGCAGCTTCTAGGAAATTAAAGCAAAGCGAGAGGTAGCCATTATGCGTACAAAACTCGAGTATTACCGATTACAACACGTAGCAAAATAAAATAGAAGCTCCAAAGTCCTCCAATACACCCTTTGCATGGAGCAGCGGCTCCAGGGTTTAAAACAATCACATACAAAGCCTTACCCTAAAGGCCGCACATCACCCACGTGTTTGTGCTAGAATTGCGCGATTAGGCAAGCATCACAGAATATAAGAGGTTAATTGAAACATAGTAAACAGGGGAAGCACTGATTTATATTGAAACAGCCCCCCGGTGCCTGTTCTAATGCTCCTTAAGCACCTCCAACAGTGGCGCCATCATTATAATCTTGTTTAGTGCTGCCGGTTTCAACAATCAATCATCACGTGATTGAAACAGGATTTTCATCCTACCTGGTCTGGTGGTCTAGTGGTATGATTCTCGCTTAGGGATAACCCTGATGCATAGCTTGCGAGAGGTCCCGGGTTCAATCCCCGGCCAGACCCATTCTTTTTGAACTTTCTCGTTCTGGTCAAATGCTATGCGAACTGGAAAGATGGATATTTTTTGCTGTGGAAGCGACGGTGAAGAATGCCCCGGGCACTAAGCCTGGATTGCTTTACAGACTTATAACCTATAAGTGTATATTTTTTTTTATTTTTTTTACCATGGTATACAGCTATTTGAAGCTTGGCCTATCAGTCTGAGTTCCTGCCTGTGCCACGAGAGTTTTGTGTGACAAGGGCTAAAATCTTGCAGCAACGTAACTCAATTCATCTATCAACAGCCTTCGGTATTAAAGGTCCTTGATTTTCTTCAAGACCTAGTTGACCCCAAATGGCTCCTATCTATTGTCGGTAAAGTCGTTCGTTGCAAATTGGCTGCCCCGCTCCACCGCCGTAGCCGTTTTACACGCATGATGAGTCTTGGTCCTCGTTTTCGTAACGACTCCGTCTCTCCTAAGCTTGTGTCTACACGAACAAAAGACGCTAATATGCTAAAGGATGCGTTCGTTGTCTAACCTTTGGTGTCTTCTGCGATCATGGCAAAACTATTTTATTCTGAAGCTGTATAACCTTGTATTTCGCAATAACGATCGACGTGCGGAAACCCCATTTGCGAGCTTGGCAGAGCTGGAAAGATTACCAGCTGCAGCGTTCCCTGGCTCGACGGCGATATTATTCCGGCCCCGACGAGGCATCATACTAAAAGCTGCCGTTCAGATTGGTGAAGATCAAGTCATTGCCAAGCGACAGAATGTTGACAGTTACTTCAGCATTGAGGAGCAAGTTCTTCGAAGGCTTGGCCCGCATCCGAGGATCATTAGGTACAGTGAAAGCTCGTTGTACTCTTACTGTCAAACCCATGCATACTTTCTTACACGATTGAAGATTCTTAGGTCCCCATCCTAGTGGTCTCCTCTTGGTTGAAGCAAGCCATGGGAATCTCCAGTGCTATCTACATGAACACAATGCTTCGATTCCATCCTGTCTCCGTCAGAAATGGTTCATCCAGGCCGTCAAATCTATCGCTTTTATCCACAGCCGAGGAGTTATACACAGTGACTTGCGACCCGAGAACTTCCTCGTTCACGGTACTGCTCCGATTTCGTTTGACTTATGGCTTTGTGACTTCGGCGGTTCCACATGCGAAGAGCTTGCGCTCTCCGCCAAGAAACTTCCAGACTCTGGGTTTTTTAATCCGAAGCTACCGTGGGAACCAACCTTTACGGTTGATATATTCAGCCTCGGATCCGTCCTGTATGCCATCGTCAAAGGACACTGGCCGTTCCGCACAGGTACAGGACCTTTTACCTCCATAGAGGAAATGGACGAGTGCGAAGCGAGTGTGGACGCTTGCTTTGCAAGCGGAAAATTCCCCAGCGTTGAGGGACTGTTTGGAGGGGATATAATACTGGGCTGTTGGGATGGAACGTTCTCGAAGGCTTCAGAAATCATGGCCGCCGTTAACAAACTGGAGTTTTAACTGGCGGGACGCGACAATCAAATATTGTTGTAAAACTATTTAATAGAGCTAATGACACTAATGCCATTAATCAAGCGTCCTAATGAGGAGATGTACGTGCTCCTGTCTACGTCTGCGCTCATTGTAAACTTGAACTAAAAGGCGTGGATCATGCCATCGTTTTGGTCGAAATATTCCCTGGCATCATGGCGGAAGCAAAGTTCGACCAAGAATGGCAGCCTGTCTTGTGAGGACTGACCTGTTGCCATTTCTGAAGCTGCCACTGGATGGCATCGACTTTCTATTGCTGTATCAAACACGACGAGTTTCGCTACTGTAGATGTACCCAAGGGCAAAGTGTTGATTGAAGTAGGAAAGGCAAAGGACATGAGGATACTGTACATGTCGATTTGTTTCTTTGGCTTGTATTTGGCATGTTCCCGGCCAGGTGGAGTTCTTCACGTTGCAGCTGTAGGTCGTACACTCACGACTTTACAGGGTTGGTCTTGCATATACTTTTAGAATAACAAACCCAAGTATCAATTAAAAGAGCGTCTAGCATCATTCAGCAAATTCTAAAAGCTTTGAAACTTGGTATCGGAACTCTTTCACGCGTGGAACATCCCACAAACTTGGGAAAGATGATATACTTTGAAATAGCATTTCTGCTTCGTAGAATGTTGCACCGTATTTATAGAGAGTCCGACTTGGTCATTGCTATTTTAGATGGTTAAAATAAATCACTTGGCACCAAGTTACATATGTAGGTTTATTCTAATGCGGGAACTAGAATGAAGTAACTCCCCGAGCGCGACAAGAGTGAGAATATGCAAGGCCATGGACAGCATACGCTAGCGCACTGCATTCTAAAAAAACACAAAGGGAGAATTCAATTAGCCTGGTGCTGATGTATTGTAAAACTCGCAATACCATGTCCACACATGAAAGCTAAGCTTCGCAAGTTGGCCTCCAAAAGCGGCATCCCAACCTCCAAAAAATACCGTCGTGTCCGCCCGAACTCGAGGCACATTTGTGGTGAACCTGGACCTTGTCTGTAAAGTTACAACTTTGCCTTTTCACTCACACAGAACTTGAGGGCTTCCCCTTCCACCTTTCCCTGCTTCTTGCACGTACACTCGGCCAGGCTGTAGAAATTAGAGCTGAGCGTTCCCAGCTCAGCCTGGCATTGTGCCGCGAATTCTTCGCACTCCTCTTGCCGGTAGTAGTCAAGGCAAACCTGCACCTTTTCTACACAGTTGAGAAAATTCTCAATCTTCTCACTTGCAGCGAAGCGGGCAGCGCACCGGTTTCCTGCCTTCATACACGCCGGCGAGTTGCCAGAGGCGTCGCACTTCTCCTTTAGAAGCTGTGTGTTGTACTCGGCAGAACCCGGCTGCGGCTTGGGTTTCGGCTTGGCAGCTTCCTCCCTTTGCTGCTGTAGTACCTTTTGAAGTTTATCAAGTATAGCTCTCTACGCATCCTCCTCGACGTGATTGTTGTCGTAGTCTTGACGTGTAAGCAGCTGAGGTGAGGGCTTCTCATGCTCGATATAGATTTGTAGGGCTGAGATCATTGTTCCAGTGCGGCCATGGCCGAAGCCGCACCAGACGAGGGTACCTGGTCGATGCTTTTTGAACCCTTCATAACCTTTTTGGAAGTCTTCAAGCGTTGGGGTACCAAAATCCACAATAGGTAGTGGCGTGTAGGCGATGCCGACGTTCTGGAGAGCAGTTGTAATGTTCTCATTATTTGCCTCGTGATTAAGACTAATTACGTGCGTTATTTCCTGCTTGAAGAAATTTGATTGAGTCTGCAGTCAGGTTCTGGTCCGAGTCCTTCCAGACATAGTTAGGCGCCGAGGAACGACTAAGCCCATCGCCATCACGGACGTGCTCCGTCACATATTCGAATCGCTGGAACCCGGCATTTGACGCGATTTTTTCTGAGAAAATAAGTTGATGAGCTTAATGAGCAAAATTGAATCGAGACATACCCAACTCATTAGCGGATTCGCCAGCTGGGAGTGACTGAACCGCAACAGCAGCCCCGAGGAGCGTCACGAGCGACTTGAGAAACATGTTTGAAGTCTTGTTGATATCAGTGCCTGGAAGAGAAATTGTTCTCATGAGAAGATTGGTTTATATATATGTCCATGATGAGGTTTCACACATTTAATTTATATTGATTCTTTCAACCCAGATTATTGGCTTATCAAATCATGAGGTATAGAGTCAAATGACAGGCTTGGCGGATATCCGCTCCCGCATAATGTATCCAGATAGTTTTTCCTCAAGACGCGCAATTGTCGCTTGGCGTTGGCATGGACACGGAGGACCCGAATCTGAGTCAATGGAATCATTATTCAACGTTTATGCAGAATCGTTCTACTCTCTGCTTTGACCACGTTATTTGGTACTCGCCAAGCTTGTACCATGTCATACAAAAAGAACGCCTCTCTTTGCGGAGCAATAAAGATGGTGCTGGACACCAAAATAGCCACTTTTCCGACTTGCCCAGTTCAACACCCTGTACGTCAACCAGCTCGTCCTCGTTGGACTAGTTGCTATTGAGGCTCGCATTCAGGAAGCCCCTCGACACATTAATGGTTTTCCCGATGCGAAGGTAGCCATAGGTGTCGAATGGTCAGATAGGTTAACGTAGCGGCCCTTTAGGGCGAAACCCTCCGACATGGAGCGTAATAAACTGACCAGTACTGCTGCCAGGGAAACCGAGGCTGCTGGACGGAAAATATACATACGTGGATGACGAGTCAGGCTTCAAAGAAACCCCTGGCACGTTTGGGCGTACGCCTCGCAATCATGGCTGCCTTCCTCTCGACCTGTTGTTCCCGTAGCCTTTATTTCTCGCTTCTATGCCTTGCAGAGCCCCCTATAAAACTTCGAAACTTACTTATGGAGGTCACGCGGCAGTATGGGTCAGTACGAGTCAGCACGGGTTATTATGGCCGTGCTTGTTCGTCCTGTGTCTTGTTACGGGCATCGGAGACAATGACACGACGAACTTCATACAAGGACCATGAAATCCGCTTGGTGGGTTCTGTCAATGCTGCCTCAGCTTATTGACATTTTACTCTCCACACATGTTACGCGTATTGTCGTCGACTACACCCGGTAATATAATGGGGGGATAAAAGTGACGATCCAAAACCCCACATTGTCACGAATCGCGTCAATCTGACATCTGCCTTGATTGTAATTTTCTCTGTCAATATGACCCCTACAGACTCAAGACTTGAATATACTCCTTATAAGCGTACGAGGTTATATGAGGCACTTTGTAGGCAATTCGTGCAACAGTATCGCAAATGATGAGGGCGTTCCTCAGGGGTCTATATCCGGCATTACTCGAGACTAGGTGGAGCTGTGGTTTAGTTTGCCAAGAGGCACGGAGCTATAATATAATATGCATGCATGTGGCTATCAATCAAATTTAGCTAGATAACTCATATCCACACGTTTCAGTGTATCTATATGTAAAATTATAGTAATAAGACAGCCTGAATAAACGCGTCAAGTAATATTAATACGGGTATGAAAGTAATACAAATAAAGCCGAATCTGCTTCCCACGTGTTACAGTATAAAAATACACGGAGGGGTATAGTAACGAGAACATAGCCGTATTATATAGCTAGGGCCGCTAAGATATAACTACCTCTTGGCATGTTAAATTATTGACAGCTCCGAATAGACGTTTGAGATATCGATCATCACTTTTGTCCAGGCACTGTAGGCAAAAAGGCACGGATAGCAGCGTGTTACCCCTTACACACGTGTTGCAACTCGCCTCGCTATGTGCTCGCTGAAGGGTATTAATATATTGAGGCGAGTTAAAACCAGGTTCAACATAGAAGGCTTGGAGCAAAAGGGCTTAATTCAATAATAATCTCGAAGGATCTCTAAGGTCTTGAGTTGCTACGAGGGAAGTAGAGAAAGGTGACCGCCTTATATACATAAAAGGAACGCCTAGGCCTAGGGCTTTTACCTAGGCACGTGTTCTAACTGTGTAACTAATAAGTCCTGTATCGGCGAAGCCCCTTTGTTGGGCTTCACGATCTGTTGGGCCTTTTCCGTGTAACAAGTGCCTATACTGTCAGGACAACCAGGCTCAACTGTCTCCGTGACTTACTACCCTTAGGAATGGCGGAAGCGGGAACTCTAGCCTTTCGATATAACGCCAACATTCTTCATGGGGCGTCAATCGCGGGTGGGCAAGAACAGGCAAAAAATCTGTTAAGCCACTTGATTTCGAGACAAAAGGTCAGCCGGTGCCGAAATATCTGCGGGGTGTTTTGTTAACGCTAATATAGCACTGCTACGTAGGAATACAACGTGCGACCAATGCTTTTCATCGCCCATAGTCTTGGCGGTGTTATTGTAAAGGAAGCACTTGCAAAAAGGAGGGCAAGGATGAAGGAACAAGATTGAGGCCCACCGAACAAGGTCAAACGGCTATAGCATCTATCCATGGCCAGGATAATTAGACTTATATTGCGCAGAATGCTGAAAAGTTCAAGGCCGAACAGGATAATAAGAGATTGGATGATGACGAGGGCTAGTGGAACTGCTGCGTGTTTCTATAATTTGGGAAAATCTGCTTGACGCCAAGAAGCCACCTGGCTCTAACTTGACTATCATTAGGGTGGCATATAAAAGTCAACAAGGAAGTGTGATATAATTAAGAGTACTAGACTGTCATTGCGAATGCCTCATATAGCAATTTATCATTTTATGGGACGACCACGTTGCTGTCACGGGCATGAGAAGTCAGAGACTGACTGGACAAGGGCTGAAGGCTTAGAGTATCATGACTTGATTCATGTGACAGCCTTCGGTATTAAAGGCCCTTGGTTTTCCTTAAGGCCTCGTTGACCAAAGGGGTCTTTAAATATACGAAGTCAGTGAGGGACGTTGCCCTAGGTCTCGTGACCGTGACATTGGGCCATTTCCGCGTAACAGTTGCAGCCAAAAGCGGCGTCGACTGCCGCTGAGCGTGGCAGACGAAACCGCGACATTCTGGTTTATTATATTATATACTAGCAAAATACGGTGTATTATTGTATAGTCAATATGATCATGACCAAGCATTGCCTAATGTATTATAGCATGTTGTAAAAGAGCGTAACAGCCAGGTACCTGAGGTGGTTCAATACTTTTTGTCCTCAAGTGGCATGATGAATCTCTTCAATGCACGGGAACCGTCGAGGGAACAGCATATAGTGAAGTTGCATCTATGTAGTCAATTGCCATGCTAGGGTCAAGTGTACTTGATGGACAGTCCTCGCACAGTGCAAGGTCCGGTCAATGTGTGCCGGTTGATGGCGCAGCGGCACCCCGGGCGCCATTTTCGTATGCAGCACGGGACGTCTGGCATCCGATGTCCTCCATGTCACATTGAATCGGTCCAGGACCTGTCACACAACCCTCTTTTGTCTCACTGGTCAATAGTTTACAGGCACGGACCTGGTGTCAGCCAAACCACCCAGCCACCACCTCGGAATCCAAGGTCCAAGTTGTCAATTGAGCTGAGCTTACCCCGCATCAATGGCACCGGCACTGTGCAGCCAAACCTCGGCTTGTAAGTCGACATGGACGTTGCTTGAACCGTCTCAACTCTCAATCTGCAATATATAATAAACGTGACGAATAGCACGAATTTCAGCCTCCATCTTGGTATAGACAGACCCGAACCTCCTTTGTTCTAGATATAATTGCATTCCACCATGTTCAAAGCAAGCAGACAGATCGACCTCCCAACCAAGGACATCCTGTCCTACATATTTGACGAACCCGATTACGACCAGGACAAACCAGTATGTGCATGCGGAATTGAATCCATGCAGCCACACTAATCATTTATGATGCAGATCTATGTGGATACAAACGACAGCACCCGTACAATATCATGCAATCAAGCCAGAGTCATCATCCGCCAGCTGATTGCCGGTCTTCGAGCAGCGGGCGTAAAGCCAGGGGACTGCATCGCCATCCACTCATTTAATGATGTGAGCCGCGAAATCCGCTCCGTGAGGGTGTTTCCTCGCGCTGACCGTACAGATTTCTTATTCCATGCTCGTTCTGGCCATTATCGGTGCTGGCGGGATTTTTACCGGCACAAATCCGGCATACACGGCCGGGGAGCTCAGTCACCACATCAAGACATCCCGGTGCAGCTTTCTGATATCTGAGCCAGAGATACTCAATCCTCTCCTTGAAGCCGCCAGGGACAACAAAATCCCTGATGATAACATTTGGATATTCAATCCCCTGGGTCAGCAAGTTCCCGCAGGCAGGCGGCCATGGACGGATCTGCTAAAGCACGGCGAGCAAGACTGGCTTCGATTTGATGACCACGATGTTTCCAAGTCGACGACAGCCGCGAGGCTTTTCAGCAGCGGCACAACCGGGCTTCCAAAAGCCGTGACCATCACACACTATAATTTGATCGCCCAGCATGAACTCGTGGTCAAGGCAGACCAGCGGCCATACGAGGTAGGCTAACCTGGTCCCATCCCCGAATGCCCTCTCGTCACGCCCACCGCCAGGCCGCGTGATGGCCCTACCACGTCCGATAACTGACTTTGCGTCCTTCCCCTGCGAACCAGGTGTCCCGCGTCGTCGCCACGCCCATTTTCCACGCCGCAGCCGCCCCGGGAACGCACGTCAGCGCCCTCGCCTCCGGGCACGTCGTCTTCATGATGCGCCGGTTCGAGCTCAAGGCGTTTCTGCACGCCGTAGAGACTTTCCGCGCCACGGAGCTCGGCCTCGTGCCGCCGATTGCCATTGCCATTGTAACGTCGCCCTACGCAACGACGAGGCCGTTCCTAGCTACCGTCAGGAACGCTCGTTGCGGCGCCGCGCCACTGGACAAGCAGCTCCAAGCCAGGCTGCAGCATCTCCTCAGCAACGGAGCAGCACTGACGCAGGTATGGGGGATGACGGAGACCTCGTGCGTCGCCACCATGTTTCCCTACGGGGAGCACGACGACACCGGCTCCGTGGGGCGCATCATCCCCAACGTCGAGCTAAAGTTCGTCCGGCAGGCATTTTCACCCATTCGCGTCTTTTACACCAGCTGACAATGTATGTACTCTTAGGCTTGTTGGCGACGACGGCCGCGAAATACGCGACTACGGGGTCCGCGGCGAAATCTGCGTTCGGGGCCCGACCGTTACCCCGGGCTACTTTGACAACAACACGGCCAACGCGGAAAGCTTCGACTCGGAAGGCTGGTACAAGACGGGCGACATAGGCTACTGCGACGGCGAGACGCGCAAGTGGTACATTGTCGACCGGAAGAAGGAGCTCATCAAGGTGCGCGGCTTTCAAGTGGCGCCGTCTGAGCTCGAGGCCGTCCTCATCTCGCACCCGCAGGTTGTGGACGCTGCTGTTGTCGGTGTCGCTCTCCCCGGGGCCGAGGGCGAGTTCCCACGGGCGTTTGTTGTGCGACGGCCCGGCGGCGAGGGTTTGAGGCTGGACGAGCGGGCGGTCAGGGAGTACATGGAGAGCCGGCTGGCCAGGTACAAGGCTCTGACGGGGGGCGTCAAGTTTGTCGACGCCATTGCGAAGAATGCGAGCGGCAAGATTCTGAAGCGGCTTCTTCGAGAGCAGAGCAAGAATGAACTTGAAGTGTCTGCCAAGATATAGGGGTATCTTGTCTAGCTGACGTGTCGCGTAATGAGGGTTTTGCAGGCCAAGTCTTTTTAAGATGCAAGTATACAGATACTGTGTTTGTTGTGTCTGGTTTCTCTCCCGTAGAAAGGGCATGTAATTGATCTTGGCAATTGATTTGCGGGCTCAACGGCATTGGTAGGCCTCCTATCGGCGCGCCGTGGCTAGGGTCTTGATTTCCCAACTTGGCAGTCTATGGATACGATTCCAGCGAGAGGGTGATTGAATCTTTGATTGTGGCTTGGCCTCGGTATGTGTCACCGGACCCTTGAAGCTTAATCGGCGTCGATCCATGATCCGGCAGCCTCAGTTACAGCTTACCCCGCCCGTAAGCCGAGGTAATAGCAAAGTCTCAACGTATCGCCTTGCCATCCTAGACACCGGGGCGTCGTCGAGAAGAAACATATATACTGCTTTGAATAGTAGACGCGCGGTTCCATCATCAACTTTTGATTTATTTTGCATCAAACACTACATTTTTTCGTTGCGGAGATTTCCCCTTCTATATCCTGTTCACAAGTTCACAACATGTCAACCAAACAGTACAATGATATCATTGTGGAAATTACCGGTCAAGTCGGAACCATTAAAGTATCTGCCATGTCACTGAACGTCTGAGAGCTTGTTATTAACCGCCCATAGCTTAATCGACCCCATGCCCTCAACTCATTTGGTGGGAAACTGCTGCAAGAAACAATCGATGCAGTCCGGGACTTGAACGAGCACCCGGATACCGTATTCACGGTTCTCACCGGCCAAGGACGGTACTTTTCCGCTGGTGCCGACATTAGAGGTACGTACGCTTCCCGTTAAGCAAGGGATATCAGAAGACTCAACAAAGGACATGTCCAGGGGGCACGTTGGTCAACTTCGGCCCATTTGCAAACAACACCGAGGCAAAGCTCGCATTTTCCACACAGCTATTCCCAGGTATTCACGTCCCAACCATCTAGCCCTGCCCGAGTTCTCATCTCCTCGCAGGCGTGGAGCTGGTCCGCTCTATAATAGAGCACCAGAAAGTGCTCGTCGTCGCCCTGAACGGCCCTGCCGTCGGCGGCGGAGCGGCCTGGTTCCTCGGGCTGGCAGACATCATCTTCGCCGTGGAGTCGTCCTTCCTGCAGGTCCCCTTCTCGGCGCTCGGCCTCGTCCCCGAGAACGGGTCGATACGCAACTTTGCGCAGAGCATGGGGGTTCACCGCGCCAACGACTTTCTCATGTTTGGCCGGAAACTCACCGCGCAGGAGCTGGAGCAATGGGGCCTGGTGAACAGGATCTTGCCGGCGGCCGGGTTCCACGAGGGCGTCGAGGCCTTTCTGCAGGAGCAGCTGAGGGTCAATGATGGCAGGAGCATGATGCTGGCCAAGCAGCTGCAGAACGCGCCGCTGAGGGCAGAGAGGCTCTTGGCTCTTTACGATGCAGCGGATGCGCTGGCGGAGAGATTTGTGGACGGCACGCCGTTGAGGAGGCTCGCGATGAAGGGGGCAGAACTTGAAGGTGAGCTGCTGCGTTGCATGTGTGATCAGAGGACTAACGGGCGTAGCCAAGTCAAAAAAGCCTTCTCATCTGTAACCGGTAGTGGATATGTACGAGGTGACTGGGCCTGGGACAGTAGGGTTCAATGCGAATTTAATAATCGACTTTTTCCTAAACGGCTTTGAGGGTCAGAGGTCCATGTCTCTAAAATACAACAAGTCAGTGAGCCCTAGAGGCCGGAGGCAGCCCTGGCCCTGGCCAAGGTCCGACTCTGGGCTCCCGTGATACCCTTTCTTTGTTGTTGTGTAACCTTTGTCATCCGATCCCTTTGTCCAGGCCCCCGTGACACGTGTGGCATGTATAGCTCGTTGGCGGCGCGTATCAATAGGTGACATGTTTCGAATTGTAACGGCTCGCGCTGGATTGCATGCTGGCATACATGGAAACGTCTGGTCGGAACGAGGCCTCTCTTGCAGCACTCACTGGGACGTCGACAACAAAATCATTGTCTCTGGCGGGTTGCTGCCTGGATAACAAAGCCGGGGCACCCTGATTGAGAAGAATGGGATTACCGTCATGGAGGAGGCGATGCCGGCCTGGAATCAATGGTTCTTGAAATAATTCCTTTATTATCGAGCAAGTTAGGGGTGCCCAAGTCGTAGCGATCAAGAACAACGAGGATTCAGATAGCGCTTGAGGGCGGAAGCTAGGAGAATTTGATGCTTTCAAGTTGACATTGAAATGCATGTGTGCATTGACCAGATTGACAGCTTACTTTAAGCGGCAGCCAAGATGTAAAAAGGGGTCTGGTCAAGTACCCATGGGCACCCGCGGGTATCCAAATTTGCCTTGGGTTACGTACTTATGTATCCGTGGGCTACCCATTTTCTCATTAAACACTTGGGTAATTCGCGGATACCCCAGTATGAAAACGGGCACCCCGTAGAAGCCCATATAGGGCCATGATATGTATCGACAAGTTAGCACGTATTATTGATTCGGTGGAATCTAGTTGGGTTACAACTTAGAATTACCCACGCCGGATATCCGTGGAGCTTCAACACCTTAGCGGCAATCCCCTTGTTAGTCGACAAGTGAGAGCTCCGCGAATTATGGGCCGCACAGCCCCTTCACTCCCCTCAGCCACAGCGGATCTGCCGAGAAGAGGAGCGTTGCCAAGGAAGAACCTTGCATCGTCACGTGGGGTCGCATTCTTGGTGGCGTTTCATCGTCCACCGCGTCAGTGGCGGGCCTGTTTGTCTCGACGAAACGCGATGGATTGACAACACGCAGGTTGGTCTGCGCAAACATGGCGACTACATCCTCTGTGCTTTGTTGAGTGCCGAGCGCAGCAGTCCCCCATCTCCTCCCCGTCGGAAACCCCCCCCATCGCCATGAAAAATATCCTCACCTCGCTATTCTCCCCACGTAAGACGTCGGAGGATCGAGAGGCCGCCCCGTCGCCACTCGGACCCAAATCAGCGCTCTCGAGCAACAAGTCGAGGAGGAGGTCGCTCCCGGAACAAAAGATGGAGAGATCTGTACGATTCGTAGGTTCTGCAACCGCGTGCGCGTCTCTTGACCTCCTCGGGTCACGGTGCTGACTTTTCTCTGCGGGCTATGTAGCAGCATATCCTAAACGACACAGACATCTCGCCCATATCCACAAAGTCGCCCAGTGAAAAGTCCAAGTCGCCGGAGAAGAAGACGAGTCCCGGGGCGGGCAGCCGCGCGGAAAGCCCACGCCGTCCCGGCAATGCGCTGGACCAGGGGGCACAAGATGGAGAGTACGCGTTCAATCGCTTCGTTGATTATCGCTGGAACGGGGACTCGGTCGAGGTCCAGGTCGAGTGGGAGGCGGGCGATACCACGTGGGAACGCGAAGACCAGCTGCACCAGGACGCGCCTGACGCGCTGCTAGAGTACTGGGAGAGCCAGGGCGGGCGCCCTGTGAACCCGAATAACGCCGACTTGTTTGACATACATGCTATCCGGAAACACAGCAAGGACCGCAAAAAGTTGCTGGTGGAATGGGTGGGTTACGGCCCAAAGGAGGCGACTTGGGTTCCTAGGGCTGTGGTCGAAGAGACTGCGCCAGAGGTCGTGGCTCAATACTGGAAGACGGTGCAGCCAGGTCGGCCGGGGCGGCGACGTCGACGTCGGGCTTGAGGTGCTCTCCTCTCTCTCTCCCCTCTCTCTCTTTTTACCCTTCTTGATGGGCACATGCCCTGCACTTTTACGACGATGCCAACTTGCGTTGGTGGAGATGATTTCATGTACTTGTATTTTTATCAAGTCGCATACGGACTACTCCCCGGACGTATGCCACGGGCGGTGGTGATGAGGAATGGACGGTGTTGGGCGTTTTATTTCTTTTTTATCATTTTTCTCTCTGGGGTTGGGCTGCAATGGTGTGGCGACACAGCGCAAGGCTAGCAATTCGAATTGTGTTTGATATGACGTGAGACGTGACCACCTGGTGGCTGTTGGTTGTGCAAAAGCGTCAATAACTACATGCAGGCTTGGGGGCTGTCATGCATGGAACCAGGCCCCATTGGTGGCCGGAAACAAAGGATGTAATGAAAAGCAAGCGACTCAGCTCCCATGGAACAGGTCCAATGGATGGTTGCGGATTGAGGTACGTGGTGCCGAGACACGCAAGGTGGCCGCCCAATCCGGCAAATTGGATTTGAAGGCGACATCAATTGATGGAGTCCAGAATGCCGGCGTCCCCAGTTCAATGTTGCCTCGGCACACTTCCGTTCGTGCCGCTTGCCAGCTCCCCGCATCGCCGGCCGAGCTCCGTCTTGAACAGGAGGTTATCATCTGACTCTACCTTTTGTCTTTGCCTTGCCTTGCCTTGCCTTGCTTCTTTTTTCCTTGCCTCTTGTTGCCTCGCGGAACCGTTCCTGGGAGTCGCGCCTACATCCATTCGGCCACCATGACGGCCAATCCGGCCTCCCAATCGCGCAAGCGACCCGTTCGGATCGCGAACTGTTCTGGGGCAGTAAGGTCTGTGTGTACCCTCGTAGTTGAACCTGTTCTTACTGGGTGAATATACGTATCGAGGCCATGACTTTTCTGGTGCCTCTTTGCGCTGCTTGTGAAGCGCTTGCTAACGGCACAAAGCGACCCTGGCGTCTACATGTACAACCAGGCCAAGTACGGCTCTGTCGATGTCATTACTGGCGATTACTTGGCGGGTATGTAGCATCTGCTGACACGTTTCCCTGTGTTTCTAAAACCTGGGCAATAGAAGCAAACATGGCTGCCGAAGCCGAAAAGCTCGCGGGCGAGCCGGATTCCATCGAGACCGGATGGGTCCGTACGGCTCTCGAGGGCCTGCGGTTGACGCTGGATCTTGCCAACGAGAAGCGCATCAAGATCATCGTCAACGGGGGCGGGCTCAACCCGAGAGGCTTGGCCATAAAGACACACAACATGGTGCGAAACATGATGCCACTCTGCAACTCTTGCTAACAATATCGCAGATCAAAGACAAACAACTGGACCTGCGTGTTGCCTACGTAGACGGCGACAATCTCATGCAAAAAGTTCACAGCATTCTGCCCGACGCCGCAACAGCTTCGAAAATCCACCTGGACTCGGCCAACAAGCATGTCCAACTTGCCGAGGATGCCCTGTCCTTTCTCCAGGACCCGGAGCACATGCCCATCGTGGCGGCCAACGCCTATCTCGGATATCGCGCCATAAAACGCGCGCTGGATGAGGCTGCCGACATCATCATATGCGGCCGGGTGGCCGATGCATCTCCTGTCCTCGCAGCCGCAGCCTGGTGGCATGGCTGGGAGGAAACAGACTATGACGAACTCGCGGGAGCGCTGGTCGCCGGCCATCTCATCGAGTGTTCCACGTATGCCACGGGCGGAAACTTCTCCGGGGCGTACAAATACCCCGTGGGCGCCTTGATCAACCTCGGCCCTCCGATCGCCGAAGTCGCCCACCAGGGCGAATGCGTCATCACCAAACACGAGGAGCTGGGCGGCTTCGTCACGCCAGACACGGTCCGATGCCAGCTCCTGTACGAGCTCCAGGGCAACATCTACCTCAACAGCGACGTCAAGGCAGACCTAGCCGGCGTCAAGGTCCAGCCCCAAGCCGCAAAGAACCGCGTCCACGTCTCCGGCGCCAGGGGCCATCCGCCTCCGCCCACCACCAAGCTGGCCGTCTTCTACAAGGGCGGCTACCAGCTGGAGATTCTGATGAACGCCTGCGGATACGCAACCGACCACAAGTGGGACGTGCAAGAGGCGCAGGTCAAGAGCAAGCTGGACGAATGGGGCCTGTTGGACAGCCTCGACGTCCTGGACTTTCAGAGAGTCGGCACGCCGCAGGAGAACCCCGTCTCGCAGCTCGCGTCCACGACCTACATGAGGATCTTTGCGCAGGCCAAGGACAGGAGCGTCTGCCGAGCCGTCGCCGGCGCCTGGAACTTTGTCTTTATGAGCCACTTCCCCGGTACGTACGACCCGCGGCCTCGGCCACGAAAGCACCAGATGACACAAGCCTGTACTGACACGTTGTCCAGGCGCGCACTGCTCCTGGGATCTCCGCACCCTCGAGCCCAAGCCCTTCCTGGGCTACCTGCCGACGCTGGTGGACCAGGCGGAAATCTCCGAGGCCGCCACCGTCCTCACCGACGCCGACGACGCCAGCAAGCTGCGCCGGATGCCTGTCGGGCCGCCGCGACTCACGGAACCGCTCCTCCCGCGGCTCAACTACGAGACGGCGGATCCCGTCCCCCTCGCGTCCTTTGGGCCCAAGACGATGCGGCCCCTGGGGGACGTGGTGCTCGGCCGCTCGGGCGACAAGGGCGGCAACGTCAACCTCGGCCTGTTTGTGCAGACGAGGGACCAGTTCGACTGGCTGCGGTCCTTTATGACGAGGGACAAGCTGAGGGAGCTGATGCGCGGGGACTGGCGGGACTGGTACTTTGTCGAGCGCGTCGAGCTGCCCGGCATTTTGGCCGTGCACTTTGTCGTGTACGGCGCGCTGGGCAGGGGCGTCAGCAGCTCCGGGCTGTTGGATAACCTGGGCAAGGGGTTTGGCGAGTTCATCCGGGCCGGGTGGGTGCCTGTGCCGACGAGGTTTCTGCACGAGAGCGCGGCGCACTTGTGATGGATTGTCTGGCTGCTGCGAATGTAGTATGCACTGATGCTCGCCGCAGGCGGCCCCCGGCAGGGTCCCCGAAGGGCCCCCGGAGGGAAATTAGAATCTGGAAGTTTGTAATGTTGGGGAACTTGGTGGCTGGTGGATGAACTGGACTCCTTATGGTGGATGCCGGAGCGATGACAAAAAGGAGTCAATGGGTGTACTGAATTCTGAATGGATATGATACATGACACGAGATGAGGATCTGAGCCTTTAGAATTGGTTGTGAGTCTTTTATTGTCGACTTGCCATTATTATGCGACAGATGTATACTCCAAGTGTTGCAGATGAGAGCCTCTTCGATTTATCGCCCTCGGTAGTATAGACACATGCGATAAGTCTACATTCGTGTACATTATCGAATTTCCAAGGCTATTACTACTGGGACGGTTCTTCACAGTCGTATTTACCGACATATGTTCCGGCCATGCGGAACGAGATCGACTATGAGCACTTTATATGCAATTCCATCACCCCAAAGGATCTGCCAGGGGGTTATTACCGTCACGATCAATGATGAATAGAGTAGTTTGCTTAAATTTCCAAAGGATTAAGCTATGTCTCGAGTCAACCATTGTCGGGTTCAAGTTTCAGCCCGTGCCTCAATGGCAACGTGAAGTTCGTGTACCAAAAGGTTATCCCAAATATCCTCCAATACATTCATATCGTCGTCTCGTAGCATAACCATGATTTCCACCACTTCAGATCCATCGTTGGTGGAAGCAGACCACTTTCTCGGCAGTATGAGGCCGACGCCATCCGCCTGAGAACATGGAACCCTGACACAGTCTGGCTTACCAAGTCCTACACCAAAGTCTGCCTGGTAGAGATCGAGGTCGGACCAACTTGTGATGGTGAGGTCCTGGGAGCTGAACAAGTCCCAGCCAACATGGATGTTCCCATGATGGCCCACGCGCTCTACCAAGTTGTAAACTTCGGCAATGCCACGGGAGTTGATTTGACTGTGTGCCTGAGATTGAGAAATGGCATCGCAGATCTTTGCCAAAACTTGTGTACGGCCTTTCTCAGTAGAGACATCAAGGTCCGGTGCTGGGATGGCGGCCATGGCATAAAGAACGAGATTTGCAAGGAACGGCTCCCCTTCACCCGAGAGATTTGCATTGATACGAGGTCGGCCGTTAACAGCAGTTACCAAGCGGCTCGTTTGGTTGAGGAGACTGGGATTGCGTCGAGCTCGGGATCTTGTGATTGCACTCCAGATGAGAGCACAAACCACGGCGTTTGTTGTTGGTGTCGTCGAGGTGAGCCCGCTTAGCTGATTCTTGATAGATTGAACCTGGGATACCGGTATTCCAAATACCTTGCAGACGCAAGGGTGGAACTCGGAAGGCAAGTTTGGGGGGATTCTGGAAAATTCCGGATGAGAAGCAAAGAGGGCGTCGAGAGATTTTGACGAGGCGATTTCGAGGTCAGAGGAGAGATGTCGTCTAAGCCGATCAGGCCCGTCACGGGTCGGTATGGGGGTCAATCGCTCCGGGCTATCCATGTTTTTGGCCCAGAGTTTGGCAATCTCTGCGAATCCGAATGCATCTACAACGTTGTGATGTAAGCAGATGCATAGCCCTATCGCTTCGTCGCCAGCAAAACGAAAAACACTTGCATCGAATATCGGCGCGCCTGGTGCCGTGAGGTCGTTGCCAGCCATGTCTGGCATCGGCCACACGCTATCGGGTATCGCAGTGGGTTGCATGCCGTCCATACAAAAGGCCTTGTATGAGACTGTGGTTGAACCTTTATCGGCCATATTGAGCGTATTTTCGCATGGACCCCATTGGATCTCGAAGGAGGCCGCCTTGTCGGCGTCGGGGCACACCGAGACAACTCGGCCACATAACCATGGAACTTGCTTTGCTAGTAGATCTAAGCCGGCCCTCAGTTTCTGCAAGGCTGCATCGCCTGTATTAGCAACCCGAAATACTAAGAATGCTCTGATATAAGTTCTGGGCATAATTGTATCCAACGGTGTAAGCCGCTCTGATTTCAAATTGTGAGCCATGGTGTTGCTGCGTGTGGGTATGAAATGTCAATTCATATCGGCCTGCTTTACCGACTACATAGCATTATATAGTTGGACTTTTTAAAGATCAAGTCATGGGCCACAGCCACAGTTTGTTACATTTGGATGGCTGAAAATTCTGGGCCTATATTTGTGGACACAAGACAGGTATCACTTGCATCGCTTGAATGCAAGGAACAAGCCACAGAATACATGGGAACGCGACAGGTTATTCGTGATTAGACATCGTACGAAGGGTGTTTACGTGGACATGTGACGTAGTACAGTTCGTGGGTCTCGAGTACGGCCGGACAGCCGGACAACCGGACGGCCGGACACCCGAACCCCGAACACCCGGACAGCAGGCAACAATAATGTCAAGAGAACCAGACTATTCGGCGCCTCGCGGAACATGTCTTGGCCAGGAAAGATCTGGCACCTCAACGGCAGCCTTGACATTGGCGCCGTCGGAAGCCAGTCGTAGCCCAGCGCATGTTCAAGCCGAGAATGGGGATTACCCTTTCCATTTCTCCTTCTCATTTGACCAAGCATCCAATTCTATCCAAGTGGGACGAGCACTTGTGTCACATGATCATTGCAGTCTGGTACAATCGGCCTCGGGCCCGTGGCGCCGCGGAAGCTATGCAGTTTTCCACGATCAAAAGAGTACGAAATGAACCGACCGAACGGCATGTCTAGGAACGGGGAAGGAGAGACGATTCAAGCCAGACGGCTGCGGCTATCAGGCATCCCGCGAGCAGTATGACTCCTGCTAATTTTCTGAAAATCCTCTGCGCTAACGAATCCTCCCAAGTGTGAAGCTTGCAAAGTCCGCAAGGTACTGATCCGACGAGGATAAGCAAAACTAGGTGCTAAGTGAATGGTGACAGGTTCGCTGCGACAGATCTACCCCCTGCTCTAATTGCCTTGCATCTGGCATTGCTTGCCAGACTCCATACAATGCGGTCGAGAGCCGAGCGAGAGCTGATAGAATATCACTTCTGTGCGTTACTATTGCACCTGGGACAAGACTATGCTAATTCAAAGTCAGGATGGAACGAGTCGATGTACTTGAAAAGAGGCTTGGTGAGGTAGAAAATCAAAGACTGGCAGAAGCAGAAGATCCCCAGCCACGGGGAGCCGATTATCGCACGACTTTGGAAAGCCCGATGGGAGGCCTCAGGGCTGATGTTGTACCGTCCATGGCCGAACCAACCACCGGGACCAGTCCATATCAGGGGCATTCGTCCTTTGACGACCTCTCAATTCAGGCTGCTGAATTCGCAAAACAGGCAACTGATATAGAAAGGCATCAGGGTGGACCCGACGTCGATACCACCCTTGATACGCTGCGGTTGGCTCTCAGAGACACCAAGTCGACGCCGTCAACCGCCGACTATCAATTTAACAGAGTTCAGGCTACCAGCCACGGCTCAATTATTCTACCTCTGCCTGTGAATCTTATAATCGCCATCTTACAACACATCAAAAGTTGGCACCTAGCCGTAGCCTAGTCTCTTTTGAAGCAAATAGCTGACATTATTAGAACAGCACCCGGTATTTCTTTCGTCATACGCCATCAACGACCCAGCTTTGGTCGAGGACCTGTCGCGACAAGTCTATTTCCCTACCAACTCTGTAACCATCGGCCACATCACTGCTTTGCACGCGGTTCTATATTTCCTGCTAAGAGAACATATAACGCTCTCAACCGCTCTATGTAATGACTACGACCTTAAACCCCTTCTCGACAAGTGCGAGCAACACGTAAACTCTGGACTTGAAACGTATGATGTATTCGCCGTACCAAGTTTTGAAAATCTTCTGGCTCTAACAATGGGAGTAAGATGCATATTCTTATACTGCCCATTGCGCTAGGGGGTCATGTTGCTAACCCAGAGCTCTTAGATGATCAAAGCACAGGAAGAAACGAAGCCCTTGCTCTGCGCCACCTTTATATCAGCCGCTGCCAGTCAATACCAAAGACTCGGGTACCACCGGGAGATTACGTATCGAAATGACCAAACGGGGAGGCGAGAGCACATGCGCCGCCTTTTTTGGACGGTATACGTTTTCGACAAGAACATGTCCCTTCTACAGGGGCATTCATCCCATATGCAAGACTTTGAGATAGACGCCAAGTATCCTGCCTTGTCACCTATTGTAGGGGTCAGGCCATGGGATGAATCCTTCATAGTTGCTATCAAGCTAGCGAGGATCCAGGGCCAGATTTACAATAATCTCTACTCAACCATGGCTATAAAAAGTAGCTCGCCCGACCGAGAGCAGCACATCAATTCTCTTCAAGCCAATATGCACGAGGTGCGTGCAGAGTTCCAACAGGTACAGAAAGTTCAAAGTCTGGAGAGTATTTGACGGCCTGGAGTTGACACCTGAGCAGATAGATCCTAGCCTCGTCAACCACAGGCAAATATTCGTCTTGTCGAGAAAACACTGGGATGTAACGTACTATTCGACACTGACGTCTCTTCTTCGGGGGTCACTGATGACGGGAAGCGTGGCACGAATCAGCACGCATTGCTTCCATGCAGCACGCTTGTGTCTGCAGAGCCATATGCAGTGCTTTTCTGGCTACTTGGATTCCGGCTTCCTCGAGGACAAGGACTATGCCAACTGGTAAGTCCACCACTCACTCTTGGAGCGTGATACTTTGACAGACTAACTTGGTTAGGGTTTTGCACTGCTCCTCCTTTAGCTCATTCGTAGTCATTTTTCTTCATGCCGTTGCAGGCAGCCGCATGGACGATGTTGAACTTCTAGACGACATGGTGGGCATTTTGCACAAGGTTCAGGGCTCCTCAAAGACGTCTGAGCGGCTTTTCCAGGTTTGCGGGACCTTTGCAACGCTGGCTAGACAATTGGTGGAAGCGCGGAATTCTTGTGTAGGGACGTACAGCCGGCAACAAGACTCGCTGCAACTGGACGTTGGGGTTCATCGGTCTGAAGCCATGGCTGGGGAGACGATGCAACAGGTGTTTGATGAGTCGATGACAAGTTCTTTGCCGCAATGGGAGTCTCAGGACATGTCTGCGCTCTTGGCAAATTGGATCAGTGGACAGCCAGCAGGCATGGATACCTTTTTTTGAGGCACGCGGTATTAATGGCTTGGTATATACTATAGGGAGTCCATTCCCTCGGCCCCCGCCACAATTTGGCCTATATCATGGTCAAGTTTCATATGTCAGTTTGTAGCTATATTGGTGGTTATGTAGCATAAGTTCGTTGGTTCCTTTAACAACATTGAAGCATGTCAGGTCTGGTGGGGCCGGCGCAATATTATCTCTGAACATGAGAGAAGCGAATCCTAAATAGACTTTGGATGAACAATTGAGGGATTGTATTTGTCGTGTCTCTCTTCTGATACGCACAGCAACGCACTCCATGACCGCCGAGGCGCTCACATTATTTACAATAGCCGCAAGAACACAAAGCTTCTAAAAAGCGGCAAGAGAACCTGAGAGACTGCTTGTCATCGACCGCCTTGAGAGTTGAACACAAGGCTGTTGAACGCCGATTGTGATATAGTATCAATGTGCCCGGTACTCGTATAGATTTTGTTCAACAAACCGCGCTGTCCATCTGAGGTGTCCATCTGAGGCAGGAAGAAAATGATGAGTTACGACTACGTACTTGCTGTATAGCAACATGGGCGAAATGAACCTTACAATAACAAACTGGTCCACAGCTTCCAGCGCAGCCTACGACACAATGGTCCGATATGCGTAATAGTAGTGAGTTAAACATATACATACCTATATACAAATATTACAGCATCTCAATTCGGCCAACAAGGACCAGCGCTTTCAGTCTAACTAGTTTACTTGCCACGTGTCGAAATACCACCTAAGGCAATCCCATGACTGCTTCTGCCAACCCTCCGCGGGCATTCCAAGTAATTCCTGTAGGAAAATGTAGCTTAACATAACTGGCCAAGCCCTGGCATACTTGGTAGTAAGACTTGATCCATTCCACCTCCAGCTTGTCTCTACCATTATAATTAGCCTCGGTCGTAATTGACAGGCGGATAAATTGTGATGGACACTCCCTACTTTTCTTTTTGATTTTTGAGTATCTTGTTTCCAAAAAATTGAGCCGAACCAAGGGACTCCTCAACAAAGACGAATGGCCGACTGTGGATGTTGACCCATGCCAGCATCCTGATTCCATCCGCAACAGCAGTCAAATGCACATACATTCCATCAAACCTATTCTTTCTTTGAATATCCGTCACCGCCACGATGGCGTCCTTGGTCGGTCCAAGTAAAGTCTCGAGCGTAGCTGGATCCGGTTTGGCGGTTTGCGTGGTAATGCACAGGAATTTTCTCTGTTCTTGAAATCCCTTGAAAACCTCGGCAGCCTTTGGTTCACAGTAATAATTAGCAAATGGACAAGTAGATAATAAAACTCGGCCAGCTCAACCGCTCTACAAACCTGCACGGCAACCAGTCCACCCAATCGGTTACTTAAAAGCAAGTATTGTTTGACTGACGAGTCGATAAAGTTGTCAAAGGCCTGAATAGCCTCGGAATTCGAGTCTGTCAGTGTGCTGGGGAGAATTGGACCATCAAAGACGGACAAATCTTCGAGGCGCGAGACGACGGCTTCCAATCTGGCATTGTTGTCAGATACAAACTTGGCGCCATGCACAAAATAACTTTGCCATGCCTACCGCTTAATAATTGTTGACAGGTTGTGCATGGCCCTATTGTTGTCCATGACGGTATGCCCAGTTTTGGCTGGGAACGGCCGACCATGGATCAAGTCAAGGTCAGACTTCAAAGTTCACACTGTCCGCTTGTTGGGATTGGATTTTGAAAAGATCCAACATTGTAATTTATTACGGCAAATCATGTTGGAACAACCCCGAGTCTTTGTTCAAATCGGCATTATGGATGCCTGGTTTGGCACCGCTCAGCCTTTCTGTCCCTCTTTGCATACGTAATGTGCCCAGTGTTGCCTGGCATTGACCGTTCTCGTTCCTGACGCCACTTTACATCCAGTCCACTTTAACCCCATGCAAATGGAGCTCGTTTGGGAGACGCCATCAGGCTGCAACTCAAATGGCACCGGCAGCGCGGTGCCGCGGGTCCAGGCGCCCGAAGATTCCAGAATTAGAATCGACACATCCACCTGCTCATCTACCGGCTTCTTTAAGGACAACGAGGGGACAAAGATAGCCGTGGCCTAATTTTCTCTCGTCGGTGTGATCCTCTCATGGAATCGGGTGTTTTCTCCAAGTCTGAAGATGCTAGTTCTGCGGCCCACACTTGGACCGACTTTTTCACATATCCACGTCCCTGAGAAGCCTTTTTGTTACGATTGGCAGCTATGGGTAGCATTAAATAGTGATGTAAGTCCTTGATTGAAGCCATCTAGCGACATGATTCACGTCTTTTACAGTAGGAAGTTGAAATTATGTTGTTGAACAGGAATTATACTCCATGATAATACAGTATCAGATGATATTGAGCGCGACGGCGGGAACCTGATATACTTCATCGGAAGATGACACATGGAGCAAGCCCCGATGATAGACCTTGGTCGCTGTTATTCGCATTCGCAACTGATGAGCATTTCACCAGTTAGCCCAGTGGTACCGGCATCTCTCTGCGGCCTTTCCCTTCCATCAAACACGGGTACGGGCGAATGTGTTGGCCGCCTCATTAATTAAACCTCTTGGTCCGAGTTCGTACTCGGGTCTCCCTAAGCGAAGAATGCTCACATGATATATGACTTGACACGCGATTGGACATTCGCAGTGTCGTCATAGTGACTAATTACACAGTCCAAGTCCAACATCATTCTGCTGTGATTCGGTTACACTGACTATTCACCGCCACCACTCCCTCCCCCCGACGGCGACATCCAAAGCAGTCAAATCACCAGCGGTGCTGTGATTCATCACCATCATGGAGCTGCCATGCTTCTTCCTCTCCCTCCTGGCGGCGCCATGCATCCTGACCGTGGCCGTAGCCCAATCTACCACGACCGAAATCGACCTTGTATTCCCCCACGCAAACGAGACATATCAGCGCTTGTACCCGTTTCCCATCGTATTCGCCATCCAGAACCCAGCGCCGGTATGGCCTCACAACTTCCAACTCTTCTGGCAAACGGGGTCTGTCGGCGAAGAACCCTCGCGCTTCGACTGCGACCGGCTTCCCCTGCGAGGCGCAGACCTGTGGACATCAAGAAACTACAGCGGACCGCAAACCATGACCAAGATATATTCCGCCGGCATATATATCAACAGCACCGTCGAGCAGTGGTATCTTGCGTGGCACATGACCATGCTTCGCAACTGCACCCCAGACAACAACCGAGTCACGCTCGCCCCGAAACGCCCCGTGGCCGAGGGCAAGATCTTCTTCAACGTGACCCGCGGCGGGAAACCACCCGACGTCTTCCAGGGCAACGAGAGCACAGCCTGCCCGCTGCCGGTATGGACCGTCAACATTGTCGACCGCGTCGACAGCCATGCCGCGCGCAACCAGAGCCAGTACGGCGACAGCACCAACACCATGTGTCCTGTTTTCGACCCCGATGACGCGCATCCCCGCCCGGAGCCCTGCCAGGCCAAGGCTACAGAGGAATTGGTCCGGAATGTGACGCGGGGTATGCTGTCCACGGCAAGTGTGCCAATTTGCATTCTTGGCCGAATGCTTCCCTCGCGGGGCCGTGCAACGATACGAATTGGGAGTCGAGCCTAGCGGCGCAGAAGGAGCCGTTCATGCTTGGGACTACGATTTCAACGGCCATCATAATTTCTATTGCCTTGTTTTTATCAGTGTAGAGGTGCTAGAGGTGCGGATTTCGTGGGCAGTCCGGGGTTACTTGCGCCTCACAAGCTATGCATGTCGTCTTCAAAATTGCAGTTCTTCACTCTCGAGGCAGAATGATGAATAAATTGTACAGTATTAGACTGGAATATGGTGCAATATGGGATAAGAAATGTAACAACATGGGCTAAAGTAGCCATTTTTTAGTACAAAATATACGTATTCCAAGGCAATATCCTGCCTTTCACGACCGTCCATGGTCACTATATACCGGCGCCATCAACCCCATTTTAGAATTTACATGCCCAAGTCGCGCAGCAACTTGGCCAGACGGGCAGAAAGCCGACTGCCGTGCGAGCGGCCCGAGGCGTCGGTAATCACGCTGCGTCCCGTTTCACTCGACCGCCTCCGCGACTGCATCTGGGACACAAACTTGGGCCACGTGTTGGTCAAGACGAGGTACTTGATGTGGCTCTGGACATTGTCGAACACCCCGAGGGTAAAAGCCGCGGGTATCTCGCCGCGGTACTTGGCGAGGGTTGCCATGTCGGAGTGCGAGACCTCCCGGTTCAGCGGCATGGGCGCCTCGATGTCGAAAGGGGTGGCGGGGTTTGCAGATGCCTCGCCGCACAGGATGCGGGCGGGCTTCTCGAATACGTCCTCGAGGTATTTGAGCTCGCGCGAGGACAAGTTGAGCGGGAATTCGGCGTCGCGGGGGCTTATGAAGTCGGTGTAGATGGCGAGGGCCTCGTTGTAGACGTCGAGCTTTTGCTCGCCGGCAGGCATCAGGGGCCACGACGTCTTCCATTTCGCCACGCGCGTCAAAAAGGCCACGTTCTCGCCGGAGAAGTCGTTCAGGGCAGAGAATTCCTGCAGGGGGCCGGGGTTGTCCTTGAGGACGTGGTCGAGCGCCGTCATGGTCAGGAGCCGGTCCCCGAGCTCTTCGTCGAGATAGTCCAGCGGCCTGCCCTTTTCGTACAGGCTTTGTGTTGAGACCTTGCCCATCAATGTGAACGATTGTGAGGCGCTGCTGAACTGTGATGCCGTGTCCCATTTTGCGTTGCTCTGGTTGACTCTCCTTTGCATGAACCACATGGACATGACTTCGAAGACGGGCACGAAAACGGTGAATATTTCGAAAATCATAATGGAGAGGTGGATCCTGCATCGCGTTAGATACAAAGTTTTCCATTTCCGTTGTTGTCGAAGACATACCATTGACTCGGCGCGAAGTAGACGTTGACTTTTTCAAATGCCGGAAGGTAAGAAGCGATGAGGAACATGGGCGTCGCGTGAAGACTACAACAATACAATTAGTACAATTAGCATGGAGAAGACGCCGTAAATCTGTACAACAGCTTACGTACTTTGCCAAACAGCAAGCAATAGTCTGCGTTCGCCACCCCATGGTGTCGCGAATCCCCCAAGCGCGCCAAATCAAGTACGGCGCGACCTGGAAATGCGGTTAATCAGAGTATTTCTTTCACTGGACAAGGTCAAATCGACTCACAATCCACGTCCAAACCACCTGCCAGAGGACAGACGGCCACCATTCCCACCCACGGCCCAGGTCAGCCAGTTGCTCCGGCAGCGTATCGCCCTTGATTTGCGTCCCAGGCAGGCCATACGTAGGGTGGTACTTCTTGCAAGCAAACCACATGCCAACAGTCAAAAGGACCTAGCAAAACCTGTCAGAAGAAAAGCACAAGAAACACACGCGGCAAATAACAATCCTACAGACCTGTGCCACCATGGCGATGCCTATAAACAGCATAGTCCGCGCGGTGTAGTTCATATTCCGGACACGGCAAAGAAGGGAAGTCTTGGCGCCATTGCACCTGGGCGCCACGCGATGCTCAGATTGCAGATGTGTAAACTGCCTCTGCAGCCTGGCGACGCGGAGAAACCGGAGGTTGGAGGCGTGGAAGAGCGCAATGCCCAGCGGGAAGTAGACGCCCATGAAGAAGTACTGAATGTCATAGGCCAGGATGACGGGTATCGAGCGGCCAACGGGGTACGTGATCTGCGCCAGGACCCAGTACGAGTGAAGCAGGATGATGGAGCCAAAGGAGAGAGGCAGCCCGCGGATCTTGAGGGCCGGGTTGTTGCGGTGGACGAGGCAGAACGCCATGCCGGACAGCACGAGGAGCGTCCACGTGCAGCAGAAGCCTATGTAGAACCTGCCGACTTTGTCCCAGAGGGTAGGCGAGGTCGGCATGTCGTATATCGACATGTGAAGTAAGTCTGGGGTTGCCATGGTTGCCTACTCCGTGCCCAAGGCTTGCTGGCTGAGCTTTTTTCTTCACAAGCGTTTCCGGCTGGGTTGATAACGGGGAAACAGATTGAAATAGGAACCCACGGGGGAGAAAAGAAACAAAAAAAGAGAGATGGTGGGCTGGAATCTCTCCTTATAGACATGGAACTGTTCGGTATTTAGTATGAGAAGGAAGCCGTGAAAGTGAGCCAGATGCCGCATACAGTCTTTTGTTAGTGGTTGTATATCACTGTCTTTTCCTCCCCGCAAGTCATCGCCACTTTAGCTTCATCGGGGTCTGTGCAGTTTTTTTTGTTAGTTCCTTGGTCATGAATTTAGGGTATAAGCTATTTGGCATCTTTCAACGTCGACGCGCCGTGTGTGGACCGTTGTATTCGGCAGAAGAGATCAGTCTCCATCCCATCATGAACGGAGGCGAGAAAGGAATATAAACGTCAGGTGAAGCAAAAACCACGAGGTGTGACAAGGTTCCATTTCGTGTTTCTGCCTTCTGCCTCTTCAGCAACACGAGCCAGCTCTGGAAAAAGCAACCTGTCTGACCTGCTCCATTGTCCACGACGGCCACGGGGCAAACGGCTTCCCGCCCACGCAGGATGGAGTCTGGTAGTAACATTGAACCTTCCATGATCCCCACAGTGTCATTCAATGTACGTTTAAGAATTGGGGCGTGTGTTCGGGGCCGCTTTGACAAACTCTTGGCTTCCATGTCTGGTTTTAGTAAGGGGAACCCGGGGATCAGCCCCGGCATCTGGTTCACAACGGCGATGGCTGCTCATTTGCGGAGAGGAAAAGCCACAGGGTGGGAAGGAACATTAAGCTGGCGAGTGTTGCATGCGCTATATTTCCGGCTTTTCGGGTGAGACATCTCAAAGAAGCAATTGACCAGACTCATTAAGCCAGACTACGTTAGCCTTGCTAGCAGACTGGTGACGCCGACAATCGTCGGGGGCTACTATTTTCGGATCATGGCAAAATCCGGCGCCATGCTGCCTTGTTGGTCCCGCTTGGCGAGGCAAAAGTCTCATTACTGTGAATCATGGTGGCCATGTCGAATTTTGTGCAGGACGGCATCGAGACAATGGCAAGACTGGCGACGAAGCCGAGCCCCGGCCTTGGCTCGGACTGGTAGCGAGAGCAATCAGAAACAATGCTTTTCGAATTTGACCAATTTGTCATTCTCTTCATCTACCAGGCGCTGCGCTAATGACTGTTCCTGCCATGTGTGACTGCTGGGTGACACGATGTGTTACAGAAGTAATCTACGGAGCAGTCCAAGACGGATGACACCTCGGCAAAGCATGGTTACATGCAAGTCGCACAGGACAATCTGTACCTAGCAGATTGTTTCTGGAATAGGGATGAGGATGCCTGTCCGTCTGAAGTCGTGTTCGCCACGCACAATCATGGCCTGCATGCAACCATGGAAGTTGTCCATCCCCCTGGAGCAGCGCAGGTTCCAACAATGCATCTTTGGATGTTTGCGCCAATGAGCGGTTTCTACTGCTTGGTACTTTTATTCTCACTTTGAGCCTACCAGAAAACGAGTATCAATATTCCGGGGCCAGTGGAGAGAGAGAGCTTCACGTCACTTTGTTATTATTTCATCTCTCCATCTGCCACGCGCCTTTGATCATCTAGCTGTCGCTCAATGACGCATCGCCAACTCTCCAAGCTCCTGACCTGCAGACCCTGCACCTTGGCCTCGTCGTCCCAAACCCGCAGCCGACACATCTCCCCGCACCACGGATCGCCTCCAAAGTCGGCCAGTTCCTTGCCGCGCATGGGGCCGCCCTGGTAGGCCAGGGATTTCCTCGACGCGTCCGAGAGCTTGCCGTAGTATCCGCTCTCAACCGCGCACAGATACCTCTTGGCCTCGACGTGCGATGCCACCAGGCGAGCCACCTTGGCCGAGAAGCCAAGCGCGAGGAGAAACGCGCCGCCCAAGGTGTCGTGCCCGACGCGCCCGACGCTCTCCCCCGTGGCCGCGCCGCCCAGGTTCTCGGCTTGGCCGCCCGTCAGCGAGATGAGGTCCCTGCCGGGGACGAATTGGCCAATGTCGTGGAGGAGGGCGGCCACCTGGGTTGCCTCGTCCGCGGGGGGCGATGCAGAGGCCGCTTGGTGCGCGGCCTGGAGAGAGTGTTGCAGCTGGGATATCGGCTCGCCAATGTACGGTGTCTGGTCGGATGCCTCGAGGACGGAGAGGAGATACGACGTGACTGATTTTGGCTCCAGAGGGCTGGGGATTGGCATGGCCATGGCTGTGAATGAAGAAGAAGCCTCGCGGACTTTGAATTGAGTTGATACGGGAAGAATAGGCAAAGAAGAAATTGGCGAATTGGTAATGTTTGAGGTCGTTCCCGGCGTCTCCTCAGACGCGCGATGGAGTTCGGTGTGACAAGGTTTGAGTTCAAATGTCTTCTCACACGTGGGATGCCCTGACGTTGAGGAAACTCGGCAACGAGCTTACATATATTTCCGCTGTAGAATTAGTCCACCGGAAAGAATTGATGCATGCGAAGCCTGTTATGGATCAATTCATGCCGTCGGACTTCCCCCCGAGCTGCCCGAACCCCTGCTGGCAGTATGAAAACTCGTGCTCGTCACGACGCACGTGGGCGTTGAGAGCCCAATGGCGTGTGAAACAATTCAATGTTGACACCATGTGTCTCGGCCCACGCGTAGGGCATGCAATAGGCAGTTCAAAGTTTTACTCATCTCTGGAAAGTATTGATCCCGTCTCGGTGGAAAACTGTCCCGAAAGTTTCGCCAGACTATGCGAATTTACAACCAAGGCAGCAAGACTCTGTTAGTCAGGCGACGTTAGGATCTCTACGTCAAATATTGTTTGGAATGTAGCCAAAGCCACTACACTTGTAATTCACAGTTACCTGAGCATTCGCATCTTACATTGCGAAATTGACTTGATTGAATTCCATTCACCGTGCCGTACAATAACCACTACAATCTCAAAACGCAACCTGCTTGCCGGCATCTACACTCAACATGGGCGACCCAAACCCGTACGTCAAAGCCCCCTTGGCATACGACTCCCCCTCCTTTCGCATATGAGTCGCTGGCCACTCCTTCTTGCGGTCCTCGTAATACTCACGGTGCATGTCGCCCTCAGCCGCCAAGTTATACGTGGCGTAAATAGCCTTGCGGTCATCAGAGCTGTTGTTCGGCCCGCTACGGTGAGCCAGGTACGACGGGAAAATGAGAAGTTGGCCTACATCCCTCCGTTCAGTAACCAAGTCGCAGCCTCGGCAGACTTCTTAATACACACCTGCTTCCAGCTCGACAGGAACCCACTCCTGCGAATCAACCCAGTCAGCCTCGATGCAGTGCGTCTTGCCATTGATGGGAATGGTCATCTCGTGGCTGCCGTCGACAACTTCCAAGCCCCCATTCGTCATGTTGGATGGGTCGACGCTGAGAAGAATAGTCAAGTGCTTGACGTCCTTGATTTGCGTGTATGCCACGGCGTCAATGTGAGGCGCGAAGCCACCTATCTTTCAGGTTATTCTACTTCCCACAGAGTGTATGGTTGATTTTGCTCAACTCACCGCTACCAGCGAGCTTGTAGTTGATCTTTTCCTTGAAGAGGTGCATTGGCTGGCCGGCCAATTCGTTCAAAAGGCCGAGCAGCTTTTCCCCACGGAGCAGACTGTTCAAACCCGTGTGATAGTCGACAAAGTTTTCGGTGCGGCAGAGAACACGCTTGCCAGACGCATTTACCTCCTGGTGTTAACATGAGTATTTCCGGACAGAGATGATCAGATAGCGGGGTTCAAGACGGACCTCGTAGGGCATGAATTCGGATTCTGTAGTAGGCTTCCAGTCGTGGACTTGTTGCGCCCAGTTCTGGAGGTTCTCGGCTTCCTCTGGGGACAAAAAGTCACGGATAATGAGGTATCCCTTCTCCCTGAAGAAGGAGATTTGCTGGTCGGTAACGACCATATTGAAGGGTATCTGGACGTGATGTGTCGTTGAGATTGTGCCTGATGCAGGGTCTCTGTACTGGGAGGGGGTCTAAGATGAATCCAGAGTCTTGTCGCGTGATGATGCCCTGCAGCGTGAAAGAGACAAAGGCCGTCACAGAGTGTAATACCAAGGCCCCGATTCCAAACTCAATTACGGCCGTACTGCGGAATTTTTTATAACGACGCCGTTGATTTAGGTTCCTCGAATTACACACGTGTTCATGGACTCGTCTTCGTATACTCGGACTTCCTCCCGGACCGCGATCCAGCCACATCCGTGTGGAGAAGGCTTCCGGAAAAGCAATATGCAAACATTGAATGGTTCGTACGGCCATTTGTTCCTGATGTGGAACCGTATCTGCATTCATAATGTACACGTGGGCCAACGGCAACAGTTAATTCATCAACTCCAACGTAACAAGGCCCTTGGGTGACGGCTCATCGGCACAATGCCGCCTTGTGGCTGCAGATGACAGGCTACGCGCACGCCAAATCTGCCCGGCATGAAGGAATTGGCGGGGCATGAAGCGTTTATCGGACATGTGGCTTGTTTCTTACCGGCGACGTCAACTGCTTTCCATGCGCTCATCTCAAACTGTATCGGAAGGCACCCACGTGGGCTGGATACAAGCTGCGACAGAATGAGACAAGATGCAGATGCGGATAACTGACCAGGCCTGTCCCAAGGGTCTCACAGTCAAGCGCCACGCATTGACTGTCGACTACACCCTCACATGTCGGGTTGCATGGACATAAATACACCCAGGTTCGTGATGGCGCAAACAAAAAACCTCGATGCCCCCAACCCTCTGCATGTCATCCTCTCGCTGATGCTTGGACAGCCGCATCAGCGATTCAGACAAGACAGGCTTCTGCAAGCACTAGTCGCCATGAAGGACTTTGGTGAAAATGCCACGACGGTGGACGTTACCCCGTCCACCGCAGACAACGCCGTCGACCTCAAGGACGAGCAGGTCGCACCCCGACCCGTCAGCAAGGCGTCATCGGTGCTCATGGTTCTGGTCGGCGGCCTGGCCCTATTCTCCGATGGCTACAATGCCCAAATTGTCGGCTACATGAACACGGTGCTGGCCAAGCTCTACCCCGACGAGTACACCAAGGACGTCAAGACCAGAGTCTCCAACGCCTTTCTCATCGGCGAGGTGTTTGGCATGTTGTTCTTCGGCTGGGCCATTGACAAGCTAGGCCGACGCAACGGCATCTTCTGGGCCACCTTCTTTCTCGTCCTGGGCCTGGTCCTGTCGACCGCGGCCCACGGCACCACCGTCGGCGGCATGTTTTGGATGATGATTATCGGGCGCGGCGTAGCCGGCTTCGGGGCCGGAGGTGAGTCAAGACTCAAGACAGGCGACGCCCTCGAACGCGACGGCTAACATGGACATGCGCTGCCCAAAGGCGAATACCCAACCTGTGCGACGAGCGCTGCCGAAGCCGCCGATGAGACCTTGTCCGTGCGACGACGGCGCGGAATCCTGACTGCCGTCGCCACCGACTTTTCCATCGATATGGGCTTCGTGATTGCCGGCATCGTAGCGCTCATCGTCTTGGCCGCGTACGGCTGGAACGTCGGCGACGGCGTCTGGCGCGTTAGTTTCGGCCTGGGCATCCTTCTACCAGTGGCACTGCTCTTCTTCAGACTGCGACTCATCAACTCGACCCAGTACCAGAAGCACGCCATGAAGCAGCATATTCCGTACTGGCTCGTCATCAAGCGCTACTGGAAGCCCATGCTCGGCACCTCCCTGGCCTGGTTCATGTACGACTTTGTTGTGCGTACCGAGTTCCCCCATATAACATGCGGGTTGGCATAAGACTGATTCAGGCACGCAGACGTACCCCTTTGGCATTTTTGGCTCAACCGTCATTGCGACGCTCAACCCCAACGACACGTTGATGGAGAATATTGGCTACGGCACCGTGCTCAACTTGTTCTACATCCCGGGTACTTTGATTGGCGGCCTCCTCATGGACAAGATTGGCCGCAAGCAGACCATGACGCTGGGCTTCGTCCTCTGGTCTATTCTCGGATTCGTCATCGGCGGCGCCCTGCACCACATCCTCCCCATCTTCCCCCTCTTCGTCGTTCTCTACGGCATCTTCAACACCCTCGGAGAAATGGGGCCCGGTGTAAGTCGACGACCGCGACGCCAAAACGCAAACAGTACATGTACCCAGGCTAACAGGTGCAGGTTGCGACGTTTCTCTGCGGCGCCGAGTCCTTTCCTACCCCTGTGCGCGGCCACTTCCTCGGGTTTGCTGCCGCCGTTGGAAAGGCCGGCGCAGCCATCGGCACCCAGGTCTTCATCCCTATTCAAAACTCATTCGGCGATACGAACAAGGGCGTGCAGGGTGTTTTCCTCATCGGTGCGGCGTTTGCCATGACTGGTGCCGCCATTTCGTGGTTCTTGATTCCTGACAAGGAGAGAGATCTTGAGAGTGAGGACGCTCTTTTTAGGGAGTATCTCGCTCAACATGGGTATGCTGGGGTTTTTGGCGATGTCAGCAGGGACGGGTCTACTACCGCTGCTGACTTGGCTGGGAAACTTTAAAATGAGGGAAAGTATACGTAGAAGATACAGGGTGAAATAGCACTGGCTGTTCATGACGGCGCAGAGGTTTGTGGCAAGATTTATCTTGCGGAAAAAGATCTATTTTAGGCACCATATGTTTAAACACAAGCCCTTGTCACATCATATTACAATATATTGTAAATATCAACAAGGAGACAAGTTGGATCATAGCTCCTATTGGATATTTAATGTATTGCTCTATAAAGTGCAGCAACCATTGGAATGATCCGCTTAGCCGTTTTGCCTACCTGGGACATCAGGCTGAAAATGCTTCATCAGAGTCTTGTTCCCCCTTGTCTGTAACCTATTTTGCATTCTCCTTTCCACCCTTTTCGCAGCACTCAATTGCTTCATTCGTGAAGCAAGTACAGACCGAAGTTCGTAGGCGGGAAGATGGGAAAGACTCTGCTGATCGCCTGCCCTAAACTGCGATAACTGGGTGGCAACTCTAGCCAAGGTACGATCGTTTCTCGTCGTCAATTCTGACCCAGGTTTTGCCATTGACCTGTCTGATTGTGTCGGGACTTGCGGCTCCGAGCGAGCTGGTGCACGTCGCGATAAGCTTTCGCTGGGTAATGTTCGTTGACCGAGTATCTTTCCTGAAGGCAGCTTCATGGTGGATTCCCCAGAGATAATCATGTCCTCGGGCTTTGGAGCTTCGGAAAACTCATAAAAATCTCTTATGTCGTCGTTGATTTCAAGTCGGCAGTGCGCCTTTGCCATCATGTGCTGTTGTATGCCCTCGACGGATCGCCTGGTCTTGCTGCAGACAAGACATTCTTGATAGCCGTATATGACGAGGTGTAAATACCAGATCAAAGTCTCTACATCAACAATGAGAGAGTCCTGATTCGGAATGATGAATGAGTGCGCTTTTGACATGTGGGAGAGGTTTTGTTCAAATGTACCGCACAATGTGCCGCAAAAGAGACACTGATCGGGTACAAAGGTTGGGGCCATGTCGCTCTCTGTGTCTGAGTTTCCTCCGCTGGCAAGCTCATCATCTGACTCGTCGCTTTCTGTTGTAGGACGATTGAAAGATAATTTTATGTCTTGCGACTTCTGTGCTGGTCTCGAGCCATGATTATTCCACTCGTCTTCTCTGGCCATGGTGGATGGCAACACAACACCCGATGAGGTTACGCGATCTTTGAGATTTGCAACACTATGCAATTAGTACGTCACCAGGCTCAACAAGAAAAGAATTGAGCGACTTACTGAGTATCGCTTTTAGCATGAGCGCGCCACGTTTGCGATGAGCTAAACTCAACGTTGCAAGTCCTGCAATTGAACACGCCCTTGTCCATGTTGACGGTGTTGGGATGTGCTGTGGGAATTGACGTGTTGACCATGTGGGTTTTGCAACTTGACCAGCCGGTTTGGTTGCGTTTTTATACTTGTCACTTGGCAGTGAAGACTCATTTCTTTGTATTGTTTTGATTTGGTCCGAGATCTTGGCGATGCCAAGACGTGGGGATCCGGCCAACTCCGTAAACTCTAGACAGACGATGCACGAATTAATCACGTTCCATGCCAAGCTTCTGCGGCAGGCAGCGTAAGCAGTTGAACGACCAGTCATGATAGGCCTCATCTGCGTCAAGTGGGCTCGCATGCTGCTATTGTGAGTCACCCACCCCTTCGACTAGCCTCTTTCTCATATTGAGTCACTGGTGGCGGACTCGAATAGGAAGCTCATGCGACGCTGTTTATCGAAAAGCCAAAAGGTTCAGCTACCCCGGAACGCAATTTTCCCGCTCATTTAGAAGAGTATGGATCCGCTGTCTGTGGAGGAAATTAAGCGTCGCTTACTCTAAGCTGTCTCAAGAGTCGTAGTGTGATACTTTCACTGTTGCCCTTGCGAGCAAGCCGTTTGTTAGGTAGCATAGCAGCTGAAAATTGAAGCGAATGCGACGAAATAATTGACAACTATCTACACCATTCCCAAAAAAACTAAAGCCAAGAAAGAAACAGAGCGAGGGACAAGAAAAGAAGAGCCCGACGAGCCCTTGAGCTCCTAAACACCACCGGGCCAAGGTCCTCACACGCATCGCTCTCCCCAAATTTTCGTTCTACCAACATACTGGGTTCATGGCAATACAATATAACATGAGCCAATCTTCTATTGTGTAACACAACGTGCATAACCTGCCAAGACTATCCCGATAAGAGAGGCATAGAAGTCCGCGATGGTAAGATTCCATTAAAGTCCGCGCTCCTTCCGCGCAAATTTTCTCATTTCTGCAATCTGCTCGGACGTGAATTCTGTCAAGCATGCGCTGCATCTTGTGTTAGCTACTCCAAACAAAAGCAAAAACAGTACAATTACAGAATAGATCTTACTCGGCACCATAGCTCATATAGTTTGAGTCACATCGAGCGCCGCACGGCCTATCCCGTTGTGTCAGCACCCCTACAGTTTTGGGTAAGTAGTGTAGGTAAACTTACTCATTGCTCAAACCAGTCGCGTTTCGCCAATTTGGTTCACAGTCTCCTGGATCGGTAAGGTCGGTATGCCAAAGCCCGAACCAGTGGCCAACCTCGTGAACAACTGTCACGCCCAGATTCCACACAGGATGGGGCCCTCCAGGAACGGTATTAGCATTTACGACGCAGCCATCTGATTTATCATCGTCGTCGTCAAGATCATAGCCCCGGAGGGTCACTGTACTCCCACCAATTGTCTCATCGTCATCGCAGAAGAAGATGTTAAGCTCCGAGAAATTACCTCGGTGGAGGCTCTTTGCTAGTGGGCGTCGCAAGAAAATATCCCTTGCCAGCATGCCTCCTTTGGTCCAGTCTGCACTTGAAAGCGTAAACGAGATATTTGCCGGCTTGAAACTCTCGTTGAGGAAATCTAATTGCTTATCCAGAGCAGTACGCTACACGATGTAAGCAAGGGGCGAATTCTGCTGTAACTGAGAGGCGGTGTATTACTTACATCGATGAGGAATTCACTTTCATTATTTTGTGGTTTTCCCACAACATGCATATGCACGCCGACGTTGATAACTCGTCCGTCGTCAACGGGTTCCGGAGGCCATAGTTGTTGTATAAGCTTTTCTATTTTGGGATCAAACTCCAATATAGTCTCCTGGGAGGTGGTGTCAGCCCGACGGACGGTATCCTGTACCGTGTTGAGCTCTTGGCCGGGTTGCCAGTCACAGAATTCTTCAACTCGATTGGGGGCAGCGGCCGTAGTGGCCGATAGAACCGCCAGGGATAGAGCCAAAACATTGGCTGATAACGCTGAGACGAGATGCATTTCGGGTTGAGATGGCAGTGAGACTTTCTGCGGGATAAAGGATTCGATATATGTGGACTGCGTTAATGTAGAAGCAATGATTTAAAGGTGTGTATGAGTTTGTAGCTGGAAAGCAAAAAGGTAGGCAGCAAGAACGTCTATTATATACAAGCCGCTCAAGTCTTGGGCACGTGAAAATTTTCCAATAGTGTCACCAGTCTCCCAATAAAAGATGACGAGTCTACTCTCCATAACTCTCCATAACTCTCCATACATGACAAGGAATCTGTGATTATGGCAGACCATAATGTGCAGGATTCTATAGAGTAACTACATACTCTTAACGTTGAATCCATGGCATTAGACCCTTCCGTTTGGTAGAGTATAGAGTTCAATCCACTACATACATTTTAGCCGTATACGGAGCGTGTTGGAAAACCACCAAATATCATATATCTCATATCCCTATTCTTAGCTTGGATCTTGGCAACTTGAATCCAAGTCTCTTCGTAATACAAGATATAGGGGGTGCTAAGACACAAACGTATATAGCGTGGCCACGCCTATTAGCATGGGCTGATAGACACGTACCTAGAAGGCGCAAGGAGCCCGTTTATTAAGAGTTATATGCATAGAGATAACGTAGTTTGGTCAAATGCCTTATGAATACTATGCTAGAGCGTAGAACCGTACGGGTTCGGTACTATAATAATATAGAACATGATAGGCACCTCTATTACGGTCCCGGCACGGTGCCTGTACCGCAACAGGTCCCCAAAGAGCCTTCAAATGTTACTAATGGTCGATGTCCGGTCGGTTTTTAACAATCGATCCCCCTTGCCATATTACACCTGGCTAAGCATCTAGGGTCCAATTGAATTGTAACCCTAACAAGGCTTGGCATGAACACAGAGATTCCCAATCTACATACAGACTGGAGTCTCAGGCAATACATGACTAAGGTAACCTTGAACCTGCTTACGTGGACAAGGCAGTGCTCGCGTCATGCTCCACCAAACTATCTTGGCTCTAATATCCGGCCGGCATGCCCGTTTCGCCGCTTCGGATATTACGCGGAAATAGCCCAATAACTTTAAATTTTAACGCCCGACAAAGGGTCCTCACCGATAAAGGACCTAAAGGTTATACAAGCTGAGCACATGACTGGGCAAGAGTATTAAGCATAAATATTCCTTTTATGTATTTACTAATCTTATCCTTCCTCTAAGAAAACCAAGGACCCTTAACACCCTTTAAGATTATCTTTGAAATCGAGTCATTCACTCCAAGCCTTCCATGAAATCCTTGTCACATCGGACGCGCAGCGCGGCAAGCGGATAACCACCTTGCGCTGGTATGAGCTGACGTTCACCAGGGATGCCCTCAGCAACTGGAGTAGAGGTGCTGGGGATACCGAGACCCTGCATTAAATCTGTGAAATATATCCCTCGTCCAATTTCTCGCCCCACGGGGTGCTAGCCCCCAGTCCCGTCAACAAAGTGAAGGCAAAGAACAATTTCTCCATTCCATGTGATCAAGCGCTCCACAATGTTTCATGGAAGCCATTTGGGTATTAGATGGAGAACTAGGGGGGGGGGTCAGAAAACGAAAGGGAAGCAAACCTTGCCCAAGGACCGGCAAGGCGGCTGTATATGTTATGACGACGACTTTCTAAGGTCCTTTGCGTTCTTGGGACAAATTTTGGTGTAGGCGGTGTATTACTTTTGGCATTAGACAACTTTGACGGTTCGCCTTGGCCGTTGGGCAAAATAGACATGGACCTTCATTTGCAGGGTTTGGGGCCAACAAAGAGCGAGGCAGTAATGAGGCGGGAGAACATTCGTTTTGTCTAGTTGGAAAATATCTGGTAACTAGTTGAACATACTGAATAAAGCTTGTGGCTTGTTTACTATTTTAAAGCTAAAGGTTGGTATCTTGTCATACTTGTCATTTCTCTTTTCTTTCTCCCTCTTGCCTCTTAGCAAGCTGGCCCAAGGGCAACAGTATTCTATTTCAACAACTATTGAACTTTTACGTAATGCCCCTCGTTTGGACGTCCAACTGAAAAGGTACAATCTATTGAGCGTGGAAAAGAACCTTACTATTGATTTAATAGGTCGTATTTACAGCAACTAGAATCAGCCTTATCATGAGTCATGGTCTGGGGATCTGCGGCTGCAGCTTGACAAGGCACACAAAGGTCCACTATGAAGGCGCAGCGCTGATGGAGACATGGATGGAAATATCCCGAGCGATCACAGTTTGTCGCAGCACGGCGCCGCCCCTGTTTCTCACACACCAAGTCAATGGGCGGTGCAGCCGTGTTGCGTCACATTTGGTCCATAGACTCACTTCACGGCTCGGAGCAAAATATTGCAACTTTGGGCTACAAGGACGCCAATCCATCGCGATTCGCTTCGTCTCTTCGTAAATTAGGAATAATTTCAGAAGTCGCCTCCCTGGTTCCAGCTCCATCCACCAGCCTTTCTGCCTCCCTGCACATCAGCCACTTATGACCAGAATTTATTTAGAAGCCCACAAACTCAGAATTGTCTCTTGTGGTCGGTCTTAACATCTAATTGCAGGAGCCTATAAGTGGAAGTCGGTCCGAACCCAATATGCCGAGGTATATCGGCATATTGGGTCCTGACGAAATCTGTTTTCTAGACCTCTTTCCCGGTGATCCATCGCAACCAAGGACCATGCCCGGAATATCTCTGTGAAATCTTCCAGTTATATACGATATCTCCAAGCTCTGGTTACGTGGGGACGTGCGAGTCCGGGGGCGTAAGAGATACGTGGCCTGCACCGGCGAAATCACAGCATCGTGGAACTGCTGCCTAAACTATGCCACGCCAAAGTCCTTGCACCTATCCCGTCCCTGGATATAGAATTTACGTCTCGCTCCACCGCATATCCATGTGAGTCTCCCGTGGCCCGGTATACCAGACATTAATTCGTGTTTTTAGCGCCGTCTCATATTTTTCAAGCAGAGACTGAATTTTCGCCCGTCTGTTGAATCTCCACCAAAGACATTTTGATGCAAAAATAGATTAGTATAATGACAAGGGCGAAGATGGTTCTGTTGGGAATGAGATGCTTGAAGTCGTCCATGGGTGGCTCCTTCGGCCTGGTTGCTGAGGTGCAAATGTACGAAGCATGCGGGTGACGCGAGAGCATCTCCCTTCCACTTTGACCGTTCTCAATCAGAATCTTTATTTGGTGTTGGTCCCAATAATCGCCAAGCCAGGGACTGCCGCTCAGGTGCAAGACTGACCAGGCTATTGAGGCGGCGATGCCGTATCTCTGTTTCGCGGACGTGGAAAAACACGAGCATCGTTGCCGCACTGACTGTTGATGAGATGAAAGCAGAGACTTCAGGGGAACTGCGCTGATGACCTTTGTTGAGTTCGTTTGGTCGTGGCCAAGGGCGAATCGTCGATGCCCGTCTTCTTCTGAGGCTTTGACGATGCCTGACGGAGCCCAGTCACGACAGCCCACACAGCCCACACAGATCACATCACAACGACTCACTATTTAGTTACTCATCATGGAAGGAGAAACAGTCAATTCTCTGGATAATGTCGGCGAAATTGGCGGTGGTGATGGTGTCCGGATATGTGAACGGAACTCAAAACGTGCTTTCTTAGGTTTGAGATAAGAGGCTGGGGAGGGAGCATTAGCCGAAGAGATTGATGGCGTTAGTACCTTCTGAATTAAGCTAGGTACCTCATCCCGAGTATCCAAAGTAACTTGAATGTTTTGCCATAATCCAGACAATTGAGGGCGAGGATTTGTCTCATAAGAGATGCCACTTTAAAACGTTGGGCTGCATCCGATTCCAACCCTTGCCAGTCGAGACCAATGGCGGCCTGGTGAGGCTCAGAACAGGTAGAACAGAATCCAGACTGAAGCGCTCCATAAGAGAGTAGATACATTGACGAATGAAGTTGCACCACTGACTGTTGAAGCGACGCTGGAGGTCTTGAACTTTGTGACTGTCATCTTCAGCAGGCACTTCAGCTTTGCCAAGGACCCTTTCTCAAATCTCGATTCAAGTACCTGAGCTCCTCGACCACTTTGTTACTCTCTTTTGTGCTAAAGCTATGTTAGACTCGATGCCATTCCCATTGAGCCTTAGTCGGCAGGGCGTTCGTCTAATAGTATATTCGCTGGTTAGATGAGGTTCAATTCTGCGGCAATTCCATGCATCGGAGCCTGTGCATATCCGTTGAAGTCAATGTCTAGGTCCTCAATCGGCGTGCTGAACGATAAAGATCAACTGGTGAGAGGTGTCTGGGAACTTGGTACAGAAACAGTCCTGCAACTCTTGTCTTTATGGCTCAGTACCGAGTCCCAGGTTGGAGAGAGTTAACCTCAATTTTCGGTTTTACAAAAACAGGCTAATCCGGAGAGTCCCTATAGAGGTTATATAGTTTTGAAAGACCTCCAAAGGCTCTGCATATTTCTCAAGAGCCCAGATCACGACGGTATGCCGCCCAGAACGAGGCCAGCGGCTTCAGCCATGGTTATTGTATATCAGTGCCTAGAATGATGGTGAGCTGGAGTCAGCTGGACATCCACAAAGCTATTACAATGGTGATATGCAACTTAACGTATATCCGAGTACTCCACTTGCCTAGTAGGTATCTGATGTATGCAGCACCAGCCGCTTCACTGGTGCAAGATAGATCTCGACAGAGGATCTGTCGTCAAAGAGCGAATTGTTTGAGTGTGTCGCGGTCCGATCTCCTATGACTTCAGTTGCACGTTTGATCTGATTCGATCCGCCATGCAGTGCTTGGTAATACATGGTCTTCATTGGCTCGGATATTGTCCGTGCTGCGAGTCGAATTCCCTCATCGAGATCTGTTACAAGAGCAGGGCAGCTGGGCCTAGAACACAGTGTTAAATTTAAACTATAATGATCGACTTTAGGGTGTCAAAGGTGCTTGATTTTTCATGAGGCGATGTCAAATACCAAAATAACAGAATGCCAAAGATTCGTCTGCTTGTCCAGCTTATACCGGAGCAGATCCGTTCACTCTTTGACTTTTCTGCATTACGCCGTCGCCAAAAGATTACAGACAAGCATATCATCTCCATTGATTCAAAACGCACGTATCCGCGCCAGGCAACTCGGACACCCTGCCACTAAGCACCTGTCTTAGCAGCGCCGACGAAAGCCATGTGACGGAAATGGTATTCCAAGACCCTGATGCCAACGAAGGAGCTGTCTTAGGGGTAGGCAATGCGGACGAGAATAACTAGAAATTCATTGAGTCAAGCAGGCGATAAGTGGAGGTCCTTGAGGCAATAATCGGGGGCTCGAGAGGTCCGAGAGGCCCGGGGGTCGTGGTGTTTACTTTTTCTTAGGTTTCGAGTAAGGGCTAGGACGAGGGTCATTATAGGAGTCCTCAAGGGCTCCAACAGGGTATAAGAAGGCTCAATGTCCCGGGTTTTGAGGGCGTTTATTTTAGACTATCAGATGCCGAAAATATCATCGTTTTACACCATCAATATGCCTCATTGCACTGCCTTGAATTACTGTTGATAACTCAACAGGGACAAGTATTTGATTACCCTTCATGAGGGTAGCTAGTAAATGTGATCACATACTTTCCCCGTCTCACGTAGAGTGAACGAAAATAAAGATACGGGCAAGGTATGTACAAATAGCATCAACGTAAATGACGTATGTGGCATTACCGTCTTTGACCAATATCCCGCCCAATAGAAACGACTTGACAGACGCTAAGCAGCAAATATGACAAGGGCTTGATACAAGGGCTCGGCGCGTAATGAATCCATTCAGAGATAAACTTTTAGGATATCAAACGTCCTTGATTTTCTAAAGGAACGTAGGGACGGGTGACCACTATATACATGAAGGGAAAATTTATGCCTAAGGTTTCCACTGGGTCATGTGCTCAGTCTGTCACCTTGAGGTCCTTTGTTGGCGATGCTTCTTTGGGCTTTGTTGTTGGTCCCTAAGCGTGTCCCAGTTCAGATCTCTTTGTCCATACAGAGCGAGGCGAGTCTCGACCTTTCCAGACATCTGGAACTTCAGCCTCTCTTGCCAGCAAGCTATACTGCGAAAAATAAAAAACCCAAATTATATTCCGGAAAAAAAACCTAACAATGAATAGCTAGAACGAGAAGAAACAGCCAGTGATACAGCATGGGCAGACACAGCTTCAAGCGACATATAATCCAGGTCAGAGCAACTGGCTGGAAATGTCTCCGGAACCCATGTCGCTATCAGCTGCCGGTACTCAGACATTAGGAGAAACACTCTGGGACGAGGCCTACGATCTTCTCCGGGCGAGAAATTCCAGACTCGTGACTTGGTACGAGACGATCCTTACTCCAGAATTAGAGAGCACTGCTGCAAATCTGCCGTCCCAGAACGCATCGTCTGACACATTTCGGAACCTGATCGATCAACGAGACTGGGAGACCAGGTGGGGCAAAATGAAGCATCTTCTCGGTCTCTAGTTTCGGGGGAACGGTGTTTTCCTCTTTAATATCATTAGGGCTACGGCTTCGATGACGCCGGCAGAGGCAGTGCTTGCCTGGGTAGCTGCGAGCTATGCAGCATCGAAGGTATGAGAAGTCCCGGCAAATCATGGCACCCATGATCCGTTTGCTAATAGAGAAGCAGATCGTTTTTCATCCAACCAAAGAAAACGATGATGACTGTCGGGGCCTTACCTATATCATATCAAGGATGGAATGGTACTGCCGTCTGCCCAGAATGCTGAATGGGATATGGTAGCAAAAGGCGACTGAGTACCCACGGAGCTCAAGCAACGGATAATATCGCTCTACACAGCCATATTGTCTTATATGATGACAATTGTGTGCTCTCACCGTCATGAATTAGCTTCAGGAAGCCCAGGGATATCTCTTACTGGCGCATGGCTCATTCTTGTGTACCAACCGGACCTATGTACGCACCTGACTAGGAAGCTTGACTCAACTAGGCGTCGACACCTCAATGATCCTAATGACTTTTTAGCCTTGTCCGCGATTTTCTATGACATGATAGAAGATGAAAGTCTAGCAATAACATACATAGTTGCTGATGCCCTTGATCAGTGTATGTCTTGGAACAGTCAGCCGGGGGTTGATGACTTTCAGTCCCCGACAGAAAGTCTTTAAAATTGTCTAAGAAGATTAAATGCCTCATTTCAAGTGACGGGCCAGAGCGCTTCAAGTCGACGTTTTTGAACATTGGCTGCCGGCATGGTGACCTGAGCCAAGGCTTGCTTGGCATGGACGTCGCAATGCACGATTACATAGCAGCCAAAGTAAGGGATCTGGCCAGAACGAACAAGTACGACGAGGAGCTTGAGGAACAAGTTATCAGACAACTGCATTTGGCGTCTCAGGTTAACTACCTATGGGTAAGTATCGTCTGCGACGCCCTACGTTCCGAAGAGGCTTGGTATGCGGCCGATCTACTTCACGATGTCAAAGGGACAAGTGTCTTGGACGACAGCCTTTAAACCCGCATGATTAACATTTTAAAAAAGCTTCTGCGTCGTGAAGTGAATTGTCTCCTAGATCAGCCTGGGATTGTGCATGCGGTTTACTTCTCGGATGACGGAAGCAAACTTGCGGCGGCTATATCCCGGGCAGCAAGCATCTGGGATCTCGACTGTGAAATGTCTGCGTCCAGTACGTTCAAGAACTATGATATCGAGAATACAGCTACAAGTACAGTGAAGAGTGTGGTCTTCTGTAAAAACCGTAAACTACTAGCTACGGGCTCTACTGACTTCGAAGTCAAAGTCTGGGACGTGAGCTTCATCTGGGATGTGGAAATGTGGAAATGGAGGCGAACGGTGGGAAGAAGGATACTAGTGAACTGGAAGCAACAAATGAGCATACGGAACCTGGAGAAGGAAAGCCTGTGAGTAACACCGAGAATTGATCGAACGGTAGAAGAGACTTGGATAGGATCGAACGCAGCCAGTCCCATCCCGGCACAGAGACTACCAAGCTGCGTGAACCACTACACAGACTGAAGGGTCACACAGGGGCAATCGACTCTCTCGTGTTCTCGTGCAAATTAAGGCATATCGCCTCCGGGTCTAAGGACAGCACAGTCCGAATCTGGGAGCTGAACACCGAGGAGCCCGAAGCACGTAAGCCTCCTGACGCAAGGCGAGGTGCCGTCAACTCCGTTGCCTTGGCTGCCTATAAAAACGGGTATCGCCTCGCTTCCTGCACAGAGAGGGACGTTGACATCTGGGATTTCGGGACAGGAGAACATCTGCAAGTGATGAGATCACCTTGTCGAATACTGTGCGGCGGCCTCGCTGCCTCACCGAATGGAGCCTACCTCGCCACTGGGTCATACGAGGGCACAGTAGATCTTTGGCACGCCCCTAGGAAGCGAATAGAACAGGAACCAGAGCCAGCGGGTTGGGTAGAGCCTAGGTCACCGATCAACAAGGCTCTAAGCCCCGACGGCCGAACATTGGCTGTATCTCAAGTTGGAGAAAATATATTACTCTGGGATATTGAGACGAACGAACTCGTGAATCCTCGCATATAATGGGCATAAAAAGAAGATATTGTCTGTTTCGTTCTCACCCAAGCATGGGGCGATGCTGCTCCCCTCTGGTGCTGACTGCAGCGTACGTGTCTGTGATGTCAAGACGGGGATGCGACTACGCAAATTCCTTGGCCACACGGACGGGTTCCGATTTCCCCCCTGGTCGCTGAATGGAGATTACGTAGCCTCCACTTCGGATGATGGTACCATTCGTGTCTGGAAGGTGGGAGACAGAGACGAGCAGAAACCTCAAATCCTCGAACAGGGTGATTGCTTTGCCACGGGCGTCTCCTTTTCCCCCGGTGGGAAGTACATCGCGACGTGCGGCACCAACGGAAAGATCATGGTATGGGCACCACAACAAGATGAGAGTGGTTGGAATCTGCAGCACACGTTCGAGGGCCACAGGGACTACGTGTTGAGCGTTCTCATCTCCCCGGACTCGAAGCAGATACTCTCATCGGGTGCGGATAAAACAATCCGAATCTGGGACATGGACAGTGGCGATGACGTAAACAAGGATTCTCCCATTAACACTAAGCTACGCATTTACAAGATGTGGCTTGATAAGCACTCGTCGAGCCACGTTATGACACCATACGGAGCCAAGTCGCCCGTCAGCGCTTCCTCGGGACCATCTCAACTTCCTTCATGGAGTCCGTACTGGATTTCGTACAACAAGGACGGAGATGAGGCGTGGGTCATATGGCGTGGCAAGAAGGTCATCTTTCTCCCTAAACAGTTCGGGCCTAGTGCTTGTGGTGTCTTTGGTCACAGAGTTGTAGTTTGCACAGATTTCGGACAAGTTGGTGTTTACGGATTTTCCGAGGCCGTGACGGCTGATACTCGATGCTAGAAGCCTCCCACTCCAGCCGTATCAACGTCGGAGTTTCTGCTCCCTCTGGCTGCCTTTACTTTTCAGAGCATTTGACAGAGCGAGCCGAAGTGGCGGGACCTCGTGGTCTTGTGATTGATCGGAACGCTGCGGAACCGAGCACGGAATGTATGAGGCTCGCAGTCAGCACTTTACAACCAGAGTTGATGGTACTGCGATTAATATCAATGGTGAAGGAAGGTACTTGGTGACTGATAGCAGTCTTTGGTATCGAAGGTTCTTGGTTTTCCTCAAGCCCTAGATAACTAAAAAGCTTTACGTATACGAGAAATCGATGAGAGTCTAATACCCTAGGTCTCGTGATCCTAACTTGTGTGGCTGTTTGACACTTGGCATCATTGGCATTTGTGAAGCGCAACGCATCTGCTATCAACCTAGAAATGTGTAATAAACTGGTGCTACCTGCTGCTGCAAGTACGCATCGCTGAATGTAATCGTAAACTCAAGGAGAGAAAAGGGAAAGGCCCTCTCCGTCCATTTTTCTCGTATAGTTAGGTTTTATTCTACCTTTGAAGCGCATTTAAAGCGGGTTTAGTGCTGACCCAACATTGAAAGGCAATCACCACAGACATGAGCTCTAGGCTCGAGTCCATAATAATATGCACTGTCTTTTAAACATGGGTAGTTGACAGACTTTATGGTGGCTTGCTCTCATCCCGGCTTGCCACCGTGGCCGACCACATACCGTGCCAGTTATGTGTACCACCAAAGTATATCAAGAACTCAAATTCTCATCTTAATAATGTGGTCGGCCGTTCCGAGTCGAGGTTCTTTCACCATATTAACCGCTTCGAATTATCTGATCAATTACAATGTGGGAGCACCAGTCGACTCTCATAGGCTCCAAGTCCTCCCTTTACGAGCTGTATCGGCTCACATTCTAGAAAAGCTGACTTAATTTGCGTATAATATATAATAAGACTAACTCAGTTACGCATAAAGGCGTTATAATTTACATAAGTTGGTAGAGCTATGGCAGAAGACGACTCATCGATAGACTACTGCAAGACTGCAAGTGGCACGTCGACAATTTTGTCTCGCAAGTAGTCAGCAAATCCTTTGCCAAATGCATCCAGTCTCGTCGAGCTACTCACGCCCCGTTCCAAAATGCCGTATATGACGAAATGAACCGCGTGAATGCGGGGGAATTCAACCCGTTCTACGGTGTAGCTCGGGTCGGCGTCTTCACCCAACAGCTGCCACATTCGCTCACGAGATAACCATGACCGCAGCCACTCCCATTGCTTCTCTGTTCGGACAAATACACCGACATTCAGATTTGGCCCCTTGTCTCCGGACCGTGCAAGAGCAATGTCTCCAAGGCGGATAGATTTGTGTGCCCCCGTAAAGGCCACAGGGTTGCTCGTGTCGTAACTATCTCGAGGAGTTGACGCCTCGGACGAGAAGGCAGGTGCACTACCTGCAGGATAGGAGGATTTCGAAATTGTCTGACCGGATTCGTCAATTCCAATTAGATGTGCTGTCTCCTTGAGATGAGCCTGCTGGCACAGGGCGGGATAGTATGCAATGTACGGTCTTGGGACGGCAGTTCTCATGTCTAGGGCACAGTGAAATCCTACTCAGAAAAATCAGAATACCAGAGTGCACAAAAGGATTTTCTTATCTTGGGAGCAAGACCGTTGACTAACCGGAAAAGTGTTTGAGAGAGATGTCTTTGAAAGCATTCGCGACTTCCAAAACCCCCTTTGCGTCTTTGCCTTGGGCTACTACCCTGATGTACATGGTGCTGCTATTCTGGCTGGTTGGATTTGTAGCGGGGGTGCCAATTCTAGCCCAGAATCAGGGTCAGAGCCGGATCGTTTCATAAAGAGAATAGATGCCGTATCTTACCGTTGAAACTGGAGGAGATCAAGATCTTTCACTTTGACACCAAGATTACGGCGGACTTGCTGTTCCAACAGAGCACATTTCTCCTCCCAGCCGTACCCTGTAGCATTGAACAGCAGCTGGCACTCGTAGCCGCCTTTATAAAAAATAGCTAGCTTTGTTGTTGGCGGAGGAGGAAGCCCTCTGATACCCGTAACAAGGACTCTATGAATAAATTAGCATGGGCGTGCAAGAGAGCGTAAGAACTCAAGCAGGGGATCGATTCACCTATTTTCGCCAATGGATTTTATATCTACACCATCCAATACTGCTTTGGTGTCGCTGTGCATGTAGACATTACCTTGTAGCTCATAGAGTAGCTGGCACTTGACGGTGTCTTTGTTTATAACACCTCCAGTACCGGGATGTTTGGTGATTACACAAGATCCATCATCATGAACCTCGGCAATCGGAAATCCAGGGTCGACGAAACGATCCAGTCCACCGTACTGAGGTTCCGTGAATCCAGCAAAGTTGCCCCCGGTGACGTATGCAGAGCACTCAATCAAGTGGCCTGCAATCAAGGCGCCGGCTAACCTGTCATAGTCAGCCGCGCTCCAAGACCACCAATACCAGGCCGCTGCAATGACGGGTGACGCATCGGACACACGTCCTGCGATGACAATGTCAGCCCCGTGTTGGAAAGCGGTCAGGATGCCCCGAGCACCGAGATACGCATTTGCCGAGACGATCTGGGCCCCCGTGGCCAGGTCCTGAGCGTCTTGAATGTACGAACGGCTTTGTTCTTGGTTGGAATTGGCCGATGATTCATCCAGGTGTGGGAGAAGCGCAGAGTCTAGCGTCGGGGGCATATTTTGGCCGACTTGATGGCGTAAATCATCGCCGGTTATATAGGCAACTGATAGTGAGTACCGCTTCTCCTGGACCATCATGGCGATTTTCTCAGCTAGTCCCTTGGGATTGAGCGCACCGCCATTTATAGCGACCTTGATACGCTTGTCGTTGATTACATCGAGGGTCTTTTCCAGACCTTCAAGTGCAGACATTTCGTACCCTGGATGAGAGCCTGAAGCAAATGCTTCCGCGTTTTGAGCAATGTTGACCTCTGCAAATGAGTGAGTATAGAATTTTTAGGAGTTGACTATACATGACACACTTACCGGCGAGGTAGTCACCCGTGATGAAGTCGACATCTCCGAGAGTGGCCTGCTTGTACATTTCTATCGCAGGATCGCCTTGACGAGCATGGTTGATTAGCGAACTGATTGACGGTGTTTTTGGGGTTTCTGATGCGCACCACAGTAGCCGGAGCAATTCGCTATGCGGACTGCTCGCTTGCCGAATGCTCCCTCACGCCAGGACGACATCTTGAAGTATAACTTTGAATAATCTCTGTAAGAATCTCTAGACTTGTTGCTAAATCAGAAAATGCCAATGACCCCGGCTGGCGGTTCGTCGACTTTATAAGTGAACCGCCTCTGGTGTGGATGAATGCCGACCGAGGCTCTTGACATTGTTTCTCCAAACGCCCGGTGAACTCATGGCCACCAACCTGCCATCGATACTACGTGCCGGCCATCCTTGCGAGTTTATGACGTTGCCGACACTTGCGTCCCAAAAACTCCGAGAGCCCGGCTGCGCCATGTTCAACTCCCACGGAGTTTCCGGAGCCGTCACGACCTGATGGAGTTTTGAGCGGGGCACATGCCAAAACTCCTTTCAATGGGAGGGCATCTACTCCGTATTCGAGCATGCAATACGATTCCCTTCTGTCTAGTGCGAAGATGGCGACGTGCCGGGGGAACCGGCTTACTCCGATCCGAGTCGGCTGATGCAACGCTCAGTTTGTCAGTCAGATTATATAAAAGTAAGCGTGGCCGTTGTATAAAAAGAATAGAATAAACAGAGTAAACGTGTCACCTCATCATCATCATCACCCTTGTTTTTTTCTGCAACAGCACTGCAAGTCGCTTACTACAGTCATGGAGAATTACTCGGTTCAACAGGAGAGCCAGCGCATCCTAGAGGAGCAACTCCTCAAGAACGAGCAATTATCCCTGCCCCGCGAGTTTGTGGAAGCAGCAAAGCGAGTCAAAATTACCGGCAAGGATCCCAAGCCATTTATCCCGACCCCATGTAAAGTCACCGAGTCCGCAGCGGCGCTGGCTGCCCTCGTAGCGGCCGAAGGGAGTGCCATCAGTGCCGACCGCTACGGCATCGGATACCAAGCCGCCGAAGTTGATACGTGAGTGCCCGGCGTTCGAAATACATATAGAAGGGCTTGCTGCTTACACCCCTGGCCGTGTTAGGGACCTCGCCACCCTTTTCCTAGAGTCCATTATCCTGCCCACCATCAATGGCAAGCCGGCCATGCAGGATGACCGCGTGCTGGCCGAGCTAAAGAAGGGGGACTTGTACGACATGGCGAAGCCTATCCACCAGCAGGCGACAAACGTTTACCAGACCAAGGATGGCAAATGGTACCATTTGCACGGGTCAATGAATGCCTCGGCGACAATGGGCCTGGTTGGTGTGGAAGAGCAGGACGTGACGCGTGAGGAGGCCATCAAGATCTTCAGCGACAAGGTCGCCCAGTATGACGCCGCGTACCTGGAAAAAACGGCCAACGAACATCTTCGCCAAGCAGGGGTGACGTGCCTCACCCCCGAGGAATTCTTTGCCTCGGAACACGGCAAGATCATGGCGGATGAGCCGCTCTGGACTATGAAGCCGGTTCCCGCACCACGGAGCACCTGGCCAGCGCAAAAGTCGGACAAGCTCAAGCCGCTCGAGGGCATACGTGTCATTGACTTTTCCCGTGTGATTGCCGCCCCCGTCATCTCCAAAGTCCTGGCCGTTCTCGGCGCCCAAGTCATCAAGGTGTCGAACAAGAACCTGCCCGATGTCACTGCAACATGGATTGATCTGAGCACGGGCAAGAAGGACGCAGATATCGACTTGAAGAGTGACGAGGGCAAGAACACATTCAAGCGACTCGTCGCGGGCGCCGACGTCTTGATCGACGGTTATCGCCCCGGCATTCTGGCCAAACTGGGCTTCAACTCTGCGTCGCTGCGCACAATCAACCCGAAGCTGGTGTACGTCCGCGAGAACTGCTACGGGTTCAAGGGCCCGCTGGCATATCGCTCCGGCTGGCAGCAGATAAGCGACTGCCTCGTGGGCATCTCGTGGCTGCAAGGGAAATTCCTGGGCTTGAATGAGCCGGTGGTGCCTCTGCTTCGTACGTCAATGTCCCCCCTTTCTTGCCAATGATGCATCAGCTAATCTTGTCGCGTTTTGTAGCCAATTCCGACTATCAGACAGGTCTTGTGGGCGCAGCCGCAGTCTTGCAGGCGTTGTTTCAACGGACCAAGGTAGACTGCACGTACGACATTGATGTGAGCCTGACGCAGTACAACATATGGTACTATCGCCTTGGCCAGTACACTGCGGACCAGGGAAAAGCGATTTTGGCACGAAATGAAGGCTTCCACGTTCGGCATTATGACGAAATGTTTTCGTTGATACAAAAAACCCACGCTGCCATATCCAAGGCTCGGCCGGAACTGTTTAAAAACCCTGACTACTTTTCCACTATGTCTGGGCGAGAGTGGGGAGTGGGTGACGATATTACCATTTTGGCACCGCCCTTTAAATTTGAGACGTCGGTGCTTGAGTACGCAGTTCCTTCTGGAGTACGGGGGAGGTCGATTCCTGAATGGGCGGCATAGATGGTTGAATAGGGACATGACGCACAAGGGTTGGCATACCGGTAAACTAGACTAGTGTTATTACAGAAAAGGCCCACCAGATCATGAAACCCAATGAAGGAGCTTTTTACCGGCAAAGGACCTATTGGTTAATGTACACAGATTGAACACATGCCCGGGCAAGAGCCCTAGACACAGCCGTTCCCTTCATGCATATATAGTGGTCACTAGTCCCTCTTTTCCTCGAGGAAAACCAATGAAATTTGACACCCTACTGGATTATCTTTGAATTGAATCCTTTCCAAGCCCTTGATATCAAGCGCCTGCCACAGTTGTGCATAGTTTGATCAAGAGCTTTGTGCAGGAAGGTAGCCGGCGAGACACTGGTACGTTTTTATATGCTCAGGTAATGCTACTAACAGTAACATTTCGCGCCAAGAATTGGGTTGTATTCATGATAATTTTGTGATGCGTGCGTTATTAGTTGTGGGGTGTTGTGAAGCTGTGATGGCGAGAAACGACCCTCAAGGTCTGACGATGCCTTGCAATCTGACACCGACGCTGATGTGCACATTTCCCCTGAGAGTTGCAGAGTCACAGACGTAAATGCCAACCCGGGAATAAAGGGAACATTGAAGGGATGCAAAGGACACAGCGTGCCACCGCCGATCCCGTCACGGTGGCGCCGAGCCAAGCCAAGACCCCGCGGAGGAGCGGAGCACAGACTCGGACATTTCGGCACTTCTAGAAGCAATTTTGAAACGTCACTCCAGCTATTGACAGTCAAGGTGTCCTTGTGTCCAACACTGTTGAAGCCAACAGTGGCAGCTCGAATGGATGCCAAAGCACCGACGGGTCAACGGCCCGGGACTCGACTCCGAAGCGGTTGGAAACGGCGAGTTGCCAAGGTTAGTCGTCCACACTCCGAACTGACCAGACCATTTTTGCTAAGGAGTTGCTGTTTGTAAACGCCAAGGCTTGTGATGCTTGCCGTCACCGAAAGATCAGATGCAACGGCGTGCGCCCCATCTGTTTGCAATGCCGAACCAGCGGCGCTGATTGCCACTACTCGGATCATCAACCTACTGATCAAACGTTTCGCCCGTTGTCCGAGAGCGTCGTCCGCGGGCAAGAGCCATTGAGGGACCAAGATTGCAAGCACACGCATGAAGAGTCAGCTGAGGCCTCAAGGAAAACAACTTCGCCTCCCGACGGGTCGGCCGTAGGTACAATGGTGGTCGAAGATACTGGGGAGTTGAGATACTTTGGTATGTCAAACGACAATCCAGTCAGATGGAATCAACTGACTTGGAACACAACCAGGGCCTTCTGCCAGCCTAGCTATCCTCTCACCCGGTGGCTTAGAATGGCTAGAGCTGCACACCAACGACTCGACTCTGCGGCAAAGACTTCTATCACCATTGACGGCTCGTGGGAACAGCTGGGCCAAATGGGCTCATCCCCACGCATCTACACAATCCCCAGCAAGCCTCAACTGCTCAAGTTGCTCGACGGCCGCCTCAGCAACGCAGTCGCTACCATGGGAGGAGGCGTCATCATTAGTCGACGAGTTTCTGGAAAATTTCAACATTGCTTTACCCATCTTTCATCCTCCCACGCTCACTAGCCTTCTAGAGAAACACTACGCAACCAATCTACATACAGACAAGGCCAGCACAGAACCAGCTTGGCCGGTGGCATTGTTCTCCATTCTCGCCATGGCACAGAGAAAACGCGCTGAGGAGAGCTCGAACCCACAGGAAGCTTTAGAGAAAGCATGGAACTTTGCAGACAGGGCCGTGGAAGGCGCCACGTCCGTCCTCACGAGCAGCGTGAGCATGTTGTCAGTTCAGGGTATTTTGACTCTGGCATGGTTCTTTTACGGGACACCAAATCCGCAGCCGTTCTTCTCCTTCTCCGCCGCTGCCGTGCGCCTCGTCCACGCGGCCGGGATGCACCGGACGACAGGCCACTCACTACTGTCACCCACCGACAAAGTCCAACGGAACCGACTATTTTGGATCGCCCTCATATTCGACTCGACGGCGGCTGCGCGCACCGGCCGTCCATGTACGCAGGACATCAACGACATTGGCGTGCCGTTGCCGGCCCTCTCACCAAGGGACAACCTGGGCATCCTGCTGGGTCTATCCGGCGACAGGGCGCTCAACATTCTCGTGGCAAAATCCAGACTAGCCATGATACAATGTAAAGCCTACACTAGACTATTCACGACGTCAGCGTCCGCCAAGTCCATCGAGGATATCGAATTCGGGATCGGAGAGCTCGGCACAGAGCTAGATGAGTTGAGCCTCGTCATACCAAGCAGCATGCTGGGCCGGGACACGCCCAGCCATACCCTGGATTGGCATCCCGGCCACTATTCACACATTATCGGCCTGGCGATGGCCCTTCATGGCTGCATCATCACGGTGCACAGTGCCACCTGGTACCGCGATTCGAAAAGCTCCCCCAACCGTGACGCAAGGCGTGGCGAGACCAGGATGAGGTTCCGGCATTTGGAGCGGTGTCTGCATTCGAGCGTTGAAATAGAGAGGCTGGCTTGTCTGATTCCCCGCCATCGTAACAACCTTATGTGGTGAGTCGTCACCGCCCTGCTGACCCGGACGTGAGTCTAACCACTTCATAGGGAGGCGGTATCTCATGCGCACAAGGCCCTCATGCCGCTGGTCATTGCTGTTCTTTCGGACCCGTCGAGCGAGGATGCCGAAGGCCAGCTACGGTGTATGGAGAGACTGGTTCTGTTCACGTCGGAGCTCATGGCAAGTCAGCAGGACACGTATTTGAAACCATTGGTGCAAGTCTCTCAGGAGCTGGCCCGGGCTGCGCGCGAAGCAAGATGTAAAGCAGGCCGTGTAGCTGAGGGCGATGCCGGTGGCGCAAATAGTGGTGCATCCAACGAGAACAGTGTGTTCGTGCAACCTTCATTCACGGCTTATTTGCGGGCTTCGCACACGGGTTCGGCTCATGCTGATGGAAGCGTGTTGGAGACGTCTCAGGCTGAGACGAATAATGATCTTGGGATGGGAGCATGCCAAACCGACGACCTTATTAGCAGCTTGTTGTGGGATTGGCAAGGGCCATCGGGATATTTCTTGGGAGGCTTGGATACTGATGAGGGGTGAGGAGTCGCGAAGACTACGAGGAGGCTTGTGATATATCAGACGTGGTATTTATTTTCCTGGCTGCGGAGAGCATCAATGTTAAAGTCATTGTACCTTTTGAAGTGCATTTTGACATTTCCCGAAAGAGAGATATATACTTTGAACAATCAGCAATGTTTATCGTCACGAATTTCGGCATCACAACGAAGCTCATATAAAGGCACTGGGTAGCTACAGACTCAGGTAGTCAGCAGATGCTAAATGACGGCCCAAGATGACAGAGAGATTGAAAGATGTTATCTTCCGGATACGCAAAAGATACAAGACGGTTCCAGAACCAAAGGCAAACATGTCTGGTGTGTAACATCCTGTCATTGTGGCGCTTCTAAACCCAATCAACGGTCAAGAGATGCATCGCGTTTCAGTCTCCAAGAAATTTCTCAGTGACGTCAAGGTATGAAAGAGCTCCTCCCGCCCGGCAAGTTCGGGTGCAGTGGCTGCAATTGATGGCGTCAAACATTCCTCATAGCATCGCGCATCGAAGCTCAAGTACGTGGCGTGATTGACTGTCAAGACTCAACACCAACTTCTCACCACTGCATTCAAACCATAAATCATCTTCGACAAAACAACTACAAATAATCCAGATTCCTCACGAAGGCCTTTCACGCAATGCCAAAGATACCTCCTGCGGGACTTTACGCTCCCTTGCCAGTATTTTTCACCAAGGATGACGAGCTAGGTACGTCACCGGCATGTGTTTCCAGTCGCGAGAGAACCAACATACTAAGCTACCCAGATCTGGATGCCTACGCAAAGCACGCCAAATGTAAGAACCGGTGATGATGACGGCCAGAAAGATGAGTCACTTATCAACCACGAACAGATGTTGCAGCAGCGGGCATTCTGCCAGTGGCTTCGGCAAGTATAGGCGAAGCCGCACACCTTGTATGTCCCCCCTCCTCCCTGCGTTTCATCCCATCCAACACATATGTTAGGATCACTCGGAGCGTATCAAGGTGATCAAGACCTTGCGAGATGCTCTCAACTCTATTGATTTGCACGAAACACCCATCGTGGCTGGCGTCGGCGCCCCCAGCACCCGTGAAACCATTCAGCTTGCGCGAGACGCCGCCGCCTCCGGAGCAGAATTCGTGCTCGTTGTTCCGCCAGGCTACTACGCCAGGGTTCTAAAAGCGAACCCAGCAGCGATGCACAAGTTCTTCATTGATGTAGCTGCCGCGTCCCCAGTCCCCGTGTTAGTCGTCCCCAAATACCGCGCCCACGGCCGCCGTCCCTGGCACCGTGGACCCAATTGCAAGCAATCAAATTTGCTAATCGGCGATTTTCAAGAATCATATACAACTACCCGGCGGTTGCTGCTCGGATAGACCTTGACAGCGACGATGTGGTCGCCATTGCAAAGGCTGCGCCGAATATATGCGGCATCATGCTATCGTAAGTCCTGTAGAACTAGGCCCCTCGTTCGTGATGCTGACCGAGTCCGTGATAGCTGCGGCAATGTTGGCAAATTGGCCAGAATTACAACCTTGGTGGATAATTCGAGATTTACCACGCTCGCAGGGTTCATCGACTTTCTCCTCCCGTCGATTTGTGTAGGATCTGCCGGGGCCATTAGTCCCCTGCCCAACGTTGCTCCGGTGAGTTCTCTAGCTTCATGGCCGTGATTCAAACTTACTGTTTTTTTTAGGAATTTTGCATGAAGCTCTGGCGGGCGTCTCGTGGCGTCGATAACGCCGTTGACCGCCAGTTTGCAAAGGAGCTTCAGGGCTTGGCTGCTCTTGGGGAAGCGGCCATTATCAAGAAAGGCGTAGGTGCTCCGCCATTTGAGTTTACAGTTAACACGAGCGCTGACGCTATTACAGTTGTCTGGCTTGAAGCAGTTCCTCAGCCAGCAGTTTGGTTATCCTGCTGCGCCGAGGCTGCCACTGCCGCTGATGGAGGAGGTGTCTGCAAAGTTGTCCGAAAACCAACACATTAAAGACATAATGGAACTGGAGAAGGGTTTGCACTAATAATCTTGGGGGGCTCTTAGCTACATGGGCTTTAATATGGTAATTACTGTTTATTATGGACCATAGTCTGTTGATATTTGTTCCAACTTTCCAGCCGCAGAGGGCTACAGTCTGACTATTATGGATATGGAGAACTGCTAAAAAATATGCAAATGCGTTAATATCTTCAAAACCTTTTCCATAGTAATGAAAACTTAACCAGTCGACCTGCCATGTGCTTTTTTTCGCCAGCGTCAAAATCACTGCAATCCCTTCTTGATGGCCTGCTCGAGGCTTTCCCTCTGCAAGCCCAGCTTCTCCAGCTTCTCTAATTCCACCACATCGACCTTATTCTGAAAATCGCCTCCATGACCTTGCAGGAAGTGCGTAACAAAAAACTTTACATACGGCGCCACACCATCGCCCTGCCTGATCTTCTCCTCGTACTCATTCTCCACGTCCTTCACATCGCGCACCCGAATATCCCAGTCTGCATCCGTCGTCTCCGTCGCGCGCTGGACAGCCTGCAAGATGTCCCTCTGCGTCAGGTGGAACGAGGGAGTGTACACAGCCTTGTTCTTGTACCGGGCCAGATCGGCCTCGGGCAGACTCAGCACCGCGGCCACAGCCTCGGCAGCGTGGGCGATGCTCGCCGTGCTGACTTTGGCATCCGCGCCGCGCCACAACGTCGCCTTGCGAGCTTTGTAGTCTATGCCCCATAGTCCTCCCTTGAGGCCGTCGTCGAGCCATGGGCCGACGGCAATGGAGACCCAGCTGCTCACGCCAAGCTCCTCGATTAGATTGCGAATCTTCTTCTTTGCTACGAGCAGCCCGTTCTCCTCGACGAGCTTGCCGGCAAAGGGGTCGGGGCCGAACTCGGACGGGAACACATAGGGTACGCCGACCTTGGCGGCGGCACGGATCGCCGGCTCCTGCAGCTTGGCGAGGAGAGAGAGCGGAGGCATCAGGACTACAGCATCTTGTCCCGTGAGCGCGTCCGTGAGGAAGGTTTCATCCTCGAGATTGCCCTTCTTGACAATGACTTCGCTGGGAAAGGCGCTCGTAGCTTCCGGTCGCTGGAGGGCGGTGATGGTATGCCCGCCGTTGCTGATGAGGGTATTCACTGTTGGTTTGCCGACCTGGCCGCTGGCACCGATAATGGCAATCTTGCGTCCCTGGCCTTTTTGGGCCATTTGGCAGTGGTAGAATGATAGTACTAGGGCGAAACAATTTTCGGGCTGTCGTGAAAGCAAGCCCGGCCCAGTGAGCAGTGATGTTCAGAGCGCGATGCCGTGTATGTTCCGATTGATCGGTCGGGTCTGGTCGACCTCTTTTATCCAAGGAGTCGTGAAGGTGGCGAAGATATTTAACACGGCTGGGCTCTGCATCACAAATTGGCGTTTCCGACGTATCCGACCTTGATGACGTCTCACTATTTATAAGCAACGCAGAGATGAAACAATACCGGCGTGCAATCCGGAGAAGCCACAAGGTTAAGACAGATGTTGATGGCTTATCCATGACATGGAAGCCTCCAGAGAAGTAGTGGCCTGCCTAACGCCAGAAAGGCGTAGTGGCTGGCGACACCGCATGTATATTGACATCAATGATATGTCAATACGTCAAGTAGTAACCAGCTCGTGGCAAACCACTGCAGCCCCTCACCCACATCAATGTTGCCAGAACTGAGGTGTTTTGTCAAGTCATTCAGAAGATGATTCTGACTGGTCCGATACAAGAGGATATTGGGAATCAAGTCGGTGAGCATTCCAAGTTTTCACTTTAGAAACTGCGAAGCATGATTCAAACGCAACGAGGAGTTTTGCAGGACATATTCTTCCCAGGCAGTATATTGGGAACAACGATAATGTCTCTTACAGAGTACGTGTGCTAGCCACATGTCTCATGTCGTGCTTCTCAAATGGATTGACTTCTTGCCGTCCGAGGCGGCGACGGTGCGCTGAAGAACATTGATCCCAAAGGTGGAGCGAGGCCACGATCGCGTCAATCGGCAAGAATAGCAACGGCAGCCATCTAGTCTAACGAATTGGCCTTATTCAATAGTCCATATTCGGCGTTCATCACCGAGCATTTGTAGCCTGGGGTGTAACTACCCATCGCCCGATTGAGATTCGTGCATGCATCACAACCCCTCACCAGCCGTCAAGGCGACATCGAGAATCATTTTCACTCCCCCGCCTTCCACTCGTTGAGCTGTTTTATATTATAATCAGCAGAATTAACTTGGAAAAGTAGCACCATGAGCTTCAGCGACGAAATCGAGCAAAAACTCAGTGCGACCATTGACAAGGCAGTGGCTGGCGAAGATGCCATTCCAGGCACGACGGTCGTCATCTTTGCCAAGGATGGCTCCGAGCTGTTTGTCAAGTCAGCCGGCAAACGCGGAGTTTCGACAAACGAGCCCATGACTCCGGACAGCATCTTCTGGCTGGCTTCTTGCACCAAAATCCTGACCGGCCTGGCCTGCATGCAACTTGTCGAAAGGGGCGTCTTGAAGCTCGACGATGCCACTCAAACCGAAGGCTTCTGCCCCGAATGGCGGGACTTGAAAGTCCTCACACCCACTGGAGAGTTGGTAGAGAAGAAGAACGCCATCACCCTGCGAATGTTGTTGACGCACACGGCCGGGTTTGGATATTCCTTCTTCAGCGACCGCCTCCGCGACTGGGGATATCCAGCTGGCATCGAGGAGTTCTCCGGCGACATGGCGGATATCATGCAACCGCTTCTATTCCAGCCCGGAGAAGGCTGGCAGTACGGAGTGAGCAAATCGCCAAATCGCCCGCTCTGGCGTCATGCTGATCGCGCGCGCGCAGGTAAACATGGACTGGGCCGGTGTTATTCTCGAAAGAGCGACCGGAAAGAAACTCAACGAGTACATACAGGAAAATATCTGTAAACCCCTTGGTCTTGAGCAACTCACCATGTTTCCAACAGAGCAGATGAAGAAGCATCTCGTATACATGCACCAACGGGCCCCGGATGGCAAGCTGTCCCGTCGCGACCATCTCCAGCGCAGAAACTTGACGGCCACGACGGCCGAGCAGCAAAAGGCCATCTTTAACAGCGGCGGGGCTGGCATGTTTGCCAAGCCTCAGGAATACTGTCGTGAGTCTTTGTGCTTGTCGCTCCGCATGCTCGTCCAATCTGACAACTCACACGGGGCGTGTTATAGGTGTTCTGGCCGCTTTGTTGAACGACGGCACTTGCCCGCGAACAGGTGTCAAGATACTCGAGAAATCCACCGTGGACGAAATGTTTACCAACCAGATTCCACAGTTCCCTCAGTTTGGTCGACAGGGATTTCCGGCGTCGAAGCCTGAACTGGTGAACCCCGTGACGGACATTTATCCCACCCCTGGAAATCCCCCGCAAGGTTGGGGCTTGACGTTTATGCTTAATGGTGGTCCAACGGGCAGATCTGACACTACGGGCTGGTGGGCGGGTATCGCAAATGTGTTTTTTTGGGCTGATAGGGAGAATGGGATCGGTGGCATGGTTTGCTCGCAGATTCTTCCATTTGGGGATCCTAGAGTACTTGGGCTGTGGGTTGAGTTGGAGAGTCTGGCGTACCAAGGGTTGAAGATGATGACGCGAGAAGCGTGATGCCGCTTTGTGTGTTTGGAAGATGGCGTGGCCACTGTGCCGTCGCTCGCTATCGTGATGGTTGTTGGGTTTCGCTACTGAGCTATGGGGTAAAGGATAAAGCGATAGTAGCTCTTGACTGAATACCCCTGGAATTCAGGTTAAAGGTGCCTGGTACCTTTTTGGTTCTTCAGCGTCGCGTAAAAATAGCTCCGGGACAGGATGAGAAGACTAAAGAGACTGAAGGAGCTTGTACAGAGACGTACTAGAGACGCAAGTCAACTGATGCAACAAGATCATGGCATATTTTTACGTCATGTGGTCCGATAGGTCTCTATACTATATGGCCGTCTTTTATAATGAGTACATACCCCCTTTGTAGGTATCAAGGTCCTTTGCTGCCAAGAGGACACAATTAGCATTTTTAAATCGTGAAAATCCACTTCAACTTGACCATGGTTCGCTTTCTTATTTGCCGCCAAGTACAAATCTGAATCCACTTTATATTCATTTTATTGGGTTCAATTGCCATAGCTAGCCACCAATGGCAAATGTCTGTAACGACATCTGGACTAATACGTTAACTCCAACTAACTCCTCAGTGCAAATCGATACGCCTCCCCACGACCAAGATACACCATCCGGCTCTTCAGCCCAGCCCTCTCTACTTCTGCCTGAAAGTTAAAAGGGGGCGAGTTAAAAACACTATAGTCATCGCAATGAATGGGAATAGTAACTTCAGGATTCATCAACTGCATAAGTTGCACTCCTTGGTTCGAATCTATTGTCACCATCGACAACGGTGGATTCAGTCCTGGAATAGTCATTCCTCCCAGGCGGACAAGCATAAGGTCCAAACGGAGAGTCAGTCTAGACCATTGCTTCATCTATTTTCAACCTAGCTTGGGTCTGTCGTTGCAAGGCTAACAATAGTTTCTGGTGGCATCTCCAATTTTGTGCCTCGTTTAGAGCTAATTGACCCCAGGCGATTATTACTAGGAAGCGAGTGAATGGCTTAGCGCTTAAATTACATGGCTCATTGTCAAAATGCTTCTAGAGCTAGAATGAACGGTCGTATTATGAACATAGACCAACGGCCATTCTGCAATTTGCTTCTCTCACCCTCTCCACCACCTCACCAACTTCCATATCTCAACTTAAACCTTAGATATACTCGAAATTCCTGCCCGTTCAGTCGTATTTGTATTTTGGAAGGAATCCTCTTGGTCATATCATTCTCACCCAGTAATCTGACCCGCTCCACGATTTCTTGGTACTGTTCGTATAGCACTGATTATTTCTGCACTCCCTTGTCGATAAAGGTCTTTGACACAGCCTCCAGCGCAGCAGTTTGGACATCTTCTAGGGGAGGAACTACACTAATAATCGTGGCGTCAGATTCATCAATCCCAGGTCGCTCAAGTTTTTGAAACTGGCTGTGCACTAGATTTGACTCGGGAAAATCATCATGTTTAGCCTCTGCTCGACGCCGCAGCTCGGACTCTGGTGCGTCGAGGTATACAAAGTGCACGACTGAATAGCCAGCATGGTGGCAGCTTTGCCTTAGCAGTTCGCGATAACTCCGCTTCAATGCTGAGCATATGATGATGAGACGGCGCTGGTGAACCTGGTCCTTTTCGTAGTCCGAGACATGCTCCGAGATGGCTTCAAGCCAGTGTTCGCAATCCGAATCAGTCAAAGGCTCGCCGTTGTGTATTTTGTCAATGTTGGCCTTCGGTTGAAGCTACAGACCAGTTAGCGCCGCTTTGAAAGGCTTCATGGGTGCGTGTCTGACGTCGTTTCCCTCAATATATTGGGCATTGAACCTGGAGGCAAGAAATTTCGCCACCGTGGACTTTCCCGAAGCCGTGGGCCCGGATATAAATAAAACCCATGATCGATTATGTGCTCCGTTATGCCCAGCCGAGATAACATCCCCGCGTGTTTTGTTGGTGTCGATTAGTGGAAGAAACGTCATCTTTCCCGTACAGGCGCTTATCCACTATATTACTGCTGAAATAGCCATTGAAGTTTGAGTTGATCTGAAAGAGAGAAAATACTTGATTAATTGTTTTCGGGTGTCATCATCGAGTTAGTTGTCGCCAAATTGTCGTGCTTTGCTGACGTCACGCTGATGCCATTAAACCCCAAATCTCCAAGCCCCCGGCCATAAACAAAAGATGGGACAGGCTCTCAGAGATTTTGAAGTCTACATAGATATATAAAGCATTATCGATGCTGTTGGGACTTAATATGGCGTAGGTGGGAAAATTTGCGGCAAGTTGGCGTTCAGTTACTCGTGGTCTCAACATGCAGTGAAGTACCTACCTAGGTAGGTAGTAATACCTCGTTTCCAGAATTTACGTATCTTTGAGTCTCATGTCAAAACGTATTTCGATCCAACGTCATAAAAACTAGTAAGCGTATCAAATCACCCAGGATGACACCATTCTTACAAGCTCCGCCAGGGAAACGCATTCCTCCAACATGACGGCACCGGGATGTCATGGTGCGGCTGACGTCTTTTTCCTAGCGGGGTGATTGTTATAACTCTAATTTCCTTCCCATTTTTAGTCTTTTGTAGCTCAATGCTGACCTCTGCTTGCTGGTCTCTTGCAACTGCACCGAGTTCTGTATGGTACAAAGATGGCAAAATGCCTTTTGGGGACTATAAGTACTGCCGTCTGAGAGCTTGACCGTGATTTTTGACATTTTTTATTCCACCTACGCCGTGGCTGCGCATCTAGTTGGGTGTTTGCACGTGAACGATGATGAAATATTTCGCAGCACCGTGGCCGTTGGTCGTCAACGTCGCGTTGCGACGTTGAAGCACAACACATGTCACTGGCGTCACTGTTACAAGACTGCACGTCACCATTTATTTACTGATTGCAAATAACCAGCTTTTCATTGGCCAAGTATAGTTGTTCCATGATGTGCTACTTTTATCAACACCAGTTCAAATAGAGTATAAATATCAGTGGAGGCAGTGTCCAGAATGTTCAACACTTGCCTATTTACCGAACGGATTATGCTTAGTCTACGCACTGTCGCTTCCAGGTTTCCCAAATATTACAATATTGCCCCTGCTTCTTTGTCAAGTCGTTCCATTCAACAATCTGCCACCATGACTACCATATCCCAAGCAATCATCAATGACCACAGAGAGCTTGAGCAGTATTACAATGAAGTAATTAATAACGAAAACGATCATAACCATCAGCAACGCTTCGGGAACCAATTTATTTGGGAGCTCGCAAGGCATTCTGTGGGCGAAGAACTGGTCGTCTATCCAGCCCTAGAAAAGCACCTCGGTGCAGAGGGTAAAGAAATGGCCGAATCTGACAGGAAGGAGCACCATTCCGTACGTACAGAAACTGAAACACAGGGCTCAACCAGCAATCCGTAGCAAATACTAATAAGAGATATCAATGCAGGTCAAGCAAATGCTGAAAGAGTTTCAGGAGTTGAGTGCCTCTGACTCGGGCTACGTCAAACAGTTGAAGAAGATTTGGGGTTCTCTTTCCGATCACATTAAAGAAGAGGAGGAACGAGATCTACCTGCTCTGGAAAGCAAACTAAAGTCATCCGAGGATGAGTCCAAGTCCATGGCCCAGTCTTTTGAGCGCACCAAATTATTTGTGCCTTCTCGCAGCCACCCCAGTGCTGGAGAGCACCCGCCGTTTGAGACTGCAATGGGTTTGCTTGCCGCCCCTATTGACAAGGTGGCTGATCTATTCCGACAGTTTCCTGACAAGGAGAAGCTGTAGACAGGGCCGGAATATCTTCAAAGTTGAAGAATACACAGTCTCTTTTGTTGATGTGGGTATTTGTTTTGGACACTAGTACTACTGTTCGGCATGATGCGAGAGAGCCAACCAAACATGTTCAATCTCTCCTTGAGTCGCTCCGACGTGGCCAAGGGGGATTTGTCAAGATAGGATGACATCATCAATACGAAGACATGGTTATTTAGATCAATATGGACTCAGAGCATCGTTATTTATGTGACCGAAGAGTTGCTTAATTACATTTCCTCAACCCGTTTGATTCCACCAACAATAAAGTGCTTCCAAGACAGTTCCTTTAAGTCATATTACTTGTGAAGCACATCGCATGGGATTGGATATGATTTCTTCCATCAGAGATGATTACGGATGCCTTTCCATGTCTAATCTGAAGCGGCCGCCGGTTCCCGCTTCGAAGGTGTCTCTTTTCCCATCTTGCTAATACCCTTTGTGTCGTGGAGCCCTTCTTCGCCTTTGCGGCTAGCAGTGTCCTTTCCACTCACCGCACTCTTCATGGAGTTAAACCGGCCAGACTTCTCTGGTGAATTTGACTTTGTCTCCAGTTGCGCTTTGGGTTCGTTCTGATAATGTCGTGGCGTTAGCTGGCGATTTAGTACAGATTATCCTTGGGAACAACGGACTTCGTTTTGACCCGTTTGATCGCCACGCGAGGTGCTATTGGAACCTAGTGTTACGAAAGAAACCTCTGTTCTACGAGAACCAGAGCCTCCAGCCCCTTCACTGCCACCTATTTGACCCGAAGAAAGTTTGTCTCTCGATTCCGCCGTTGTGATTTGACGACCTGATCCCCGTGCCCCCGGCAATCCGATTATTTCCAATTCCAGCGCCACTTAGCCCGATATCATGCTTCTGCTGAGCTATTGTTCTATTATCTTCGGTCTCGGTTTGGTTTTTCGCGTAGCGTATATGGCAGCACCGATAAGACCTGCACCGGTCGCGTATGTCATGACAACTTTCTCTCTCGACATTTTCGAACTGCGAAATCGGATAGCCTCAGCTGAGAAAAATTGTGTTGCGAAGTTTAATGGAAATAAGTGATATGGACTATGGGATGTTTCAATGGTCGAAAGAAAATATTATGCGTAATTTCTGAAATGCTGTGGTAGGTAGGCAGTGTTTGAGACATGGCGAAGGTTTTAGACATGTAAGCGACGTAGTGGTGACATCACCGTGACGACTTGAAGTGTGCTGCCAGGGCCGCACGCCGATGCAAAATAATTCATCGATTCTAGTGTAGTTATGCATATCTTTCAATCGCACCCAAACTCCATCTAGGGGAGTGCACTGCACAACTGAGAGCTACCGGGTATGTTAAGACATCTGGAGTTACACAGACCCGCCAAGGTGCCACGGATTACAATAGGTCGGCAAGTTGGCAATCTGTTGGTTATGACGCCAACAACGTCATCTCGCTTCTGGGCTTCATGGGCGTAGACCATCTGTTGGCACTGGCTGACTTCCACGTCGGTGTCGATTTTGTAAAAGTGCCTCACGAAAGTCAGGCTTGGCGGAACCGAGAACAACCACCGTCGACATCTCGGCCGAAGCTGGCACCGGGGCCTTGTGGACAACGACGGCGAGTAATGCTCCGTTGAAATCCCCACTGATCACGACTCATTTGGGCTTGGGGAGGGTCAGACTCGACGCAGCCTCCGACTTGACGCCATTTATTCCGCTGGGGAACTTGATATCGAATTGACTTTTTGGCAAAATCCAACAGTAGTCGAGCCGTTGAGTGTTGCACCGGACACGTTGTACTCTGTATCATCAATTGATACGTCACTTTCTTACCATGGTGCTAAAACCCCACTGACGTCAGTGGAAGATATTTGGTGCTCAGGAGCTGAGTTCGCCCGCTTCTGCATCATTCCATCACAGGCGACAATTATTTCTAACGGATACAACAAACATCAGGATCTACCATACTGGTCAGCTATTTGCAAATATCGATTATTAAAACCTCTATTATTTCCGAAAATAAATATCCCTTACTCAGTATCCTGTCCAGCGACCCTATGATGTCATCCACTCTGGTACAAGAGAATGGCGAGCCTCAGACTATCGAGACTTCACAAGGCAGCATGATTGTGTCTTCGGATCTCCTCATGGGGTCTAGAGTCGTGGCTGATGCAAGCTTGGCCGCAATTTCATATCCAAACGATGAAGTCAATAGCAGTGCATCCCCCGAAGCCTGTTTGTCGTCATCCACCTTGACTAGTCCCAACGTTCTTAGAGATGGCGTGGTTTCAGTACAGGCCGAGTCTCAGGTTGAGCGATATCCTGAACAAAATGGAGAAGAATATCATGCTCCATCGCATTACAAGGACGGTGAGAATTGGGCAATCGATCCGCAACTGTGCGCGTCAGGTTTCTTGGACTACGTGCAATCGCAAGGCGAATTATCAATCCCAACAAGTCAGCTGTCGGACAACACCCAGGACATGGAATATTTACCGCTTGATACGAGGAATTGCGTCGGCTTTCCGAGACCGCCACCGACGTCAAGACAACCTACGCTATTAACACCATCCGGAGTGTTGAATGATCGCAGCTCGAGTTCCGAGACGCCCTCGAACGATGGTAGCAGCTCGAATATTCCGTCGTATATGACGCCAAATGCCATTCGGGCAAGAAATTTGATCCTTAGGTGTAATCTTCCAAGACGAAGCAGCAAAATTTCTGGCCATGTCCGAAACGTCAAGCGGCGTGTATCAGTCTCAGAGGATTTCTGGCCCTCAAAGCGTCAGAAACTAGACAGCACTTGTTGCAACAGCTAAGTTCGATTGTGAGTTTTTCTGGGCATGTGAAGACAGAACGACTGGATTCGGAGATGGGGCAAGATGTATTGACTGGTTTCTCTCCTTTCTTGATTTATCTTTCTCTTTCATGTTGTCTTCACTGAGAAGGCATGCCGTCTATGATTTTTTTATGCGACCTTTTTTTTAAAATAACACATCGAATTATTGTAGGACAGGGTGAGCGAGAATTATGTCTGTGCGTAAAGCACGCCTAGAGGCAAAGTTAGCTGTGAAGAAGACGAAGAAATTTTGCAAAGTGACCAGCACGGAAATCGTGATATCCACTGGTCATTATGACAACGCACCCAATGAATTCAGCTTTGAAGAGCTAAAGGTTTACTGGCGATCCGTTGACAGCCAACGCAAGGAGCACTCTCGCGCAAATCTCGTTCACCATGATCACGTGAGTTGCTGCTTCTCATGCAATTGGATCCGTCGCCAGCCTCACCAGTGTCATCAGACTCACCACCTTCATCCAGAGACACATTTGCAGCGCGACGTCGATGTCGGAGTCAGATTGCCCTCGAAAATATCAGCTTGTGGCATTTTTGCAGAGGATATCTCGTGGCTCGTTTCCACGATCTCTGACTACTTCAGTTTCGACCGTGTAAAGCCACTTCTCAAGGCAACACTTGCGGATGGACTGCAGAGTCCAGACCTGTCAATCGATCTGGGATCTTATTGCCCCTGCTGCCTGTGAACGCACACCCTCTTCCCAAACCCCGTCGCGAGCTAGTTTGGAGCTTTGTCACCCAAAGGCACGACCTACGACCTAAAGAGAGCCGGCCGCAGCTGTGATGTACAGGCGGGAGACTCCATTCACAGATTTTCCCAATGGATCTCGCAGTGACTCTGATCAGATCGGTGATGCGGGCCTTTTATCCTACACGCGATATTCTGGTGATGGATGCTCTCATTCTCCATGAGGCTCTCCGAGACGACGACTTGGCTTATTTGATGGCTATAAACACGAAAGACTTGCACAAAATATGCGGTAAATTACGAGAAGACGGCTTCTTGACTGTTCATACTAGATTGGAGCAACGTGAGGGTAACTCTCGTTCCAGCAATCGAACTCGGTACTGTATCAATTATCGTCATACCATTGACGCAATCAAGTGGCGACTATACACTATTATTAATGAACCGCAGGGCTCCCCGGTATCTGCGAACGAGAAGAAAGAATACTACTGTAATTTTTGTGAAGCTAGATGGACGACCATGGAGATCTTGGATAGTGTTGGGGCAAGTGGCTTCCTCTGCCACCGATGTAATCACACGATTATATGTGAGGCTGATCGCACTTCAACTGGACACGAGCAGTCAACCCGACTCAATGAACAATTTCAGTTTATTAGCGAACTTCTTCCGAAAATAGATTCTTTACATATACCTGAATATGACTTTAATACGGCACTATCGAAGGCTCGTCCAGTTATTCGCGATGCTGCTCACCAGCGTGCAGCAATAATCCCTATCGAAGGTGACCCAAACCGGCCGATGGCTGTGAAGGAGCTCACCAATACTGGTCCAAAGTCTATTACCGTGAACATTTCAACATCTGATGACACGTCGGTGGCAGAACGAGAAGCCAAAAAGGCTCGCATTACCCACCAAAATGCCCTCCCTTCGTGGATGTCCTACAGCACTGTGACAGGTGAATCGTTTTCCGGCACAAGTGGTGTTGGAATCAGCGCTGCAAACCAAGGCATAGCCAACAAGGCCGCAATACCGAACACCCTTGCGGATATGAGCACTTCTGTCGAGATTGATGATTACTTCGAAAAACTCAAAGCAGAACAAGCTGCCATAATGGCACAACACTCGATACAGGACGAAGAGGATGAAGACTTTGTGTCGGATGATGAAGGCGATGATGATGAGTTTGAAGATGTGCAAGCGATAGGAAAGAACTTCAACGGAGGTACATCTGGGGACCAAACCCAACAGAACTTGGCGGGATATCTTGGGATAACAGCTTTGACGCGAAGGTTTCGAGGAGATTTGAAAAGGCCAAGCTAGATATAATTCAAACCCTCTTAAATATTACTATTACCTTATTGAATTTAAACGATTTAAGGATATTTATGAACCTTTAATAAAGGCTTTGAGTAACTTATAATATTTATAAAAAGAGCCTATATCGTGAGATAGCCTTGGCTAGCGGGCCTTCTAATTGCGCTGAGACGGTCTATCGTTCTGGTCTCTTGCTGTCCTTGGCCTGGTATAGCCTAATATTGTATTAATTAATTGTTGGTTGTTTCGCTATGTAGTCAAATGAAATTACACGCATGATACAGGTATCGTGCAAGCGTAAAATTTAATATTGTATTATCAGATTTTACGCTTGTACGATACTCGTATTATGCTCAAGTGCTTGTCCGATTGTGATTCCACTTACTTACTCGGCCACATTCGACCCGGCCGTGGTGAGAGATAAATACAGCCTCTAGAGTAATTAGATAATACTTATATTGTAATATTTACTAGCAAAATCTGTGCGTATCTATTTTCCGAATGGAGAACCAATCTATTATCTATACTCTTTTTTTCTTCTTTTAGAAACTTATTTTTAGTGAAAAAGTATCTGGTTTACTTTCAATGTTGTTCTCGTTTAGTCGGTAATCGCTATAAGTTAGCGTTGATAATATCCTAAGTCCCTCACTCATTTCAGAAGCAGCTCGTTCAAAGCTTCATTGATGCTGGTTTAAGTAAGGGAATTACTAAACAGGCATAACACTTTAGCTACACGGGTATAACTCTTATATAGGCATGATTTTTATTACTTTTAATTAGCTATATTCTTTCTTAACTTATAAGTACTTTTTATAAAAGGTAATAAAACTAGCTTTATTAATATCTCTTAAATTAATATAAGCTATTTATAAGTATAATTAATTCCTTATATTTTTATAAGCTTATATCTTATTTAAATTAATATTCTTAGATTATTAGCTTATAACTATTATAAAATCTATTATAAAAAGTAATATAATTATAAAATAATTAAGAAATAACTTTTACTTAAAGAATTTTATTATCTTATAAAAATATAATTTATATTATTTTTATTACTTTTAGTTAATTCTTATTAACTTTTAATCTTATAAATACCTAGTTATATTCTTTAATTATTATAATATATACCTATTATCTTCTTAGTTTTAAGAACTTTAAAATATTTACTTACTTATTATTAGGTTAAAGTATTAATTTAATTATTAGTTTATATAATAAATTTTTAAGGTGCTTTTTATACTCTCTTAATAAAAGTTAACTTATTAAAACTCCTTTATAATTAATTTTACCTTTACTTACTTAGTTAATTAATAAATTAATTACTAATTATAATAGCTAACCTTATTAGAACTACTTATATAGTATTTTTTAATTATTTATATAATATTATAATAATTTTTAGGTTAAGAATTTATTAATATAGATTTTTTAATATTAATTCTTAAAGTTATTAATATAAGTAAACCTTTTATTTAATAAAAAGTATTATAAAATCTAGCTTTATATAAACTTTATAATAATAAAAAATTCTAAGTTTAATTAAAATTATATAATTATTATTATAAGGTCTAATAAAATCTAAAAAGGAATTCTTATTTATTAATAAAAACTTATAAGTAATATAATATTACTTATTAATTAGCCTAAGTTTTTTTAAGGATATAATTATTTATAGTTTATTAAAATAATTATTAATTAAACCTAGGTATTAAGAAGTAATAAAAATATTATTTTATTTATATATATTTATAAAAGTATATTCTTAGTTATATATTATATTTTATATTACCTTAATTAATTAATATAAGTAGCTTATATTATTTAAGAGATAGCTTTTAATATTATTATTACTTACTTTTATATTAAATATAATATAAATATTAAAGTTATAATAATAATAAATAAAGTATTATACCTATTAAGTATTAATAAATAAATAAGTTAAATAAAGGTATTATAAAATTACTTATTAGTTATTAAACTTTTTATAAAAATCTTTTTATATTTACTTAAATACTTTTTTTATTTTAATATAAAAAACTTATTTTTATATTAAAATAATACCTTAATAAGTATAAGAAATATAATTATAAGTTAAAAAGTCTTTAATTAAATATTTATTTATAATATTTATAATAGACTAGCTATACTTACAGTTATATATATACGTTATTAAATAATAAGAATAAACTTAAAGAAAAAAGAAAAAAGAAAAGATTTTATTTTCTTCTTATTCTTCTTAATATACTTTATCTTAATCTAAAGTTTATTTATATTAAGTTTAGTTTAGCTTTACTTAGAGTTTTACTTAAACCTTAAGGTTTTTAATAACTTAAAGTTTATTTATATTAAATCTAAGCTAGCTTTACTTAGAATTCTACCTAGACTTAAGCTTTTAGCTTAAGTTTATAATATACCTTTCTACCTACTTATATTACTAGGTAACCCCCCCCTTTTAAGGCTAATATATATATACCTTACTTTTACTCTTATTTATTTTAACTCTCTTATAAGGTATAAAATAACCCCTTTAAAAAAAATAAAAATATTTTTATTTATTTATTATAACTTCCCTTTTTCTCCTTTTAATTACCTTAATATTCTAATTATTTTAATTAGAACCACTTAATTACCTTTTTACTTATACTTTTATTATTATTTTATTTTAAAATGTTTTTTTTTAAGCTGTTTTATTTATAATATAAAAAAGAAAAAAAAAATATTTATTATTACTACCATGCTTAACTTAATACCCTTAAACCGCCCTTCTAGCTCTAGCTGTAATTATTACTTAGGTAAGTATATTATTAAGAGTAACTTAAATAATAAAAATTTTTTTAATAATAATAAAATACCTAACCTTTATATCTCTTACTACTAATAAATTATAAATATAAGCAAGAAAAAGTATATACCTAGACCTAGTATAGCTTATAAAGCTTATTATAATACTTATAAATACTACTACTAAAAAATACATGTTTTTACTAGGAATATAAAATTATATTATTAATAAAAGAAAGTTATACACTTATATATTAATAAGTAATATATTATATTTACAGCTCTTAAGAAAAATATAGCTAATAGCTAAAAAGTATATTATACTAGATTTTTAGCCTTATTTACCTCTACTATAAGGAAATTTAGGATTATACTTAACTATACCCGCTATAACCCTAAGGCGGTTTAGGCTACTAATACTTATAATTAACCCTTTAACCAGGCTGTTATCTTGGCGAACGCTTTTTTAACCCCCGGCTAGTATAAGCAAGACTTATTATAAGCTAGTAAGCTTATTTTAACCAACTTCTTCTATAAGCAAAGCAGTATAACCGCCTTTATTACCCAGATTACTACTAACTAACATAAATTAGTTTAGTAATAGCGCCTAATTACACGTAAAACTTATTAGTTATATTAAGTTATTACTTAGTTTATAACCCCTTTTACCTATTATACTCCCTGGCCTTTTCTTTTTATTATTACCTTAGCCCCTAATAAGGGTATTATTTATTAGCCTGCCCTTTTTACTATTATTTTAGTTTTTAATAAGGACTTATTTTATAATAATATTAACTTTAATAATTAATGTAATACTAATAATAAGAGTAATATTAACCTAGCTAATAATAACTTCAGCCTTAACTAGCTATTACCTTTTAGTATTTTACCTAACCCTAAGGTCCTCTAGTATTATACCCTTAATACTATTTAGTTCTAGAAGGCTTAAGCTAGTTATATTATTAGGCCTATTCTTGCCACGCGTTCCCTAACCCACGCTTTATTTAGTACTTATACTCTTAGGTTTTATATTACTTATACCTTATCTAGTATCCCTAGTATTTCACACTAAATACTTTTAGCCCTTACTATTAACACTTTATACTATCCTAGTGCTAGCTTATATCTAGGTAACCTTAACCTATCTATTAGTTATTAATATATTATATATTATCCCCCTTGCTTTATTATTAATTCTCTTACTTTTAGCTTTCTTACTCTTATTATATTTTTGCTTATTTTAACTATTAAAAGGGTTAACTAAACTTTTTTTATTAAGATTCTTAGCTTTTATATATTTAATTAAAACTTTATTACACCTAATTACCTTATACTTTATATTATATTACTTTTATCTCTCCCTTATTTAGCCTAATTATAGGGTATTAATACTTTTAGTTTTTAGGTCCTTTTAACTTATACTCCTAGTTTAGCCCTAGCTTAGCTCTAAGTAGTTTCTTTTTAGTTTTTAATAGCATTTAATAGGACCTTATTATAATAATATACCTTTTTATATTTGCTTTAATTCTTATAATATATTGCTTTATTTATTATTATATTTAACTTATACTTATTTTTAGGTAATATATATAAGCTAAAAGCCTTACTTTTCTTAGAGTATTTTACTTAACTTATAGTATTTACCTAATAATAAGCGTATAATTTAGTAGCTTTTTATTATTAGTTAGTACTTACTTATACTAAACTAAAAAGCTAAAATAATATTTCTTTTACCTTTTTTTTATAGTAAAAGTTTATACCTAGCTTATATTATTTTTATATTAGTTTTAATACCCTTAAGTATATAATTTATTATATTAGCTTTTATTATTTTTTAGTTTAAATAGTCCTAAAAAGAGAAATAAATAGCCTTATATAGCTTTATTATACCTCTAAACTAAACTTTATAAATATTTTTTGCTCTTATAAGCTTTTTTTTTATATAAAAATTATTAGGTTTTTATTTTATAGTATTATAGCTTAAATATAGCTTAGAGCTAGTATAAGCTTATTATTCTTATTTTTGTCTTATAGTAACGCGGTTTAGGTATAATATAAAGCTAGTATAAGCTTATTATTCTAGCAGATATCCCCCTAATAAGTTTTAAAATAATCTAGTACTTTAGTGTTTTATACGTTTTTTAATAGCTTTTATATTAGTTAAATATAGCCCTTTTATTTTACTAGCGCGTTTTATTTATATTCTTATTTAGGCGCGT